TGGGCGGTCAATTCGTCATAACGAACTTTGCCGCATGTATGACACAAACAGAACAATGAAAATGAATAGTCCGCGATGAGTGAATCGATTCTGTGTGAGAGAATAATCACAATTACATTCACTGATTTCTCAATTAGATTCACAACACTTACTCAACTTTTCATCGACTCAAAAGGAGTCAAGTAAGCAACCATTAAAGACTTTTTTCATAAAAAATGATTAGATGTAAACAAAAATAGATGACAACTTTGTTCATTTTTTTGTTTAAAACTGAATAGATGTTTAATAGTTCAAATCAATAAAATAGTCTTTTCCTTTGTTACAAGATAAATAAAGAAGCATATACAGTAGATAAAAACGATTTTTATTAATTTGGCACTGGCCGTAATAGATATTAGTATAAAAGGTGTATATTTATCATTCGTATATACTAACCATGTACTATATACATATATAGACTTCATTCAACATGACACCTCTCGAAGATGAACGCCTCCTTTAATGAACACGTTTTGAAGAGTCCAGTCAGTGTTCATCTTAGAGTGGTTTCACTGTATCTTCTCACAAGATCTTGAGTAAAACAGAGAAAGCAACATGATTGAACATGCAAAACATCATTTTTCAAAAGAAGTTTTTTTCTAAAATATTTCTCGACTATTGATTATTCGAGAGAATTCTAATCTCGATCGATGATCGAGAGAAGACTACCCGAAATTGGTTTGACGAAAATCGAACCAACTTAAAGTCGGTCAGATCCCAACATCTGAGTTATTCGGGACAGAAATAATTATTATTAAAATAAATTGAAAAAATATCAAACATGCTCTCAGAATGCATCATTCAAGATCTTATGAATTCTTACTCAAGATCTTACTTACAAGATGTTTCACCGGGGTAAGCTCAACCTTCTAGCAACGCATTGAAGCAGTTAAAAGAGAATTTAAAGTTGTCTTATTTTTCTATAATCAATGAATGATCCAAAGAACGAAATCCTACTCTTATCAATAACATTATCATATTGAACTGAATGCATACAATTGGGTTAAGCTGAACAAAGACGCTATATCTATATTATGAATGGTATGATACAATGATATATATTATTTGTCTGCTCTAACAATGCTGAAGTCCATCATTCATGAAAAATTATATATACAAGCACATTATTGGTATATGTTCATTAGAGATTAAAATATTGGAAACCTTCACCTACCATTGAAAGCAAAAAAAGAGCTTCATTGGTACAGTAATCACTTATATATGTTTCTTTTCTTCTTCTCAGTTGTAAATAAAAATAATGCAGTTTTTCTCTTTTTAATTGCTCATTTAATATTATGATATTGTTCAAATTAAGTTTTCATATTGCTCAATATTTATACTTATTGTTCATTCCAAAAATTTTATCGCTGACATAAATGCAAGTTAATATCTTTTATTAAACTCTATATAAATTATTCTGTGACATTAGCAGGAATGTTAACTAGAAGAAAAAACGTAAGAATCAGATGAGATCTTTCTAGAATATAGCTAGTATATGAAATAATTTCGAAAGTATCGAGTAAAATTCTTTGAATAGATCATTCTCTCTCTCTCAAGCGTATTTAAATTCTATATTTTTGTAGAAAATCAAACTTAAAATAATTACATATCTAGTTAACCCAAGCAGACATTAAAAAGTCATTCAATCGGAGTTTCAAGTGATGAATTCTATCTATTTCTTTTGTGTGGGTGTGGGTGTATCGCGAGATAATTAATCANTGTTTACTGATCGTTTTCTTCGACCGGGGTAACAAGAGCTAAAAATGTATCGCCTTTCTACTCTATTCAAAATGCTCTCAATGACACATAATTTCTCTTCAAAAAGTAGAATGGAAAAGAAGATCGTTTCACAATATATAAATATTAACTTCTAAAAATGAAAAAACTCTTTGACGTTTTCATGCATATTCGCTGGTTGGTCTATGTAAATCTTCTATTTACGTGTATGTCAAACTTGAACATCGTATGAAACTTTCAAGTTTAGTACTTGATTTATACATATGAAATGATAAAAATTAGAAGCAAACAACTTGATAAACATTGGTTTTTATTAAAAATTCAATGCTTCTGAAATGTTCATCTACAGAAATACAAAAATACTTATAAACAATCAAACAACTGAATGAAGTTTACTCTGACTACGCAATTGGACGACTTGTTTTTTTAAATACAAAGTTTAATAGTAAATCCTATACCGGATATTTTCTTATTAAAATGAAAAGATCTTTACAAAGAAATTGTTTTATTTTTTGGAAAACAAAATGAATCGAGAATAGTTATTTATTATCACTGAAGATAGCTCAGATTCAAAATATTGATTGTGTTTATATTGAAATATGAACATAGTATTTTTTCAATACTTTAATTTGTTTGGCTTTCTTCTCTTTAAATTCTTTGAAATTTGAGAAAATCTAAGTGAGAGATTGAGTATCTTAATAACTAAGATCAAGTCTTATTTGATAAGTGCAGATATTATAAAGTTTTCGATCTAATAAAATTTACATAAATATAACATCTTCTGTGAAACAACACATATTGATAAAATAAAGATAATATTAATTGACAAGAATCGATTAAGAATTTTGCACTAAAAGATGTTCTAAAAGAGTTTCACGAACGAAATATGACTAAATGGCGAGTTAAGATTAAAATTTATTTATTTTCATTGGACCAAAATAATCTGGTTATATGTCGTTTAGTATATTTTTTTCGAAAGAACAATATATTATTTTGTTAACTATACAAAAATATATCTCATATAATTTTCATCGACATCATCGTATAGTCTCTTTCTTCATGTCATATACATGCTTTGAAACTATCCATAGACAAATTGGTTCTATGATAAGATGACACGAATCGGTAATACCTATTTCTTTTAATTAAATCTCGATTTCTCAGTCATCAATATGAATAAAATCAGATAAATGAGCATTTCTCTAGTCAAGAAAAAAGTTACACATACACCCTTAATATACAGTAGACAGCCTACATATGTCATGAAGAGTCAACTTTTTTAGTTCGAAGATTTTTTTTGTCTTATAAATACTTTTTAAAATCGTCTTTTATTCGGACCATTCTCATTCTGATGAATACTTTTGAAATAAGCTTAAAACAAACATTCAATGCTCTCATGTCTCCATCATTTAAAAAAAATAAAAAAAAAATGATTATATTTCTATCTCAACAGTATTTTTTATATGAAAAAAATTCAGAAAATGGTATTTTGACCTAAACTAAATTCTTTTCTTGAAAGATATCAAACTACACTACTGTGGCGTGCTCTTTAGCATCTGACTTTCTACGAATCGGTTTATTACCATTGATCATCACCGATTTTTTTCTTTTACTTTTTATGATGAAATATGCGAGTCATTTCTGTATTTCACGTCTAAGTAACACATATCTAATTGATTCATGAAATACGACTTACATTTTGATTTTGTTTGCAGTTGTAATTGCATTGCTGCGAATTGTCCTTCCATAGCCGCAGCAATTGGTGGAAATTCAACTGGTGGATTTTTCTTGGGTTGCACTGATAAATTGGGTACTGACACTGGTTCAAGAAGATCATACTTTGGCTTCAGTTCATTGAGTTGTACGATATGAAGTCCGTGTCCAGAATTCAGACAAGATGTGACTTCAAATTGTCTAGCGGGTAATAGAAGTATTTCATCTTCATCAGTTGTGAATGAATGCTTTTTTATATCCTTGGCCGTAGTGCATTCTATTTGAAAAAGAGTTCTATCACCCGTTGTCCCAAAAAAGTCTTCATTCTCCAACACTCCGATACTTGAAGTACATGAAGAAAATCCCCACCAAATGAAAATTTTCCCTGTTGGATAGTCAAGCCGTAGATTCTCTTTGACTCCTCGAAAAACAGAACGACGCTTTGATGGAAGCCGAGCAAGTGCCGTCAGTATGAGTCGAAGATAGAGGAACCATGGAACTAATTTTTTTCTTTGTTCCGATCGTAAAGTGGCATTCAATTTAACGTACAACGAATCTTCACGAGGCATTGACTCGTACGTATAAAGCATAATTGAAGCTGATTCGTCAGTTGTTAAGCCATCTTCTGGATTTTGACAGTTCTCTTGAACTACATATACGTTTCGTTCAATTTTTGGTACTATATTCACAAGAGGTTTTACAGCTTCTTCGAGCGATACTAGCGGAGCCTTCTCATAGCCGTCAATTGGTGCCAACATTCGTTTTGATAATGTACCCACATCAGTAAATCGCAAAGCTGAATTTTTGTCATTGAAGTTGCTAGAAGCCATTTCAAAATTTTAAATCTAGAACAAAAAATGATTTAAATATTTTTCACGTTCTTTCAATCATAATGATCGATCTTTGAGAGCTACTTGAATCAAGATTAGATGCCTTGTTGATTTTCAGCGAAAAGAGTACAGAAATTTAAAGAAAACATCATATGACTCATTGTTACAAAGTTTTGATAGATTCCCGATTATTCCCATTCCAAGATGTTGTGTGAAGAGGAGAAAGAGGTTTTTTAAAGGATTCTGAAACTTATCATGTCGCTGACAAGAAAAACTGCTCTCAGTAAATTTTTACTTGTTCGTTATTTTTACGCCTGAGACAATTATTGACGGTAATGTGATGATTATTAGAGTATCGATATAGAAAAATTGGTGATCAATACGTATCACATTCGCTTACAGTTCCTAAGATTTTATAATGATACTTCGATTCTAGTCTATATTGAATAAGTAGAGGTAACCAAAGGTCTGCGATCCACGGGTTGGACCCCGCAGGGTCGGCCACGAATTTTTTTACAAAGCTGCGGGGTTGACGGGTAACGGGTAGCGATTCACTGACGAGCGAGCGGGGCGGGCGAAATAAAAGACACGGGTTTCAGGCGGGGCGAGTATAGATTTACACGGGGCACGATGAAGGGTAGTAAAAAATTATTGAGAGGTCATTAGTCTAGGTGTGTAGTACGAAATACATATTATTGGGCTCTTTATTTTCATCTAACGATCTACAAGCTTGCCTATTACGTATTTCTTTTTTTCCTTTTCGTTTTGGTAAAGACTCTGAGCCGACAAAGCAGTGAGAAAAAAGTTAAACAACAGCAAGTGTTACATGATTGTTCTGCAAGTTATTGAACGGGTCTAAATATAGCATTGATGTCAGTAGATCGAGAAAAAGATACTGTATTGAATTATGCTTTTGGATTTTCCTGAAAAACTGACAAGTGAAAAATACAGGACGCCATCACACAGTGACGACATATGAATATGTTTGCTAGAGCAAAATATAATTTTCAAGTACTACTAGATCAAGTCTCTCATATTTCTGCTTTTCTACATTATTTTTAAAATAAATTCACCTAACTACCACTTTTTTCAATCCCACAAGAGAGAGGAATGTCCAAGGACTGAGGATTAGGAATTCCTCATCAGTTCCCCTACAGTTCATTGCATACTAAAGGTAAAAATATGGAATATTCACGATAATTTTTGTTCTTACACTCATTTTCACTTGCAAAATTGTGAGAATCAATGATTTCATGCAAAAATTATTTTTAAAACAGCAATATCGCGACTTTCGTGAATGGTGTAACTGTGAGGGAACCGATAGTTGATTCCCATTTCCTCTAGGAATTACCACAGCGACACTGGCAATTCCTCAGTACATTATGAATTCCTATTTCTCAGTCCTTGGACACTGCTGGTTGTTCTTGTCTTTCTTTTTCGTTCCTCATATCGAAGTTTATATTTTTGATTTGTATTAAAAAGCAAAACAATATACTCAAATTTATTTTTGATATTTAGAATTAAAACTTGATCTTTTTTTTGTCAATAACGATCATCGAATTACATGAATTATCATCTGATGAATCTTTTGATAATACAATCTCATCGAATGCCGGTCATTCATCGTCAATCTCTTTCACATCTCATGATCAATGTTCAACTAGTGACCCGAAATACAACTCAATGAATATCAAGTTGTTTTCTTCAAAAGACGGACCCGACAATTATTGAAAGCTATGTTTAGTTTACATGATCTTCATTGGATCGCTGCAATACTGAATCCACGTACACATGCTAATTGTCTAGTTAAAGCTGAGATAGCTAAAATTATTGAAACGCATCAAATCGATTATAATTCTCCACTACCATCTTCAGGAAACGCTAGCTCTTCATCACCATCTCGAAAGAAATTCAAATCATACACAACACAATTTGACGATGAAGCAGATTTTGATAAAGGAACCAATAATATGACAACTGTAAAACGTGTGCGTCGTGAATTAGAAATTTAGCAGTAGATAAATTTAGCAGTGTTCGTTTTTAAAAGGACACATTGCTAATCCGCTGCTATTCTGGAAAGAAAATGAACGTTTACTACCCAATATGGCTAAACTAGCAAAACAAATATTTCGCATCCCTGCCTCATCACCTGGTGTGGAACGCACATTTAGCCCAGCCGGTGTCATCATATCTCAGAGAAGAACTAGTATCAATCTATATACAGTAAATGATATTATACTGATTCGATCGGCTACAGCTTATTCAAGTAAACACATATATAACTTTTGCCTCAGATATTTTGTTGAAAAGTGTAATTAATTATATGCAATAAATAATTTAAAATAAACAAATTGCTTAATATAAAATATCTTCGGGTTATACGGATGGGGCGGGCCCGGCAACAAAATCGGCGGGTGGGCGGAGCGATACGACCTTCTGGGTGCACGGGATGCGGCGAGACGGGTGTTGGAAATTTGCGGGGCACGAAAATTCCCTGCCACGCACGCCTCTGGTTGACATATGTATGATTTATTTAGAGTATTTCTGTTTGTATTTCTTTTCAAACTTTTTGCATCAATCGAATATCAACTTCAATCTAAACATATAGAATTTCATGACAACAGTGTCACCTCAATTTTATTAGCTGGGTGTGGGTGTGGGTGTGTGGGTGTGTGGGTACTGAATTCCGGAAATTCATCGTAAAAAAATCCGCAGAATAATAAACGAAAAAAACATTTTTGATGGAGTATTTAACAAAAGAAGGGTTTATGATACGTTGCACTTTCATAAACCCTTTTTCACGTACATGGCGAAGATAATAAATAGTTTCTAGGAGGTTTATGATTTGGGAAAAGCGTTTATCAGATATTTTAAAAACGGAAAAAAGGGTATGTATCACGTTGCACTTTCATAAACCCTTTTTTTACAGTGTTCCAAGGAATAGGTGGGCATTTGTTTCAGAAATTCTGGAATTGCAGGTATTAGATGGAATTACACTCTAAATAAAATCCGTTTTCTGGAAAACGAATGGAGGTTTCCGGGTTTGCCACTATATGAAACCCTCACAAGCAAGCTGACGATTCCGTAAACCCAATAAAGGTTTCCGATACTTCGGGAACTTTTTAAACGTTTTCCACAGTTACAAACCAGCGACCGATTCACACAGAGTATCCTGCATTGCCAAATTCGTTTATCGTTATGAATAGTATTTTAACAACAGACATGTAAGGGTTCTCAAATCCATCGAAGTAGCGAACTCTCCATGAATCTAAAAGCTCAAAGTCCTCAATTGAGGCTTACTCAGAAGGCCTTCGCCTCTGTCAATGCCATTGTCTTCCAATTAAGACATCCAATGCCTGTTTGAACCCTATAGTACCACGCTCTCGCTATTCATAAAAGTCAGAGTCCTAAAGTCCTAAACTCCGAAGCCAGTGTTGAAATCAGTCTAACTCTCAAATCGTCCAATATTTAAATCTCAGAAAGTCATAAACTCTGTAAGTTCTCCTAAGTCAACGTTTTGCGATCAGTCAAGATCTGAAAATATAATACTTCGTCTTGTATTCGGAAATTTAAATGCAGAAAAAGACTATATTTTATTGAAGAAAATAGGCTCCCTATATTATAGTTTTTTTCATGAATTTTAATGAAGACAAATATATTATGAAACAAAATGAACATAAAAATCTCTACTTTGACATATTTAGAACTATTTCTATTTCAAAATAAAAATAAGATAAAAATTGGTAATTTATGTGGAATCTTTGAGGTACCCTCTGAAATCATAACATAAATTCAATCTTAATGTATGCACACTAAAATATTTGAAGCATGTGTTTCAATAGACAACCCTAAATAAAAACTTATCTTTTAACCGTAAGGAACGAAGATGAAGGAATAACTTAGGTGGGCACTTTAAACAGCTTACTTTTAAAATCAGAACTATATCGTCATTCGTATTCATCTATAATAATAAAAGGCATAATCCTTAGTAATATTCATGTACTGAGTACACGCATCTTAATTTGGATAGCAATATCAGAGTGCTTGAAGAGCTACCGTTATTTCTTCTTGCCGAGAATCGAATTCAAAAACTTTTTGTGTTTTGGCATATTCGACAGACATGAATCTTATTTGGTAAATAAAAATATATTAAAAGAAAATAAGATATTGTCATACATGATTGGAATTTCATTGATTAATTTGCAGGTGAAAGAAAAGTATTTTTGACTGTTTGCGGAAGCATAGAGACATTTTGGAGAAGTTGAATTAATTGCCCAATTAAATAAGAATATACATGAAAAGGATTAAAACAAAATACGCCAATTTTTTTCATAAATAGATGTTAATTTACTCTTTCTAGGAGCTCAGTGGGAATTATCTGAGTTAAGAAAACTAAATAATTCAAACTGTATGACAACAAACAGTCACTCATCTTCAGATCACAATTCATTTTACAACAGTTGAGATAAACAATACTAGACCGCATCTACATGATAACATATGTCTTTATTAGAGAGTTAAAAAAAGAGGACAAAAACGAAATTTCTTGAATGGAATGACGATTTAGTCAAGTGTACCAAGTTTCAAAGCAAAATTCGTCATTTAATATATTTACAACTGTATACAACTAGGAGTGTAAAAATACGACAAGATTCTCTTGGAAAAGAAAAATTTTTTTGAATCTCAACAATTCTAAAAGTTTTAGAAAACAATTTCGCATACACTGCAGACGATTTCTGTTATCGCTACTGGGTAACTCCTAAAAATGTAAATTATACAATGGTAACGTGAAAATGAGAAAGATGAGATTTTAATACTAGTTCGGTTTTCCACTATGTTTAATGGGTTTCCGAATAATGTGAGAGAGTCGGAAAATTGCTTGAAATGAATGTCCTCAGATTTTACAAAATAAATTTCTGGATGTTTTTTGATTTCTCGAAAATTCAGGAGAACACCTCGATATCAAGTTAACTCCAATTATACTATTTGATAAGGCACATGAAATTCTACAAGAATACGATGCTAACTTCACCAACGTGTGAAAATCACAATTTTTTCCATGAAGAGTAACAATCTTATATTCCTTCAATAAGTATTGTTTTTCAAAAAATAATAGAGTCTACATGAATTTTGAACACGCAATCAACTGAAATCGTGTTTCAAATCAGAAATCAATACAATCAATTCCAAAAAGAGAAAATTGAATAGATTTGGGTGTGGGTGTGGGTGTCCAGAACATCAATACCCACACTTCCATGAGATGCTTAGCTCGAATTCGAAAATAAGTGGTAGACATAGATTTAGTTTTAGATTAAGTTTTACATTTTGTTTAAGATGGAGTTGGTGTGGGTGTGTGGGGCTAAGAGGTAACTGTGGGTGGCGATGCGAGTGAGGGGTGAATATGAGGGATACTAGGAACTGGTGTGAGGGTACCCGGGGTACTTCAAATGTGGTTGTAGTTGATGGATACCATCGAGGAGTGCTCAAATATGGATGCGGCTGAGGGGTATATATGTATTCATATCAGAGACGTGTACAGGACAAGATTTTTTGTCCTGTCCTTACCTGCCCTGCTGGCTACTTTGGTCCTGGCGGGCGTCAGGACAGGGCAAAAATCCAAATCTCATCCTGTCCTCCAGGACATGGCAGGACAAAACACCAGGACAACAGGACCGTCCTATCCTGTGCACGTCTCTGATTCATATGTCGCATATCTCGGAAACTTAAACTAGAGCTAAATCTATTCCTAGATTTAGTTTTAGTTTAACTTTTTCTTTTTCTTTTTCTTTTTTCCATTTATATTCGAACTTGAATTAGACAGCTACTACACACTCCACACCCACACCCACACCCTTCAAATTGTGTATTGTATTTTTCAAACTCTTCCTAATAACTTACCACGATCGAAAATTTGAAAGCAGTTGATGTGCTACTGTTGTTGTTGGAAAGAATTTTTTCAAATGTCTTTTTTCTTACCTTTTTTTTTACAAAGCGACACAGTTCAACCCATTTCTATTTGCTTTACCACTTCTTTTCTTTTTTCCAGCATGTACGCCTCGGAGAAGCATCGCATACATAACAACAATACGCATTCAAAGGAAGAAGAAAAAAGAAATTATTCTTTTTCGATGAAATTTTTCAAGTCTGAATAAACAATTTGGTACTGAAAGTTTGCTGGAATGAAGACAATAGAAATTTTTAACAATGAATAGCAACAAGCAATAGGGTAGAGTAATCTATTGTATCTCTAATTAATTTAAACTTATTTTTGCGTTAGAATTCTCATTCGAAAAATATATTTGAAATTCAATAGAAAATTGGTTTATTCTTCATATAATTCTTATATATATATATGAGAACAGGTAGTATTTTCAAATAAATATTAAAAACGTTTCTCACGGTGTTGGCGTAATCAAAATTTTTATTTTTATGATTTCTCATTGTAATCAACAGATGCGAATATAATTATTATAGAAATGTCACTATCGAGTAAACAGCACAGTCGATATTTATTTTATGATCGAGAAATTAAATAAAAGCACTTAATTAACAGTTGCATCATAGATTTCAAATTTTGTTTTGATACTATTTTTCTATTAATTATACGAATAGGAGTGAGAATGTTTAGTGTCATTTCATAAACTTGTTCTTAGATGCGTTGATGCAACGTTGTGAGTGAATGGAGACTTTCTCAAATTTTTGATACCCAGACCCAGCTGACGAAAGTTTCCCACACCCTTTTTTTCATTCTTTTTAAAACACTTAAAAATATGAATTCTATTGACAATAGAACTGTACATAGAAACACTAAAATATTCAGTAGACGCGTAGACGACGAATGATGACAAAGCAAAAGAATTCTTAATTCCATAAAATTTATTTCTCTACGATTGCTAATGGATGATTTTTGTAAAAAAAAGTCTATTATACTCGATCTTTCGACTATTCATTGTCAATAAACAAAAATTCGTTTTTTAAAATTATTTTGCATCTATCTGAAATTGAACAAGATTCGATATGTAATTGTATTGAAAAACATTAATACTAAATTAAAAAATCGAAATATACACATCTTAAGATAGCAAGTAATATCAAAGTCTCAATTAGCACCAACTGATGGAACTTTGCTGGTCATCGAAGCTATCTTCGTCAATATCAATTTCGATTGATTGTTGTACTCTTCGTTCTGCTTCTTGTCGAATTAATAATCGTTGGATATACATCAGTAATTCAGACTCAATCCGTATGGCAATACTGTCTTTCGTAGCTATGTCACTAAAATCGATCATGAATCTTGAATGTATGCACCCCCCATTTAAATAAAGTCGAGCTCACATCTTGTAGTCAGTTGGTGATGGGGGGAGGTGAATAGATTGATATTTGTCTTTCAGATTGTGCACCCACTAGTTGCTATTTTTATTTCTTATTCATTATTTAAAAATAGTTTGTCCAACTCGACTTCTCCAAACATGTGAGGGTGGGTGTGTGGGTGTGGGTGTCCAGAACATCAACACTCACACCCTTAAACATATTTTCATCTCTGTTTTTTATTTATTTTGTTTTTTTGATGATGATGATGTTCAAGTGCACCCTTCGACAAATATAAAATATGTGCGTTTACATAAGAAAAAAAAGGTTAATATCTAAATCTACACAATAGATGATTAGTAGGATGAAATTCTTTCTTTTTTCTTTGCATTGTAAAAAAAATAATAATAAATAAAAACGATTTTTTAATCTCGTTTTTTTCCGTCAAGTCCTTTCGTTTGTCCATCATTATTACTTGCTTCTTTTTTCGAGCTCATCAATGTTGTTGTTTGTGCTGTAAGTGGTGTAAGAGCAGCTGGTATCGCAGTTACTTGTTGCGGTGCCGATATATTATTTGTAGTAGTCAACGTCGATGCAGCAGTTGCGCGTCGATATGCATCAGACTAAATATTAAAAATAAAAGAATAGAAATTCACAACGAAAATAAAAATTAGAAGTCAAAAAATACTAACAACTGTTTCCGACCAACTATTGAATAATATTCCAGATGATACATTTTCAAATGGCATCAAAGGATCGTATTGTTTAAAGAATGTTGTTATAATTCGTACATATATGAACATTGACACGATACATAGATAAATTAATTCACGTTGGAATTGAATTAAACCAAGATGTTCTAATAGAAAGACTATTGCAGATATAAAACAGGCTTTTGTTGCACTAAACAAAAGATGATTTTATGCAAATTAAATAAACTAGAAAACAACATTCGTATCAGAACAATAATTGTGTCAAGGTTAATTTGAAGGATGCTGGGAATTCGTTTAGCAACGATTATCGAAACAAATGAAATATATGTATATTCCCATATGTATAGAGAACAAAAATAGCTTGAGAGATATTAAATTTTTGCCTTTTTCAAATCGAGATTCGAGAAAAAAGGATTTTCCTTGCTAATTAAAACACAGCTTGATTGGCGAGTTTTGGGATCCAATCTATTACCCATTAACTGATCAGCATGACATTGTGTTTCGTGACCTTTTGAGTAACAAAGCTATCCTATCTTTATACGATTTAGGCTATTGATAATTAGATAATTTCAAGTTTCTTCGTAATTATCTCTTCAATTGAATTCATTTGCTTGTTTTCGGCAAGTGTAGAAAAACAAATTATTTTCTTCGACGATGAACTACTTACAAAGTTGGAAAAAGAAATTCATTCTGTGAAGGTAACCAAACGCCTCGAATAAATCGATCAATCGATGACATTACTGATCCACCACAACCTAGAAAAATGAAAAACATTAAATTAATATAATTTCAGTCAAAAATCAAGTGCTTTCTTCATTGACCTTTTAAAGCTCCGATGAGAACAACAATAACGTAGCCATCAGGATGAATAGCTAATGTTGAATGAATTCCATCGAAAATCTTTTTTGTTCGTTGAATTTCTTTTCCCACGCCAACAACAATTTTAATAGGTACAAATCGCAATAAACGTGCTATAGTATCGAATGGTGAATAAAACACAAGATACCAACATATCGTTGCAAGCAAAAGATGTTGATGGTGAGCAAAATCTTTTATTGGACTTCCACCAAGTAAAAAATTTGATAGTATTGAACCAGAAAAACAAAGTAACATAGTTGATAACCAACATGAGAATGGATGACGACGTGTAAAATTTTGTGTTCCTAAAAAATGAAACAAACTTCTGCATAGAATGTCGAAAAACATGTGTCGAGAGAGTTTTTGTCTTTGATCTTAACTTACCTATTTGATGTTGTTGTATGTCATCTCGAACTAGAAGAGCTGTCAATAAATAATGGCACGAATCAAAAATTGGATACATGCGTAAATGTGACAACTGTGAGCTGACATTGATTAATAATTCTTTGTTCATTTTGTTTTTGTTTTGTTTTACACGTCACCGGCTCATCCAATTACGAAGAGAAACAAAGAAAAAAAATTAGAACTATATCTAAAACGAAATCGATCGAATATAAAAAAGACATCTGCTATAAAGATGTCATATTAGAATATTAAATCAACTGTTTCTTGGCGAAATTTACAGAGAAACTTTCTTCTATATACATATATGTGTATATAAACGAATGTCAATAGCAATGTTTTCTAGCTTGTGATGTGGTACTAATAGGAAAAAGACAATTATTTGGAAAATGACACATAAAAACAGACGTGATATATAGCTACTTATATATTCATCAACAAATAGAATAACTCGTATTGAAATTTTTGTTTGATACGAAGACTGTTTTTTTTTACGATGGAAATGTTGGAGAATATATAAAACGTGATTCAGCCATTGTTAGCGACAAATCAACAGTAGAATTCGTTGTTTTTCTCATTGGGGAAAAATGAGCGAAGTGATTAAATTGCGGCAGGGTAGATGATTATTTTTTTTACCAAAGCATTATTCATGCATTTATCCAGAATGAACAAACAATTTGTTTTCTCTCTCTCTCTCTCTCTCTCTCCTAGTTACAACTAAACAACAAGAACGAAGTGTCTCTATTGGTTATTGTAATCGCATTTACTAATGTATGTTAGTAGCTACCATCATTATTTTTCTTCTAGTTGGGGTACAGTGATCATCGATAAAGCATGCAGAAAGAAGGGAAAAAAAGAATGTAGAGAAGAAAACAGAAAAAAAGGAAAGAAAAGAAAAGGCCCTTTTCTATCCTGATATCGTCGTTGTTAATGACATAAAAGAAAACCGCAAGAATATATATATATATATATAACGACAGAATTGCTATGGGTTCGATAAATGTTAAGACGAAAGATGGGGTAACAAGAAACACAGATTCACAATCAATGAATATATAGATATATAGATATATATCGAGCCCAACGGCATTATAATAGAAAAGAACAAAAAAGAAAAGAAAAGAAAAGAAAAGAGAAGCATTCTCATATTACTCAATAATTGTCAATGAAATAAACAACACAAAAAGTTTTCTTCTCCTTTTTTAAAGAAGATATTTTTTGTTCATAAATGAATTAATACTTGGCAGAGTATTGGTTTCAATAAGATCATCATTATCGTAGTGAAATGTATTTATCGGCGATAAAATATCTTCTTGTTTAAATAATGAATTCTGTAGATTTACAGAATTACTTATTGATGGTAGAACACTTCGCATTTGATATGTTAGTATATCAACATTGATATCTTGTAGATCTTGTGGATGACATTTCATAGTTAATTGTTGTTCGCACTGAAAAAGAAAAACGACGTATTTTTTATTAATAGAGGGAAAATAAATAGACAGTAGATTTCTAACCGGTGTTGTTTGTTCAATTAATGAATTGGATTCTGATGGTTGAATAAATATTTCATCATTTTTTTGCTGTTGTTGTTGTTGTTGTTGTTGTTGTTGAAGCTTTTTTGGTGGTCGCCCGACAGGTCGTTTTGGACCATTGTTAACTACTGTTTGATTACGACGTCGAGTTGTTTTATTTACTAATGAACTATTGGAATTATCATCATTTGATGACCATGTTTGATGAGAATTATATGTTAGAAGATTTGAAGAATCTAATACAAAGAGAGAAAGAGAAATTACGAATTAGAAGAAAATATATAATACTAAATGTAGTTGATGAGTCATGTGGAGTAGTAAATTGAAGATAAGTAGGATGAGATGTTTGCTGTATGGGATTCATCGTTGATGTATTACCAACTATAAAGAACAAAAGAAAGAATTATGCAGAATAAAAACAATAAAATTTTACATCCGATGGATGGAACAAGGATGCTTCTATATTGATTATCAATATCGTTATATTTTGAATATTTTCTTTTTTCTAAACGAGGGAAAATGATCATGGATAATTTATGTCAAATTTTGATTTACTTGATTCAGGAATGTAGGATGCTGAATTATGTGTTGTCAGTGAGTTTTCACTACTTGTTGCATGTTGAATATCATCATCCGGCATGAAAGTTACTGCAAATAGACGATCCATCAACAATTTGAATTTATAACTCGTATTTTTATCTCCCTTGAGAAAGCTTTAAGCTTACGATCATGAGCTTATGTCATTATCTCCAATCAAGAAACGGATCGTTACTCTCGAAAGGTTTCGGAGAAAAATAAATTCAAATATGATCATAGAAGAGTCACGTTTGATTCATCAAGAGGATAGAGCAGAGTCAAAATAGTAAAATCAGTATCAATAAGATCGAAACATGAGTTCTCTCGTGAGTGGCTAAATTAAAATTCGTCTCGCTTCATTTAACTTACCTTCACCAATTGTATTTGAATAAACTCCAGTAACTGTAACGCCTGAACTACTTCGACCATTCATATCCAATGCACTTTTAAGACCTAGCAGACCATTTCTTGGATCAAATCTTGGTATAGTACAATTAAGAAATAGATTTCGTTTAAAATGATCAAATAATGAATGTTTTGAATTTGATTTTGTATTTTCTGAGTTGATAAAATCAACAACATCTGAATTATATATATATATATATATATATATATATTAAAAATGAAAGAATCCAAACGTTTGTCTTACTCTCTGCGTGATGAATAATTTCTGTACGCGGTCCAATATATTGAAAAGCAGGTCGAGGACCACGATAACTAGGATCGGTTACTTTCGTTATTAAATTAATTGTTGATAAAACATTTGCAATATCATACAATCGTCGAACTTTTGCTATTAACAAAATAATAATCAATACAAATTCAATGAGAAAAAAAATTCTAATAGCCAACAAATACGCAAAAAAATTAACTCAATAGAACAAAATCATTACTCTTATAACGACCAAATTCAGTTATTTCATTTTTTGAATCGCCCAATAATACTTTAGCCGCAAAGATAATATTGACAATTCGATCCTTTTTATTATTTTTATATTAATTAACATAAATTATTCAATAAAAAAAAAAAAAAACTCAAATTGAAATTATTAACTTACATCAGATGTAAGAAACAGCATGAGAAATTTTTGTGCCATTATACCCAATGCTTTTTCTTCGCGAGCGACTAAAAATAAAGAATATATGGTTTAAGTCAGAAGTTTAATTCGATTTTTACCTTCATCATTTTCAGACGATGAAACATTTTTACCAGTCGAAACAATTTGTATACATTTGAGTGCTTCATTCTGTGTTCCTTGACCAGTATTTAGTTGACCGGAAAGAACCATTTGATCGATTTGTTCACGAATTGAACGAGCAAATTCAACAAAACCAGATTTATATGCTAATGTCTAAAAGAAAAGTCAACTATTCAAGCACATGGACGCAATCTCATCATAAAATACAGAGAAATCAGTAAAGATCAAAATACGCTAAAAGTATTTAGTCTGGGCAGAGTCAATATTTATCCGGAACTTTTTTTTCCTGTTATATCCAACATAGATTTATTATTGGTACGAACAGTAATGAACGTGCGAAGCTGGACAAAAAAATTTTCTACGACGTAAATTTATTTTATTGATGCATTGGAAATATTTCTAACCTTAAGTTTTGATAATGTATGGCCTAGATTTCCGAGTCCATGCCATTGATATTGATTTTTTGCGATTCTACTCATTGTTTCAACGGATTCCAGAACATTAACAATATCGTAGATTCTTCGTCGTTTGGTTTCTAAAATGAATGCAAATTTTCATTCTGTTCCCCAATGAAAATCATTTACCAAGAACCCGAGCCATTTTATCGAGACAAATAACAATCATTTCACCCTACAAATTCATATTGTAGAACAAGACAAAAACAAAAGAAGAACGCGTTGATTCATTTGCAAAGAAAAACAAATCATTGTAAATCATAAAAAGCTACTTACAGGATGAACGTTCGGTGGATACATTGAAATGAATCTAGACGAAATGTACACGACAACAAAAAACATTCTGATTTTGAATATAGTCAATCAATCCTACCTCTGACAGAGTAAACCAAGTGATTTATCTTTTCTTGATTGCCCACAACTATTATTATTTGTTAATTTTATTGTATTATCGTGGATGGATGAATTTGAATTATCAATATCACTTGTTGATAGATGATAACTAGTGTTTGATTGATGATCATAGGGTGAAGAACTGGCTGGTAGATAATATCCTGTTGGTGTTACGATTTGATTACGATGCCAAAATTGATTATGATCAATGACAGAATCAAACATTGAATGAGATAACGATGATGAATCAAGTAATAGACAATTATTAACTAGTTCATCTTCTTGTTTTATTCCGATATCAGTATTCATTGCATCTGAAATTTCTGAAAACCAATGCTAAAATAAATGTGATGAAATAATTTTCTACCATTATTGTGATTATTATTTTTAATTTGTGTGATAGTTATTTCTTCTTCTTCTTCTTCGTGATTGTTCATCGTTTTTTTCGTTCGTTTTTTTCGTTCTTTTTTCATTGGTATTGTTTGTCGTCGTTGACTTTTAGTTTCTAATGAATCAGCATTTGAACTACGTAATTTACGTCGATTTGATAAATCTTTTCGTTGCTTTTTAGTTTTTTTTATTGATGTAGAATCATGATTAGTTCGTGCTGTACGCCGACTATTCGCTCTACCGGTTTGATTGATCAGCATTGTTTATTTAGAAAAATCTGTAAGAATTTATTTATGTTTATTTATTTATTTATTTATTTGAATCAAGATCGGCGCCACGCAAGAAATACAACATTGATTGATTGGCGCATTCACTATTGTTTAAGATCCCCCGCCAAACAAACTTACCAATGTTTAATATTAATCCAAGATCGATGATAATATTCGAACACGATCTTAATCGATGCTGCAATGAATTAAAGAAAGTGCATGCACAAGCAATAATGAATGATTGGCTAATGAATAATGACAGTCAACAATCGGGGTACTGTCTCATTAACTGATCAAGGCAATAGCACGTGTGTATGAAGAGAGGAAGAAGAAGAAATGAATGGCCAGTTTGATTATTAGATTAGATAGAAAGAGTTAGCTGTTTTCTTTTTTTTTCTGTTTTTCGTCCTTGACAACAGAATAGGACAATATTTTATTCTAACGAAAAAAATTCAAATTAGCTATTTGCAGATGAAATAAGTTTGATATTTTCTTCGATTTATTGCGAAAAATAATGAATCGTCCACAGCAAAAAAACAAGTCTCAAGGTTAACAGTGTACATGACACTTTCGTGATGGTGTTGTTATGTTAAAAACGATGAATATCGCACATATGTACGTGTTATGGTGAATAGTTATATTTAAATCCTAAAAAAAATATTAAGTACCGTATTGATTATTCAAATGTTGAGTGGCGCCTTGTTTTTTTCATGGTTCGACGGCGCTTGACAAGTTACCTCTTCGTGTAAATTAATATAAATACAAGTTTTTATTCAGATAGTTTAGCTTTGATTCGAAAATTCTTTTAAATCACTTTGCATAAAATTTTTATATTCATATTCCATCGGCAGTATTTTCAAATATTCTCACTGTCGACAAAAACTTATTTAAGTCTATTTCGTTAAATATAAATCGATGGAGTCTCCTTACAAGAAGTTGAACATATAGCAATTGAATTTCAAAATAATGCAATGAAAATCATATTCTCATTTAAGATAGACCGATAAAAAGAAACTGGCTTGTTTTTCTTTTTATAAATGAAAAAGAAAAGAGCGAGATAAGGATCATTTAAATTCTACAAAAAAGAAATGGATCAAGGAGAAAAACATCTTCACGCTAAGTCATTGAAAGTTAACTCTTCATTGCGCCTGTACTCTGTGATGTTGTTGTCGAGGGTGCTGGTGGTTGCCAACTTTGAATTTTAGGTCGAACCGTTGAATAGGGCATATAACTTTGACGTGTACCAGTTTTATTTTCAATATGATCAATCATCCATGGATGACGTTTTATCGGTGTAGTAGTTGGTGGATCATCTGTAATATACTGTAACCAACGATGCCTGTAAAGACGAGAAAAACATAAATAAATCGTGATTTTATTCGATGATATTTTTACCATTCAGGTGGAACTTGACTTGCATCATAGTCAAGTCCGACACGATCAGCGTATTGTACCCAACGACTGCGACCTATAAGACGTTCATTATTAACGATCTCAAAAAAATCGAACCTTTCATTACTACTAACCAATAAAATAACGTTTATTTTGATAGTACGAATTGCCGTATTTATCAGCGCCAATAAATGCGCCGGTTTTTAAATCATCATAACTAAACATGATCGATATGTTATAAGAAAAACTTGAAATCTAAATTTATTCCCTGTTACCGGTAAACTGCTAAAAGAGTATTTTTCAGTCCGCCATAATGGCGTACAATTTGAGTCCATTGTCGAAACTTCGCTAGAGCTCCTTCTGTCATTATCTACAAAAAAGATCAGTAATTTTATTGATTGAATTAAAGCAATCGCGGAAAATTAGATACTATCTATATTGAGACGAAAAACAAAAACTATTAGTTCAAATATAAACATTCAAACGAAGGCAAAAAATAGATATACATATATTTAAATTTTATTGCTATTATCAATTTTTGATCATTGCTTTTTGTTCGAGACTCTCTGCCAGTTGGTCAATTGTACTCTCGTCTAAATAGAATAAAATTCATCAAAATTTTGTAACTTTTTTTATTATTATAGAACACGTACCTTGAACAGGAATCGAGAATAATGATGACCAGAATGGTCGATGAATATTTTTAATTATGCGAATAGTTGGTAGAGATCTACGTATAGAAAAATCTTGTTGCTTATATTTATTCTTGATTTCTATTTAAATAATGCATACACTAGATCTTGAGGATATTTTGCTGCATCTTCTGAACAACGAACAGGTGAATCGCCAAGAAGAGTAGCTACACAAGCAGAACCGCACACATTCAATTGGCTTAAACAATACCCTCCCTAGAAAAACAAAACATCGATTTTTCTATCAAGCGAGTCTTTCGAAACAAAATACAAACCTCAAGTACTTCCAAAACGCGCCCATTTGCTAATGAAAGTAACATATGCGTCATTTGAGAATAAGCACAAGCTGAAAGTTTTCCCCAACCCTAAAAAAAAGATAATTTCTATATTATAATTTTGCTATTCGATAATAGATAAATGGAAATTTACAATACGATCTCCTTCAGCTGCATCGAAACCAGCGCAAACTAATACAAATTCTGGATTATACTAAAATAAAAAACAATACGTATTTCAAAGGGATTCCAAAATTTTCAATTTACTTCATAAGCCATTGGTAAAATAACATGATGAAAAGCATTTATGTAATCTGCATCAACAGCTGGTGGGTCCTATGAAAAATATTGTTACATGAAAATTATATTTCATGATAAAATTTATATTATTTACAAAGTTTAACCATCCAATATTAACATTAAATCCAAGTCCTCTATCTTTCCCACTATCTTTCGGATGACCTTCATTGGGTGGAAATGCATCAGCACAATGCAATGATATATAAAGTACACTGAACAGAACAAAAAATTTGTTGGTTAAACAATTGCTATTTAACGAAAATAGAATTTTTACCCAGGATCTTCATAGAAAACATCCTAGAAAAAAGAATATTAACAAATAAAATTGCAATCAAAGTCTTCTTTACCTTCACTCCATCACCCATATGATAATCGAAATCGACAATTAAAATTCTAAAAGACAATAAATAGTTTATAAAAAATTCAATACAAAATCTTGTAAAACCATCGGCTAACTCTCGTTATTTACCGTTGAAGGTTATAATTTTTTTGTAAATATCTTGCGCAAACTGAAACATTATTAAAATAACAAAAACCATAGTCCAAACTGCAATGAGCATGATGACCAGGTGGCCGTACAATAGCAAAACCATTTCCTCCCTAAATCAGACGAATCGACGATTTCAAAAAATAGTTCGATTGAATAATAATCACTTCATTAGACATTATTGCATCAACCATATTTAAACATGAGCCAGTTGCCAGAAGTGCATTATCGAATACGTCCTAATCAAATAAAAGAATTTTTCTAAATGTAGATAGATAAAATAAAAGAATTTCCAATACATTTGAATATTCAATAGAGCGAAGAGATCCTTTAAGTTCTGATAATTCTTTTCTAGTCGCTGTTTTTGTACTTTTCAAGAATTCATAGAACTCGTCACTATGAACAAGAAGTATTTCTTCTTTTGTAGCATAACGACTTGAAATCATTGTGCAACGTTGATCAAGACCACGATTTCGTAGTCCACGCCAAATAGCTTCGATTCGGCCAGGTCTTTCACAATGATTTCTAAATAATTAATGAGCGTCAACGAAAAATAATTCTTTCTATTGAAATTTTTTTTATAACTATTACCTTGAACTGAATTTTTTCATTAATTCATCGTAAACAATAAGTGTACGCCTAAGAATAAATCATAAATATTCACAGAAGTGACTCAAATCTTTAGTCTACCCTCTTTCTAATGGTTTTTGATGTGGAGCTAATGCTAAGGCACGTTTTATATCTTGTTGAATTTTCAACTTTTGTTCTTCTGTTTGCTTCACAACAAGAGTTGGAGTTAAATCATACTGTGCGGGTCGAACGTGATCATTCACCAATGGAGCCAATGCTCTTTAAAGACAACAAAAATCAAATTATTTAAAACAAATATCATTAATTTCACTAACCGTTTACGTCTTGCTTCTTCAATCCAAAATTCCCCTTCATCTGTTAAATCAATCTTTAACGATTGCCAATAACCTTTCAAAACATTTTTACAACAAGCAACCATTTTTTTCACACTGGACAAAAGTTTAAAAAAATGTAAATACAACAAAAATTAAGTCAAAACTCATACATAGGATCAGGGTTCACGCATGGTTGTAAAGGCGAACATGGATCACCAAGTAATGAACGTAATGTCCATGCAGCACTTTCAGATAAAGTATCGATACAATAGCCGCCCTTTAAATAGAAAATAGATTTTTATCTCAGTGAAAAAAATAATTCTTACCTCAAGAAGAACCATCACCTTGCCATTGGCTAAACCTTTTAAATAATGTGTTAAATGTCCAAATATATCCGGAGTAAGTTTCATTTCTCCCTATTAATGAATTAGTTTAGTTTTATTAATAGGAAAAGTTTATAATTACCTCAGGACATCCCAATGCTACATCATAGCCAGCGGAAACAAGAACTAAATCAGGATCATACTAATAAAACAAATACAACTGTGTTTTGCTATTATTAAACACAAATTTCTTGCTTACTTCATACGCAATCGGTAGAATAATATTAAAAAATATGTATAAATAATCAGCATTTTTCAATCCAGTCTAAACAATAGACACTTCGATTGAAATTTATCAATATCGAACAAATTATTTCCTACTCTATTCAGTGGTATATTCACATTGAATCCTTTTCCATCGCCTTCCCCGATAGCATCGAAATCAGATTCCACGAGATTTGGCCAAAAATGACCATATTCATATCGATGAGTTGATATATACAAAACTCTCAAATAGATATAAAGTTTAGATTTTGTTCGTCATCTAGCACTTTTACTACATACTTATTCGTATCATAAAAAGCATATTGCGTGCCTTGACCATGATGAACATCCCAATCAAGAATTAAAACTCTAATAAAAAAAAACCTATAAATTAACTCCGCATTGATTGTGATCTATTCACCTTTTTGAATTATATTTTTCAATGGCAGTTTTTGCAGTTATAACAACATTATTAAATAAACAAAAACCATTCATATCGTTCTCCATTGCATGATGACCGGGTGGACGTACGAGAGCAAATCCATTGCGACACTGTAAGTAAAACGAAATGAATCCAAAGAAAAACTAAGAGAAAATGATATACCTGATTGGTCATAATACTTTTCAAAAGATTCAATGAACCACCAACGGCAAGTAGAGCGGCTTCAAATGAAAACTAAATAGTCAAAAATTTGTAGTTTTGTTTGCCTGTATTTAACTTGCTTACTTCATTCATATAAACATCTTCATATTTTCTACAAAATTCTTTCAATTGTTCAATGTTCTCACATGGTACGTGTGATAAACTTTTCAATAAACTTTCTTTATGATATAATAAAATATCTTCATCATTCGCTTTCGTAGACTAAATACAAACAGAACATGAGACAAATCAATAGATTCAAAAAAGCTTACCTTAACAAAGAGGCACCGATCAAATAGATTTAATTCGCGACATCGATCGATGATTGATGATAAACGAAGAGGACTTTCATGATGATGTTTCGCCCATGGACATTCATGTTTAAGCATTAACTCATCATAGGTATAACCAGTTATTGCACAAGGCTGTGTAGCCATTCAAATAAAAAAATAATCTAAATGATAACAAGAAAAAAGATATTTGTAATTATTAAATATTCGACTACGATCGCCAAGCACCCAACTAGAAATTAAGTTATACAGCTTAGAATATTCTTCGTTCGAAATTTGTACTATGTGCAATCTGTCATGTTTTTGTTTAACTAAAATTAAATGTTTAGTTTTACTGGCCTAAAATACCTGTTTTGCTATCGACTCAAATATCTGTTGTAATCTCGTTAAAATGTCATTATGGTCTAGTGCCATTCTTTTCTGTGTAACCTATCAGTAACGAAAATAAGATACGCAGGTGAATGTTTCGATGTCGGATTGCGACTTACTAATTGTTTTCCAGGTAGATTTGGATTTATTGTCCCGTTTTATATCAATACAGTATGTGTAAACATGAAATTTAAAAAACATGGAATAAAGAACACAATAAATCCAATAGACTGATTGGCTATTTCCATGAGTCCTTCTTGTTTTTATCCATAAGATGTCACTAAATGTCCATCGACAGCAGCCTGTTGAATGTATGGCTGCAGTGCCTGTGAAAACATGGTGAATGCGTTTCATTAAATCGATTATTAAATACTCTGATCTACTCATAAGAAATTATGAGATTGTCTTTGGTACAACAGAGAAATAATCTTGAAATCTTTACTATTCAATCTTTATCTCATTAGAACTTGATGATATTATTTCTCAAGACTGATTGATGACTTGTAACTCGAAAAACATCTTCAGAGATGAAAACTAAGAATGAAATACTGAGAATTAGCGAAGTCTTCCATAGATCTTCTCGTTTCTGATATTCATAAGATCGAAAAATGAATAACGAAAAAAAAAACGATAGATGGAGTATGAAAATATTCGTATCCTTATTAGTTTATCTACAACCAAATATAATGTTTCATTCACCTTTCCTTGTGTTTAAAAAACGTAAAGGTTGGACCGCAAAAGGTTAAAAAAAAAGACTGCTACAACCTAGCATATCATATTCATTTTTTCTAATTTCTTTTATCATTGTGGTTTGATATCGCTTTTAAAAATGACTGAATCAACCAATTCTCGTGTTGACGTACTTATGCTGGGTACAGGAGAATATACAACAGGCTATGTTCATGGAAAAGCAAGTCAATCGGACAAGACTAAAGGAGGTACATAAGAAAATGCGTGAAACTTGCTGAAAAATAGTTTTCTTATTAAATCCATAGTTGTGGCTTTAACATTAATCGATCTTCGTCGACGAGGAAAAACAAATCGTCTAGGTATGTGTGGAACTAATGGAAAAAAACTTGGCGATATTCGAAAACATATGCAACAAGCGATTGGTGATGCCTATAAAGATATGGATTTAACAATGGATTGGTGGTAGGTAGACATGTTTTTATAATTTGATTTTAATGAGAACAAAACTTTTTCTTTTGATCCTTTCAGGCCTGGCGATGATGTTGTCGATACTCGTGCCTATATTCAAGCTCTCGATGCGTTTAAACCCGGCGATGCTTGTGTCATATTTACACCTGATGATACACATTTTGATATGGCATTAGAAGCCATACGTCGTGGAATTCATGTTATGATTACAAAACCAGCTGTGAAAACATTAGCTGAACATCGACAACTATATGAAGAAGCTAAAAAGAAAAATGTACTTGTTATGATTGAAGGTCTCTATTAGATTGATTTATCTAGTCATTTATTTATTATATTTAGTTCATAAACGTTTTGATTCCATGTATTCGGATGCTCGCGATCGTATACGAGATGGTCTTGGTGAATTTTCATATTTTTATTCTTTTATGTCACAACCTAAATTTCAGTTATCTACATTTCGATCATGTAAATAAAAATATTCTTGCTTTCAAATTATCTACAAATTTTATTTTCCTATTAGGGGCTGGAATATCATCTGATATATCCTATTATCTTAATAGTCATCACATTGATTTTCATGTTTGGTCATTACACGGCCGAGCTCGTCCTACGCGTGTTACAGCTATGGGTTCGTCAGGTGTAGCTAAATCACAATATAATATTGATACCGAAGATGTTATCACTCTTTCGGTACAATGGTTTAATTTTCAATCGAAAACCACTGGTACAGCTGTTTATACATCGTCATGGATAAGTGCTAAATCCGATACACATACACAACAAAAATTTTATTACGTCGGTCACCAAGGTGAAATTAACATTGATCAAGCACATCGAGGATATACGCTTGCATCTGATACAAATGGATATTTGAGTATCAATCCATTGTACATGAAATTAACAGCAACTGATGGTAAGAAAATTTTCTCAGTTTTGTTTTATTTTTAATATTTGAAAACAAAACAGGTTACTTCTCGGGACAAAACGGTTATGGTTATCGAAGTTTTGAAGCTTTTATTGATGCTGTGGCCAATTTAAATGCGAAGAAAATTGATATGGATGCATGCGATGCTAAATTAGCAACCATTGGTACTACATTCCAAGAAACTGCTGTGCTTGAAGCAGGTCGCATTAGTTTAGACAATCAATGTGCAATGGTAGAAATCATCTATGAGAATGATACGTCACTTGTTCCTATTGAATTAAAACTTTTAAAATAATTGTATCGAACTAAAAATGTGCTATGTAGCTTATTTTTTTTTCTTATCCTGCCATAGAGATAACAAAAACCTTTTTCTTAAAATTGAACAGTGCTTCTATGTTGAATAGCTGTTTGTTACCATTTGGCAACAGTCGGCCGTAAGGGTCAAAACTTTGAAAAATTCATTTGTCGTTTTCGATCATCGAAATTCATTATTTTGCGTTCCTTTCATTTAATTATTCAAGAAAAAAGAGTAAAAATATATATGATACGCCTGCACAGTTTCTTCGCGATTCAAATCGACTTTTGTACGAAAAATTTGACATACGTTGAACTTAAGGAGAGAGTAGATGTATGGATTTTTGTGTTCGTTGGCATCAGGATAGGTATTCTTGTAGATCTTTTATTTCTCTACATCCGTGCCGATAAGTAAATTAAATATCCATTTCCCTAGCAATTATTGAGAACTACAATACTATCATGCTGGCTTTTTTTCATAGAAAATTCCATTTAAAGCTAGGAAAAGCTATGTAAATGCATCAGATATGTTTTGTATGCTGTGTTCTTGTATGAATAAATGAAAAAACGCAAAATAGCGAATAACGATGGTCGAAAACGAAAAATGATTTTTCAAAAATTTTAACCCCTCACGGCCGGCTGTTGCCATTTGGCAACATCCATACCTCTTATTGTCAGTACTCATTGAATCATCTCTTTGAGTAATATAATATACAATAGATCAAGTAGGGGAAATTTACCATTAGTGACCTATGGGATTGAATGATTGAGGGTACCATAAGAACATCTATTATGATTCAGTTGTTCTTTAGGAGTATTCAGGAGGACTCCAGTAATTTTCTCAGCTGAACGTTTTTGTTTTGTTTCATGGGCTATGGTTCTAAAATATCTTGTAGTAATTATTGAACTATTGGTTCACTATCTGTCCACAGTATAGCTAGACCTTTCTAAAAGAAATATCGGCACAATGTTGCCAAATGACAACATCCGGCCGTAAAGGATTATCATAATGATTTAAAAAGAAATGGATGCTGTTAATTTAAGAAATAAATTTATATCGTGACCCTCAATCGCAAATCAAATGAAAAAAACGAACAGTATCACTATTCTCTCGTTGCAATAGTCAGATGATTCAAGGAAATCACAAAAACAGCAGGACTGAATGCATGGGAGGCTAAAATCAAAGACAAAAAATATAAATCTAACTATTGCTAGAAAAAAATGATCATAGATGGAATATTTCATCTCAAAAGTAAATTTTACTGTTAGTCAGTAGTAAATACATGTAAGCCATGCTCGAAATAAACGAAGAATCGATGTTGTTCTTTCAAGTTGCATAGATGATTCGACCAAGAAAACTATCACCGGTTATTTAAAGAGTCAAGTGAATTCTTAAATTTTTCTATTACTTAGTTCTTAAAGATTTATTCGTTTTTACGAAGCATATCATCTTTATTTTTTGAGTTTATTGTGTCTTTTTATTTACATTCTTTTATCTAGTGACGTATATAACAAAAATAAATAAATAAGACAGTGATCAGGTGTAAACATTATCATAAAGAAAAGGAAAAAAACCCAAAAAATGATTTGTCCTACAATTTTTGTCACATGATGTTAAATATTGAGGCTTCCCTAGAAATTCTATCAAGGAATAAAATTGAAAATTTTGAACTTATTCTGTGCCATTTGTTACATCTCAATAGACAATCTTGATATCAAATGTAGTTTCTATTATCATTGCTTTTGACGTCACGCAATATTTCAAGGACACATATGGCTAGCAAAAACGCTAAGCGGAATTTTCTGTAGTAAAAATAGTACACGCGGAAAAACCCGGCCTGAATCATATTCTCGCCAGTATATAAGAGGAAGTTTTTATGCAGTTGCTCACTTTTCTTCACTCGTGGACCTACTTTAATACTTACATTAACAATCCAAAACATGGCCACAACATCTCAAAACCAATTGACATCACGTATGTTTGCTGAAAGATGCTGTCAACGAGATCTAGGAGAAATAAGGCATAATAATGAAAATTCATCGATTATATTTGTTGAACCAATCGGTGATGATTACTTACATCTAGAGGCAGCTATCACGGGACCTATTTCAACACCATATGAAAATGAAATCTTTCATATTAATATAGAATTAAGCGAAGAATATCCAGTAAGATATTAAATCTTATATTTTCTGAAGTTAACGATTCGATTTTCGTTTAGTTTGTACCGCCACAATCGATAACAGTTGCACATGTTATACCGCATTCAAATGTAAATGAAATCAATGAATTTATGTCAGAATTATTAACACCAGAATTTTGGTTACCAACTATGACAATCAACAGTATTTTAGAACGTGTATTGGCTTATATGACAATACCCGATGCTGCCTAAGTTGAATTTGAAATAATCGCACGCAAATATTCAAGAAAATATGCGCCTGTACACTAAGACTATTTTTTGTTATCAGTTCATTAAGTTAAACTTGTCCATTAGCATAAAACCATTTAGATTTTAATGGATTGAAAATGTCTTGTTAGATACAGTAGCGATGATAGAACAATTTTATCCTATGACCTTCTGATGTTTTGATTCGAATTGTGTTCGAAAAGCGAATCCATCTTCAAATAATATGCAGAAGTCATGATTTGAGCCAGTATAGCTATTCCTACGTCTTTACTCAAGTTTTCATAATACATGATGAATTGAAAAAGATTATTGTTGTCTTTTATGGGTTTTTTTTATTTATTTCCTTTTATCTAGTGGGGTATACAATAAAAAATAAATAAACAGTGTAGTGATTATGCGAAAATATTAAAAAAAAACAGAACGGGAAAAATTATTTGCCCTCTTGTTTCAGTGATATAATGGTACATATCCAGACCACATTAGTCATTTTATCTTTTTATAAAAAAAACGTTAAATTGCGTCAAAAATTGTCAAAGTAAACATATCAGTAGGAAAAAAAAACATTGGAATTTCCTAAGTAAATACAAAAGAGACATGGAGAAAACCACATAGATCATAGCCTTTTCACTTTTTATAAATTCACTCAACCAATTGCTTGCATTATTTTATTGATCAGTGCACGTTCTTGAAATACTTTAATAGCAATTGAAAATATGCCGACAACACGTGTGTTTGCTGAAAGACGCTGCCAGCAAGATCTAGGAGAAATAAGGCATAATAATGAAAATTCATCGATTATATTTGTTGAACCAATCGGTGATGATTACTTACATCTAGAGGCAGCTATCACGGGACCTATTTCAACACCATATGAAAATGAAATCTTTNTTATTGATCAGTGCACGTTCTTGAAATACTTTAATAGCAATTGAAAATATGCCGACAACACGTGTGTTTGCTGAAAGACGCTGCCAGCAAGATCTAGGAGAAATAAGGCATAATAATGAAAATTCATCGATTATATTTGTTGAACCAATCGGTGATGATTACTTACATCTAGAGGCAGCTATCACGGGACCTATTTCAACACCATATGAAAATGAAATCTTTTGTATTAATATAAAATTAAGCGAAGAATATCCGGTAAGATATAGTAATGCCTTATTGTTGCTATAGTTGACGATTCGATTTTCTTTTAGTTTTCCCCACCACAATCGATCATATTTAAACATGATGTAGTGCATCCAAATATAAATGAAATCAATGAATTTATGTCAGAATTATTAACACTAGAATTTTGGTTACCAACTATGGGCATCAGAAATATTTTAGAACATGTATGGACTCGTTTGGCAATATTTGATATTGGCAGCTGAATGTGATTCAAGTCGAGCTCAATCGTGTAAAAATAAATAGAGCTGAATTTAAATAATCGCACGAGAAGATTTAACAAAATATGCAGCAACAACCTAAATTTTTTTGCAAATATTTGTTTTTTGTTATACTATCCGTTGCCGAATAAAATTATTTAGACAGATTGTTTGCATTTTTATTATCTTACATGAGAATACAACTGGACACCAGTAGGTGTCTTGCTTAAAATTGCCAAAAGAAATTTCTGTTAGTAATCAAAATATATCTGGGATTTTAGCGTTCAAAAGCAGTCATAGGATTCAAGCTATTGGATTTTCGTAAGATATAATAACGGTGGCACAACAAGTTTGCTTTATGACGTTTTGTTATTTTGATCTGAATTGTGTTGGGAAAAATCTTTTAACAGTTCTGGCGTGCACTCATTGTAATTCATCCCGTTCTGTCAAGGCTGATCACTTGTCAGACCTCTGCTTATAGAAATTAGAATCAATTTGCCATGAAAAATCCGTTATACTATGCGTAAAATTATTGAACTGTTTTCTGCATGTATAACATTACGCAGTGTTATTTAAACCCAGCGAAAAAGATTCGCTGATTTCAATCAAATTATTGCGCAACAAAATCCAATCCACTATCGAATTGTAAATTTCGATTTTTATTTTTATTTTTATTTTTTTTATATTTTGCTGACACTGTGATCGAATTGATCCTTGCAGTACAATGTTAATGAGGAGAAGATGAAACGGTGAAAAGGAAAAAGAAAAGAAAAAGAAAATGAAAAAGAAAAAGAAAAAGAGAAAGAGAAAAATAAAGAACAATAACAATATGAAAATATTTAGTAACGTAACGAAGAAAAGAAGACCACGACCATACCATTTCACGCGGGCGAAAGAAGTAGATGCAGGAGAGAACAGCCAGTGGGTAAATTGATTTCATTAACGTACGTGGAATTCATATGGCAAGAATAGAAAGATTTTTTTGCACGATTTAAGATTGCCCATTAAGACGATTACGCCGAGTTCATAGAACATTTATGTGCTTGGGCTTGGACTCATAAATAAAAATGTTTCGGGGTGCTCTTGCAAGAGCTGTACCTCATCAATGTCATAGAAGGGGATAGAGGACGAGCAGGGGACTGTTGCCAACCATGTTACCGCTTTCTCTAGGATCGAAGTGCATTCGATGAATCTCTTCAAACGTCTTAGACCTTTGATAGGAAATTCACCGTGAGTCCACGCCGCCCTGAGGACGTTCAGATTTGCCTTTTCTAGTAGAAGTTCACCATCAACAGAATCGGCTAAAGCTACCAAGTACTTCTCCCAATAAGACGCGCATCTGTCTTCTAAGGAAATTTCGTCAAGAGCGTGTGAAAAGAAGTGATCATTCCAGTGCGAGGAGAACATAACTCTTCGAAGGCTTGAAAAGTAGAAGTGAGACAGATCTTGTCTTTGCTTCTCAGTAAGGATAGGAAATAGGAGGTAGATCCATGTGAACAGGGGTAAAATATACGAAGAGAACCAGTAGTGTCAAACTTGAAACTTGAATTCAGTTGAAAATAGAAAATTTCAACTTTCAACTTTCAACTTATGGCGATATATGTATGAGTCACTATTCTTCAGAATGTTATTGGTTTAAAAGTTGAAAATTTCAATTTTCAATTGAATTCAAGTTTCAAGTTGGACATATATGGAGAATCGATAGTTTGTAACCTCACAAATTCATTTTTGAAGGATTACTACATATTGGTTGTCATATTCTAGTAAGCATTCGATCTCTTTACTTGCCCTGTATTGTGTAGTCGTCAAGTTTGCGTGAAGATGTTCTGTAGAATGATGTATCAACAGAAAACTCTTCGCAACAAAATGAGATCGATGTCTCTAGTGATGTTACATTATTTAAATATATATCAACGACAGTGAAACGTTTTGAACACTTGGTTTAAGCTCAATTAAAGTTTACTCGCTATTCAAAAATAGCATTTGACATCGGAACAGGAGATCAATTAGGAATTTCAAGTTAGAAATTGCGTTATGCTATTTGTTTATGCTGTTGTCATGAAAAATATTGCTCTACATAGTGCTTTTCTTGACAGATACAGTTTCATAACTTACACATAACTGAAAAGAGGACTTTCTTGAGTGCAATGATGGGATCTTAGATGTGCGCTTGATGAGCAGATAGTATCTGCATACACCGTCAGCTGAACTACTCCGATGAGATAATATACAACTTCCTTGTTATCAAGATGAATTTCACATTCAAATACTGCAAGATAATCAATAAACCATCTTTTTTTAGCATGATCTTTCTTCGATCTTCGCCACGATTCAGTTATATTTTTTGTACAATTATATTAATAAATTGGTGTTCGTTGATTTATCAGAAATATAAAAATAAGTCTCGGTCGATTTGAAGATAAAGTTTTAACATATGAAGTTTTATTCGCTAAATGGTTCCACTTAATTTTGTGTATCTCGTTTCTTTATCTTTGATTTTCTTTTTCGTTTCCGATCCCAACTCGAAAAATCAGATTATAAGATCTTGTATGATCTTATAAAATCGGACACAAATCGTAGTCTCAGCAATTTTACATCCATTCTTACTATAAGATTCTTGACAGATCTAGATGTCCTTTACTGTAAAATCCTACAAAAATCCTGCGGTTAGAATTGACGTAAGATTGCTGAGACGACAATTTGTTTTTTCGTAAAATAATATCTCTCGTGTTCAAGGTCTTGTCTTATTTTTCTTCTTCGATTATTGACGATATAGTAGCGACAATTACGCCCAAATCGACGATTTTGGCCACACCTCTGTTCTTCTATCATAATATTGAACATATGTTGTATTCTTAGAAAATTCTACGGCTTGACGTGTCTACAGCATACCAATATTTTTTTTCTCAAATATTTATCGCCACTAAATCATAGCACTGAAATGTTATTGCATCCAGTTAGATTTCTCGCTGCCGCCACGTCCTACTTCAACTTTCCCATTTTTTATTTATGCTGGCTAGCAAAACGAAGAAAACGAGCAAAGAAGCAAGAGATCATGATTCATACAGTAACATTACGCACATTCTATAAATTTACATGTCGGATAATTCATTTGATTTCATGGTGAGACATCGATTATATTTAAAAAACATAGGAAACATTATTGCACAACCAGAAAAAACGACAATATAAAGTGGTGGTTTCGTAGAGAAGAGAACGGTCTAGCCGCATTCTCAAACTTTGAGTATGAAAGCAATCGAAGCAACAAAAGAGCATTAAAAAAAGAACAGAAATTAAAATTAGAAGAGCATTAAATGTAACAGAGACTTTAGAAAGATTATTCAACAGTCGAACGTCATGAGACGGAAACATATGAACGCGAAATTTCGGTTTCGCTAATTTGGGAATAAATCGATACTCGATCACAGGTAAATTTTTAACCCGGTTGAGCCATCATTCAACTTTAAACTTCATGAATCATTCTAATTTATTGGTCCAAATTCACCAAAACCTTTTTTATCAGCTTCGGTACAATTATACAAGATACTTCCTTATTGATATCCCGAGAATTTAACCAATAATGTTTTTTTTTTGTAGAAGTTTTTGTGCAAGAGACACCATTCGGCCTATAGATTTATTTTCATTAAATATTTACGTATCAATCCAGTAGATCATTTTGATGACATTTACTCTTTATAATCTAAAATTTAGCAATGTTACTATGTTGAAAAGACAATAGTCTTCATCTAATCCGTAGTCTTACATGTTGATTATTACGAATAATAAAATAATCTTCTATTTCATCGATAGAATCATTATGACATATTCCTTCGAACAATAAGATATTCAGATAAGTATAAAAATAGTCAAACTTTGTTTTTAGTCTATGTTCGTTTATTGAACATATTTTGTTTTTAAATCTCCCACCTAATCAACTTCGATGTTTGTCATGGGACGGTACCTATCTTCCCAATAACTTCTATGCTATTTTTCTTTGTCTCTTTCTATTTGATTCGTCTTCGAAGTATATATAAATATGAATCGATAATCTAGTATGTACCCAGGAGAATCATTCCGACAGTAGGATCCGACGTTGGATTTTAACGGAATCCTATCGGATTCTGTCGGGGAGTCGGATCCCAAAGGATTCAATAAGATCCGTTGTCGGATTAATTCATCTGGGTACAGAAGAGAAGAGAAGTGTGTGAAGATATTGAGTCGTTTCCGTGACAAGCGAAGTGACTAGTTAGTTCGTTTATTATCGTTATTGCTATCGTCGATTACCGTTTCGTTTTTTGTTACTTTCGCTATAAATAAAATAAACGAATATTTATAACCAAATCCTAACAATGTTTATGGCTCATATAATTTTGTGGCTCATTAAAACCACATGTCAAGTGACTTAACTCTCAGTTCTCTTCATAAAACAAAAACACGAATTTGAGTAAGACTTAGATCTCACCACCCATATTGTATAGGTGTCGATACGAGTACTAGCTCTCTTTAATTTGAGTGTGCCTATTTCAATTGAAATTATAATACGAGATTGATGGAGTCTGTAAGCAATACTATGTAGAAAAAATAAAAATTCTGATCACTTTATCGGTATCTATTTTAAACGAAGACGATATCGGTCGGTATCAAACTAGATGAAGTCGTACGTCCGAATAAAAATTTTTATGTTTTCAAGTGTTTGCGCAGTTTTATTTGAATTTTGTGAATTCAACCGAATAAAATAACGAAGTCGCTAATGTGTAATATTCGTTGCCTCTTATTCAAATTGCTTGCTGCAGATAGGATAAAACTTTTGCAACGAGGAACAGTATTCACTCGTTTTATTGTTTATTATTCTCAATAGTTGATGCTCAAATTTCAGCTCCAGTTCTATTTTATCTTTTCTTTAGTAAAATATGCGAAATGAAACCGTGCCATGTATTACAGTATATCCAAAATACTGTAATTTACTCACATCCCACATGCCAAAATCGATGTTCTGTTCGACATATCACTGTAAAATGGAAGTATCCATACCATTGCAAAAAATTAATAAAAATATATACGGCGATTCTATTCTTTAGAACCATCTTAGATTTTCAAACAGAACGCCTTGAAAGTGTTAAAAGTAATTGTTTAGCAAGATCACCTCCATATTTTTAGTAAACCAATCGTTTAGAAGTATGATTATTCCTGCTGTTCTATATTGATATATCAGATTGTTTTTATTTACTTAGTAAATAGAGTAAAATATCGAAACAAATAAGATTTTAATGAAAATCAATATCAAGCTGATTTTATTAATCATACACATATTACATAAACAGGTAGCTACTTTGCGATACAAGACTTCATAACCAACAGAAATAAAGCATCTGGCTCTTTACTTACGACAACCTTGAAATGTTTATTGTTCTCATATATTCTAATAGGAGCATAAAAAACCTCTCAAAACACTAACGCACATTTTTTATCTTTCGTTGTATGTCAGTTATTCTTATATCTGATTTACATTTTTAAAATATCTGCCATTCTTATTCGATTATTTTTAGCATAAGAAATAAACAAATTCTTTTCTAATCAGAATTAAAAAAAAATAAAAAAAATTATTCAATTTTTTCAAAATACATGTGATATTGACTTAAACATTTTTTGCAATGGTGCAGTATCTCGGATATGACGAAATATTGAGAGCGTACACTTTTGATATCTAATCTAGTTTTTCAATTACACTTCGGGCATCATAAATGACATCCAGGTATAACGAAAAGTATGTTCATTGCTAAAACCGTATATGATAAGAAACTTTATAATTCTCTTTTGATTCCTTCATCAAACAACTGTCTGTACTATAGTGCCATCTTTTATGATCATTATATGCGGATTTTTGATGGTAATGATAAAAACATTTTTCTTGATGTTTTTTCTTTTTACGGTTTTCAATTTCAAATAAGAAATTTAATACTTTTCATTTGATATGTATCAATATTATCATACACACACACTTGCATGTATAAAAATAGTTTGATTGATAGATGTGTGTATGTATGAATGAATCGGATTTAAGCGTGCCCTGTACACTGAAAAGAAAGAAAAGAAGAAAAAAAAACGTACATATATATATATATAAAATATAACAAAAGAAGGACACTACTCAGCTATTCGCGCTCTCCATTAATTTAACGTCAATAACGCATTACTTTTCAACGACCTTTCTTTCTTTTGTGAACCAGATTTATTTTTAACATGACGATTTGATTCGAAGAAGAAAAAAAAGACTAATCTGTTCTTATAAAATTCGGACAATATAATAAAGAAGAAAAAAAAAGCATTGTTTGTAACAGCTGCTAACATAATCGCACGTTTTCGTTTTTGTGGCGTGACCATGCAAGAAAAATTACTTCTCTTGTATTTCTCTTCATCCGAGACGACCGTGTGCCCTGTCTTTCAAACATATCTTCTTCTACATAGCTTTCTCTCCTCTTCTTCTTTTATCATCGTTCTCGTTCGAACGAAGCAAGCTGCACCCATTTACGTTAGCCTTCATTATTTATCTCCATCGGTTACTAGTCATAAGTAAGCATTTTGATTACAGTGAACCTTAACCTATTTCATATCCATAGAAATTTCTTTGCACGCCATTAATTGTGAATAATCAGGCAGATTATCTTGTAAAATAAGAGAAAAAAAGGTGTGCCTTCATTAATGTCCAATGTCATTATGAAAAAGAAAAATGTTTCTCTATGTACAAATATTACTATGCAACCTTGGTTGCAAATTTGTGTAAAAATGATTCTTTTCTGTTTCGGAGGTGTCTTGATTATTCATTGAAAAATCAATAAAGTACATTTTCATTTTTCTAGATAATGGAATCACCACCGCCAACAAAGATAAAGTTAGTTCAACATTTTCATAGGAATTTGAATTAATATTATCAAGTTCATTTCTTTCTAGAACAATTCATGCTAAAGAAGTAGCTGTACAGGCTCGTCGAAAAAGATTAACTGAAATATGTACCTTACCAGTTCGAATCTTCAGTGAAATAGTATGTGTAGTATTACTATTCACAATATTAGCTGGCTTTCTTCTTTCATGGACATCGGTATCAAATTACGTGTCAGAAAAGATTCGTGCAGTAAGTCTTTTTCTTATGATTAGTTTTATGGAAATATAAGAATTTTCATATATAGAAAATACGACTAGCACCAGATTCAGACGGCTTTCAAGGCTGGTTGAAGCCACCAGTGGAAACCATTCGCACGTATCGTTTATATAATATAACAAATTATATGGATATAATGACCAATAAATCCGATCCATTATTAGAATTTCAAGAAACAAAACCGTTAAGATATAAGTAAGTTTCATATTGAATATAGTGAATGCTATATTGCTTTATTTAGACTTTCTGTTAACAAAAATAATGTTGAATGGTTAGAAAATAACGAAAAACTTAAATATTCACTTGAACGTTTGTTTACACGCGCAGAACAATTCAGTGAAGAATTACTTAATCAAGAAGGTGCTTTTATTGATATTCTTCGTGTGGTATGTTGATTTAAAGAAATATTATTTGATTGTACATAGAAAATACATATTTATTGATAGATGATTCGAACGAACTTCGGTTTGAAACCTGATCAAAATTTCTATACGCTTACAGGATTAAATGCGTTTAATTATTCGAAAGCTGTCGACAAATTAGAAGGTTATGTGTCACCAATATTTGAAAATGTAGCAGAAAAAATGATAGGACCAAACAAAGATAAATATGGTTTTATCTACCGAGTAAGTGAAAATAAGAGATAAGAATTTTTATCGGCAATTATTTGTTTGTTTTTCTATGTAGTATAATGGAAGTAATGGATTTAATTATACAATTCTTACGGGCGCCAAGAATTCATCAATAAAAGGCCAAATGATTGATTTTGCATCCGCATAGTAAAAATGACTTGAAAAGACACTTGTATGAATAGATACGCTTAGTTGATTCGTTGTTTTTAGCTCGAAATTTACAACTAGTGCTGATCAATGGAATATAAGCCTTTTTGGTAAGGAAGTTTTATTAGGAAAAGAAACAGTTTTTTCTCTAAGTTCAATTTTTTCAGATGGTACCACATATCCAGTCATGGGCGATCCACCTAATCGAAAAGTAATTAATATTTTTCAACCAGATTTTTGTCGGTAAGAAAAATGAAAATTGAAAAATTTTGAATTTTATTAATATTTTTAGACCTGTGCAACTTCGATATGTACAAACTGTATCTAAATTTGGTTTTGATAGATTACATGAATATGTTTTGAAATTCGTCGATTATGAAACCTGTCCGGAAATGGATGAAAACTGTCCGGAAGCTGATAGAGTTGATATAACAAAATGTCTTTCTAGTATGTAAAATTGATATTTTGCTTTGAAGGAAATCAATTGTCTGGTCTGTTAAGGAAATTTTAATCATTCTTTTAGCGTGAATTTTCAATTCATGAATCATTTTTTGTTAGTATACGAAGAAACTTCAAAAAAAAAAGTCCCTATCTTGAGCTCTGCAAAGAAATTTTACTTTAAAAATTATCATATATTGAATATTTTTTTGTTCACATTTATCAATCACTGATCTAATAGTTTTGTGATTGAAAATTTCTATCGAACAGGTAGGTCTAATGCTGACTAATGATAGTTAGAATATCAAGATTAAAATTTTGATTAAATTTTAATGTATATATTTATAATCTTCTTTAGCTGACCTTCCTCCGGGAGTTGTTGTTGTAACAAAACCACATATGTATGGTCATAATTCATCTGCAACTAATGTTGCATTTACTCCTGATGCTGAAAAACATGAATCAGCGATTTATTTTGAACCCACGACAGGTACACCTATTCGAGGTCGAACACGTATTCAAATGAATGTGAATGCTTTAATTGATCGTATTAAATATAATAAACGTGGTGTGATAGAGTATGATTTAAGAAAATAAGAAATGTCTTTTATAAAAATCTTCATCTTTTTTTAGACCTATGGGTACTCGTGCTACTCTTCGTTTCATTCCGATACTTTGGATTGATCAAGTAAATAAAATTATTTTGTACTTTTTTCTTTTTGAAACATATTTTTCATCCTAGTCAATAACGCTTAACGCGGACGTACAATCTCGTTTGAAATCTGCTCGTAGAATTATTGGTATTGTTAATAGTGGTAACCACTACCATCGAATGCTTAAACTAGTGCATATAATGGTGTTTATGTTCTCACTTATTGGCATTATCGTAATGGTAGAACTATTCTTTTGGAATCGAAGAGTAAGAATATTAAAGAGAGTTGCACATTAAGTTTTAAAAAAGCACTATTTTATTTGTAAAACTATAGCAGCGTAAAACAGAACTGAAAGACAAATGTTGGTTTTTTTTCTAAAGCTTCATTATTCATATACTTCTGTTTTTTCGTTTAGCGGAAAAGGTGCGAGATAACGTTGTATCAGGACAACGAACCTGAAAAGACACCATTGAATAGAAACGTAGCAACACCACCGCCAACAGCTTAAATACCAAAGACAATGCTTTAAATCTGCTTTGTGATATCAATTCGAACGCCAAGAAATTTATTGGAATATTGTTTTTTTTTTAATTATCATTTATTGTTATTCAACTATTCGTTTTTTTGTTTGTGCTTCAAGTCGATCTGGTACACTTGCAAAAAATATTGTATTCGCGTTCAGATTTCTCTTTGTATGCATGATTATGTTCCATCTTTTTTTTTCTACAAGATTCATTTACATAAAGTTCACTTCTCTATTATTAACACAAGAAAAAGAATCACAGTATGTCTACACCGTTAAACATACAAGGAGTAGAAAGAGACAATAACCAATCGATGTGATATGACAACGCGAAGATTTCTTATTGAATCTGAATAAGCAATCGGATACGATGGCTATGGTCAAATAGAGTTAATCAACCGTGACAAAAGTAAATATCATGATCATCGGGTGACCGCATATTTGTATACGCTTATCAAATAAAATGACGAAGAGATATTCTGAAAGTTCTCATAGTTACAAAATGATTAAAAATGTTGACGTTCATATCGATGAAAAACGGTAGCAATATTGACTTTTATTATATTTTCAATGAGTGCAGCTGATACAGTGCATAAGGCTTCCTTGCGAATACATAAATTATCTTGTACAAATTTCAATAAGAGAAATATCAAGTACGAAGTTGTTCAATTCATGATTATTTTTTACCGAGTAGACAGAATGATTTAGACATTTTATTAAAAAAATTCTCGACTACGTCTTGTTTTCGTTTAAATAAGCGAATAATTCGTGGAAAATAACATCATCCATTAACACTTGAATTGATAACAAGTAGTGAAGAGTATCATCGATCAGTATAGATTTTCACAAGAGGGCCCAAAGACCTGACAACTGAATTCATATATTAGCACGAAAATAAATCTTTCAGTTTTCAGATAATGAGCCTCTATCTTGAAAATCATTTCATTCGAGATGTTTTGTTTGTAGTTGAGCTTGTCAAAATTTTCGTCGATCATCGGCTAATGTCGTGCAGATGCGCAAATGCTTGCTTATTTTAGTTTTTCTTAAAAATATCAGCAAACAAATGTGAACCTGTCCGACGACTAACCTTTTTTTTTCTTGAATTCGTATTGTTATTCATTGATGCTTACTGTAAGAAGAAAGTGAAGACTGAATTGATATTCGTCTGTACGATTCGATATTTATATAGCTAAGATAGTTCTAATGTTGTTTCAATTTTCCACCAATAAAATAATTTTTCTCTCTTTTTTTCCGGTAGATCAATACAGACAAGTTCATCATTCAAATAAGAAGTTGACTAATCGTTTTCGAAGATGTTCATCCTATTTGACACTTTGTTTATTGTTAAAGAAAATGATGCTTATCTTGTAATGAGCCGTATCTATCTGCTTCTTCGTTTTCTTGATCGTTGTACGTGAGTGAAAGAATATGAAATTGAGAAAAATTAATTCCCTGATATAAATAAATAATGTGCGAAAGCTGAAATAGAAATATACTAAATGACTACTGCCGCCTTGATGACAATCGACGATACATAGCGCGCATAGATTGATTTGCATGTTATAAAAAAAAGAGTGGCACCAACTGCTGAGGTATATACTAGCGTGTATTGTCTTTCTTTTTCTTCTATGATCAAATGCTGAATTGTTTAAGAGAAACCAGGTACTATTTTCAATGGTGAAAGAAAGCGTGTCACTATTTTTTTTTCTTCTAGTTATTTTGTGAATAAAAGAACAAGATACAAGAGAGAAAGAATTTTTGTCACATAGGCAAAATTTTTATCGATGCATAATTATATTCGATTTTTTGCAGAAAATTTAAAATACACATATGATCAATGTTCTATAGTTAAGAAAAGATTTTTAGTACATCATTTCCGCTGTTGCATATCTTTACATTCACACAAGAATGATTTTGTTATCAATAAGTGATTGATGATATCAAGTAGAGATTGTTGAAGACATTTCTTTCATAAAGTCAAATTAGTCGATATGCATCTTTAACATTGACTGGCAGTGTTTTATTAAGATTGATAGTACGAGAGAAAGAAAAATATTCTCTCATCTTTCTTTTACTGATTTGTCATGGCGTCTGGTTTGTACGCTGAGAAAATCTATTTCTAGGTTACATCTTTATTTGAATTAAACCATCGTCCATCGGTAGGGATAAGGAGAGATTTTCGAGTTTTGATTGAACTGATTTTTTTGTTTAGTTACGTAAGAATTATGAGCATATCTGATTATAGAGACCGTCAACATGAAGTGAAAAGTTGAAGTTGACGGTATAAGTGGATAATATTTTGGTGTCGATATGTTTACATGTCTGTCTATGTTGATAAACATTAAGAGCATGAACATGTCATAAAGACATGAGATAAAATAATCACCATATCTTTGTTGTAAATGAACGAAGAAAAGGCAATAGACAATGTTAAAACATTGAGCAAACATCGATCACCAAAGGAAAAATCTATACAGCAATCAGATGAAAGAAACTGTAATTAGCGAGTAGTTGTGAATAATCTAACAAACCAAAGATATACTTAATACTATCAGCGAGACAGGTAGCTATACATATATTTATTCTCCTGATATATATTGACGATTAATCGGTCTAGCTTTTCACAAATTATTCGTATATTATTTTCAGAGTATCAATCTCTAAGATACTGCGTGGTCCGTATCGAAGATGTCAATTTAAATAATTTATTTTGCAGTCTCATCAAAAATAGAGTCGAATTCTGATATCTGAATAACTTTAGAAGAAAATCCTAGCATGAGCGTGTTCATCTCTCTTCATAGTTCTAGAAGAATGATTTATTTTTAGTAAGAATGAGATTTCGAGTAGACTTATGTTTTCACATTTTCTCAACGTATGCCATATATAATTCGCTAGAAAGATTTTATTCACTATATTGCAAGAAAAGTACGGAGTAAGTTTTCCGTTTTTACTTCTTAAACTCATCGATTGCTGTTTTATCAATTGTTACTGTTACTTCGTCTCGAACGATGAATAGCTTTTTCATGGTACGTACCAAGAAAATCCAGTATAACCTTTTTTTTCTTTTGCCACGCCATATTGGTCATAGTAGTTACTTTTTTAATTATAGACGAACCATGGCCTTGTTCCCGTAACATACATATAGGCTAAATTCAAGGTTCTATAAGAGTGAAAGGCTAATTAATTTTTTACAATCGATATACAAATAATTTCGAAGTAACCGATTAAGATTGTAAAATAATGATACACGACCTGTCCAAGCGTGATGGAATCCCTTTTTTTCATTTTGTATTTTGAATATCTCTACTTAATGAAATTGAGTGAAGCTGAAATTTTCCGAATATATTCAAATTTCATTGCTCTACATACCCTGAAAGTTTCATAACATTTGAAACTTCCGTGAGAATTTTATACTTAAAATATAGGTCCGTTATGGAACCACCAAAAAAGGTCTGCGAGATCGAGTCCTATGCGAAGAACTGAAAAATTTAGCTCAACTAAACCTGTGAAGAAAAAACCTTCAAGAGGAAAGTTATAGTGGAGATGACATTCTATCTGTAAAAAACAAGAAAATTGAAAATATGTTAAAGTATGCCTTTGAATAGTGGAAAGGGCTTCGTGACAGAATCACTTTTTAAAAATGTTCATGTTTTTTTAGTGTCTATTTCTTAAGAAATTTATCTATAATTCGAGAAAATCAACACATTTGCATTATTCATAGAGATGTACAAACTGAGTGCCGATTCCGGTCATCGGGATTGTAACCGGGGCCGAAAAAACTAACTGTACTGAAGCCCGAACCCAAAAAACTTAACTATAGCATGGCCGAGATCCAGACCAAAGCAAAAGTGGTCCCACCAAGAGGAAGAAAGTGAGACTTTCGTACTCTGGAGTCGAGGTCAAGTAGGGAAGGAGTACAGTAAAGTAGACCTAAGTTACAGTTGTAGTAAAGAAATAAAAACTATGAGTATTGAAGAAACATTAAAAATGTGAGAAAACAATGCTGCAACATGCTTTTTTAAGTAGGCACAAGCTGTAGATTAGTTAGAATCAAATGACCGAAATGAAAAATGGACTACTTTTGAAATATAAATATTTTCTTCAGGAAAAACAATGCCTGGATCTCTTCTTATAGTTAAAGAGCCTACTCAACATAGTTCTAACAGATTTGATCGACTTTGAAAAATACCATATCTGTCTGCATGAAAAAACACAAAATAAAAACTCTTGATAAATATGTATAATCATCGATACCGAGAGATACTTGTTTAACAATATTCTTCCTCTAAAATGTATACAGCTACTTAGATAGAAAAAAAATGCGCTTTTGTGTACTATCGACAATGCTCGACAAGATGGTTATATTTGTTTTACTCGATTTCGAAGTTCAACTTTGCCTACAAAGGTGGACCGTCACGTGGACAGGTCGTACAGCAATAAATCATTTATTATACATAATTATGTTCTTTATTGTGGAACATTTAAGCTAATATTTATACAATAGATAGTAAAAAAAGAAGAAGAAGAATAAATTCATTAGATTATAATCGATATCAATTGATTTGATCCAAATTTGCATCTGATTGAAAAAGATATTTTCGAAATTTAAGAATAACTCGCACTGGTTCTATGGATTCATCGTCATTTTTCGATATTAGTTCTTTTGTTTCCGGCAAAATACCATCTAAAACAAATTGGCAATTAAATAGAGAATATATTTATTTTAACGAAAAAAACCACCTACTTGGGATACAAATTTTAAATTTTCCTGGCGGACAACCTTTAGCTGTTTCAATATAACCTTGCTCACCAGTACTCAATTGTACATTAAAATTAATAAATATTTCAATATTTGTATCTGGCTTAAATAGGTCACGTGCTAATACAGTATTTGAGTCAAGTACACGATCAGCAAAGCCAAATTTTTCAACAAGTAATTCGACAATCGATTGCTGTTGCTCATTACTTTTATTGTTTTTCTCTTCGGCTTTCTCAGCACGTATTTTAGCCATTGTATACAATGATACATAACTATCACGCTCTAATAAGGCATCTTCTAAACGTTCTTGCATCTATTTAAAAGAATTAAGTTAACGAGGAAATTCTATTGCGATGGAGGTTTTACTTCGAGTAATGTTTGATTGATGTTGACATTTTTCATTTGTGCTCGTAGTTGGTCGTTATTTTTTTTCAGAGTTAAAAATGTTGATCGAAATAATTCCATAGTTTCAGCGTATTTTTCAAATGATTTATCATTGGTAAAATAACGTTTCTATAAAAGTCTCGGAATTAAAAAAAAGTAGATAAAACAAATATTCTTTTACGTTCATCTCATCGAAAAATGCTTCACTCGACATGTGTTGTCCATCTTTAAAAAGAGTTGATGGTGCTAATGTATGCGGAACTTGTGCTAAATTGAAGATTATCATTTTTGCAATAGGAAAAACAGCTTCGTTTTTTTTTAGTACTTAATAATAATTGATTATTTGATAGAACTGATTGGATACGCTGTTTGAATTCATTTGTTATCTCATCAACTGTAGATGTGATTTGTTGTTCGACAGTCCGCAGTCGTTCAATATTGGCCATTTCGCTAAGCGCATAAGCCTTGAGCAAAAAGATAAATATAGATAAATGAGAAGAAACGATTCGACTTACTTCCATTCGATCATTGGATAAACGCAATTTTTGATCCCATAATTGAAGAATACTCGTGTTCTTTTCATTAATGAACACTTGTTTTCGTTTGACTGATAAAGGTGTTGATGGTTCATTATTTTCCTATATAAAAAATCAATAGCTGCTATCGAGAAAAACTGAAATAAATATTTTCTATTCGATGTGAATGTCTTAGAAATAATGCAGATGGCTGATTTAAAGAGGATCGCTGCCATCATTGAAATCTGCTACTACCAGTAGCTATGGCTTTCATAATAAAAAAAAACACTTTGCTCTCGTTACATAGAAAAAAGCAGAGACGTGCGATTCAGATTACGCTAGATTGAATATCAATGTAAGAATCGTTGGCAGACGAATTCCACTTGAGAGATTTGGCTTCTGTCAAAATTTTTCTTAGCAAAAGCCTTTTATTTGGAACGTACTTTTCCATTTGTTGGACGTGGAGATTGTGCTAATAGAAAATCGGGTTTTAAATGTTGCATTGGTTGCATTTTTTATGGTTTTCAATAGACAAAAAAAGTCTGGTAACAAAAAAATTCTACTGTACGAAGACAATGTCTCATTGTTTCTTTGTTACGCGGTACTATAATATATTCTTGTTAAATATTTCAATAGATTTTAGTTATTCAAAGATTGAAATTTTATAATAATTTACAATGGAATATAAATATTATAGAAAGTCTAAATGCATAAATGCTTTGATATCCAACGACCCTGAACTGATCCATAAAATACCATTACGCATATTTGTTATTGTTGTTCCTTTTTTGCTAGCATCTTCCTTTCGGGAATTCGCAAGCATTAACAAAACGACTCATAATCTTCTTTTTTTTTCTATATAAAAGCTACATTTAATCAACGAACAAAACAATGATTAACCCACCCTCAGGTTCATACGGTGGTGGTTCTCGTCGAGCACGTTATTCACGTTCACCGCCTGATAGTATGCCACCATCGAAACGTTCTAAACCTTCGAATCCAAACGATACCTACGATCGTAACCATAGTATTGGATCAGATCAATTACGTGCTTACACATCAATTTGTGTAAAAAATATCAATCCAAAAATATCAGATTCAGGTAAATAGAGAAAAGAAAATCGTTTTCGACACCATTAGTTGTATTGTTTCAATTTTAAATAGTAATTCGAGAGTTTTGCGAAAAAAAATTTTCTAAATATGGTTCAAATTCCGTTAAAATTTATCATCGTAAGCAAGAACGCGTAGCATTTATTAATTTTACGAATTGTGGTGATGCACGAAAGGCACGGCATGCTAAAACAGGTCTCGTCTGGGAGAACATGAGAGTTCTTGTAGAACCGTAAGTTAATTTTGTTTTTCTCAAGTAATTAGACATTGTCTTATTTGTAATCAGGGTTTATTATCGTAAAACTCTTCCAGCTGAACAACCTATCAAACCCGATAATTCACGTGAACGTCCATCAACACATCGGAGACGTCGTCCAACACCACCAAGTCCTTCACCACCAGCTCGTTCTCATAATCATTCATCTTCAAGACATCAACGTACAAAATCCCCCATAGTTTCTTCTCGTTCATCGCGTCCACCACGCCGAAATTATTCACCGTACATTCCACTTCCACCTGATTTAATGAACTATGCTAAGACGAAACCTAGTCGACAACGAAAACATTCATCATTATCACCCGCCCGTCGTTCTCATCATAAAGACGCATCCAAACAACAACGTAGTCGATCTCCAAATAGTCAACGGTCAGGATCGCCATCACCGCCTACACATCGAACAAATCTAGATAATGAATCCACTATTCAAGGTGAACCAACACGTACTCTATGCATTGAAAATCTTGATCGAAGTGTAACAGATTCGAAATTAGAAGAAATATTTGGTCGTTATGGAACGATTAAAAATAGTAAATGATGATTATTATTCACAAAATGCAAACTCATTAAATCATATTCTATTTAGTTGACCTACGAAAATCATCGTCATCGTCAAAACAAACTTACGCTTTTATTCAATATGAAAATGTAGACATGGCCTTTGAAGCACGTCGAGCTATGAATGGTCATTCGGTTGGAAAAGCCGATTGTAAAATTGGCTATGGTGCGTAAATGATTATGCATCTTTTTTGTTTTACTTCATTTAAATTCCGCGTTTTATTGAATAGCTTTAAAAAAAAGTTTCACTTACTCTTTTTGCCCAATCTTTTTTTATATATGGATTCGTATATGTTTATTTGCTTGATTATACATGTATATTCAACCCTGTTTTGTTCTTGTCTTCTCTGAAGTCGTTTTAGAGGTTCTAACATAAAATTTGCAACGATTGCGTGTATCGCAAAACATGACTATGCAGTATTATATAAGCACGATGCATTTATATTTTTGAGATATAGATATAAATATAATTCGCATAGAAAAGAAAACGCAAGACTATATTTTAAAAATAGTATTATAAATCATCGTGTCATTTACAAACTATTAATCATTGATAAAGACACTTGATGAAACCACACCTACGTATAAATAATAGATATCTATATGTCAAGTGGGTTAGAAGTATACATTTGTTTATACCGTTGAATCTTTCTTTTATTACTTTATGAGATAATGGCACTATATAATTTGATTCATTCATATTTTTAGAGATGAGAATTGAGACCTATCGATATAAATTCTATTTCTCTATCGCGTTTGTTATTTTTTTTGTTCGAGCAATCCATCGCTTTGATTATTAGACGCGTGTCTATCTTTCCGTTTCTATACGATGAATAGATTCATCGGCGAATGATATTTTCTCTCTATTGAATTTTGGTTTATATCCCTGTCAATACACTCATAGATGACAGAAATCTCTTCTCTTTTTTCAGTTTAACAATATCAAAATCATCATTGATTATATACATTAACATTAATAATTATTCGAGAGTTAACCAAAATTTCTTTCTTTTTCTTTACTTAATGGATTATGTGACGAAGAAAATGTTCGCTGGGATACGTTCATCTGTATATTATATTTATATATGTATATATTTTCAGGCAAAATTGCACCAAGTAAATACCTTTGGGTTGGAAATATACCCGTAGAAATAAAACGACGTGACCTTGAACATGCATTTTCACGTCATGGACAAATAAAATCACTTGATTATTCAACAGGCGATCCAACAGCTGTTATTACCTATTGTGATATTGAAGACGCAATTAAAGCACGTGCGAAACTTAGTGGTACAATTAAAATTATCGATGGTCGACCCGTACTCAGTGAAACTGATACATCGCCATCATCGCGTCGTGGTAAGAAAATATCATCGATCTATTGCATTATTTATTTCTCGTACATAGGTTTTCGTATTGATTATCTCGATCGTCCAACATCTCGGCGTTTTGTTATTGTTCGACCACAAAAGAAACCATCGAATAAACGTGAATCCCGTTCTTCATCTCGTAATAGATCACCAGCATCATCAACACGTGATCGTGCACGTTCTTCATCCAATGATAAGAATAGCCGTGAGGATAATAACGATCAACACAAAACTGTAGATAATTTAGTAGAAAATGTTAAAGCCGAAACAAAATCACCTCCACCGACTCCATCACCACCACCACCACCATCACTACCGTCACCGCCACCAACAATACCAACTATAATAAAACAACGACGTTCAACAGATCGTAGTGACTCTCCACCATTGATCAGTCAAGCTCCTATAGCGGGCCGAACATTTCATGGTTTATTAGGTTCCTACTTATCACCAAATGATACAGCAAATGTAAATAATCTAAATGAATTGATGATTCTTTGCGAACAACTGAACGCATCAGCAACTAAAAGCAACACAGCACTATCCACTGTTTATCCTGTTCAATTTATATTGAAATCTCATGCTTATGATGCACGTTTGCATTTTCTTGCTGGTAGTCCAACATTGGCCAGTATTTTACTAGGTATCTATTTGTTTAGTTTCACGTTTTTTGAGAAAGAAAAATTTAATCTAAATATTTATTAGGCCAACCGGGTGATCTGATAGCAGCGAAAACTGAATTGAAAATCACACAACGACTTCGTCTAACGCAACAGAAACTTGACGAATTAGACCGAGCAATTCGTAATAGTGTTACACATGCGTTAACTATAACAGGAAATAATGTACATGCCAATACGAATAGTCATTCATCATCCAATGGTTTGACATTAGGTGGTAGTCGAAAACAATTAACTGTGGCTAATCAAACAAAATTTTCTATACTTATTGCATCACCTAAAATACATCAATCCGATGAATCATCGAATAAAATTGAGCAAAAACTACCAAGTGCAACAATCAAAAGTGAAATAGCGTCACCATCGCATGCGGATGGACTTGAAAAGTCTATTCAAGTTAAAAAGGAAAAAATTGATAATAATGATGATGATAATAATAGTGATAATGAAGATGGTACATTACTTTCGCGTTTGATTGTTTATCTACTCGAGTAAGCATAAGAAATTTTAATCAATTGATTTCCTTGGAAAGTCTTCTATGAACGATTGCATAGAAATCATAATAAAAAGAAAGCAGATTTATGTTAATTTCCTCTTTTTTTGCTTTGCCAAGATCGAATAATGACTGTCGGGCTCGAATATTGTTTTCCGGTTGTCAGTCAAAATAGATCAATCGGAAATAATTTGAATTTTATCTTCACTACATTCGAGCGATATCTATAAAAAAAGAAAGCCCGACTTACTATAGATATGATGAATATTCATCTCTAAAGAGTCGGCATAGTTTTCCCTTTCTTGAAAGTTATGCGCAAGTCGTTCTGAAATACTCTTAATGAAAATTTGATTAGTTACCAGTAATTTCCTGTCAACTTCTTCGATGATTTCCGATGAATGAGAAAATAATCATGACGTCTACTACAGGCCCTCCGTTTGAAAAATAAACGAAAACTTGAGTTTTCAAATTTTTGCCTCTTTATCTATTGTTTTTTGTTAAAGGAAAGATGCAGCTGGTGTTATATCCATACCATTTCATCCAACCTATCAAAATGATCATTCATCTCGACAAGAAACAGCTGTTATACATATATGTCCACCATGTCCGTTAAGTACAAAAATTTTAAAAATAATCTGCCCTTCGATTCATTTTTCAAATGATGTTAATACATCTCCATCACGGTCATTACCAACGACTAATGATGAACATATAATGGTTATCATTGTTCACAATGATATGGCAACGAGCATGTATGAAGCAGCACATAGTTTATTAGTGTAAAGAATTTTCTAATGCTTCCTCATTTTCTCTTTCTTAGACCATCGGTATAGACAAAAAGAACTTGTTTTACTGTGATCATTCCACAAAAGCCATAAACAGTTTATTCAACAAATTTTTCTTTCATTTAACCGAGACCAAAAAATATCTAATTTAGAGTCTTCCGTTGTACATTTTGTTAGTTTATTTGTTTTTTTATTGGCATACGCAAACTGATATTCGTGTATGGTGTTCTCTTGTTAATGCTTTTTTTTCTTTTTTTTTTCTTTTTAACTTAAAAAGTACTTGACATTAAAACAAATTTAATATTTGGAAAATATTTCTCCCTTTGTTTTTGTTATTGTTTGTAGATGACGGACGACGAGATATTAACTGATTTGGAAACTTTCAATGATTCTATGGTGCATTTGAAAGAAGCAATTGAGGGCAGAGGTAAAGAATTTTTTTTTGTATTAGAACAACAGAAGAATACATTTGTATTATCGTTCGTAGATTTAGAACGTATGCCAACAGTTTTAAATCAACTTCTTACAATTCTAAAACATATTATTGAAACATATCAATTAAATGATTCAATTGATGTACTGGAATATGCTGCAAAATTAATTCATCTCTTGCAAGGTAAGAAAGAATTTCTGCTGGCAAGCTTCCAGCCTAAAATATATCAATAATCTGGTCCTCGCATAATACAGATGTTGGCGCGGCGAAAATTTATATTCAAGATCATAGTCATCACGATGGATTCAGATCTTTCTAGTTTTAGAGAGCAATGAACTAGTAGAAACATCATTGTCCGGATAAATAATTATTCTTTACCAGACGGAGGAGCTTCCATTGATTGTATAATGAGGGCAGATGTGGAATGCACTTTTTTTTATCCAACAAGAGCACTACTAACAAGCTGCTATTTTTATTTATTATAGATGTTCATTCAGCTGAAAATACAAATTATAGCCTTGAGCCGTTTTCACATGCAATCGATCAACTTGCACTTTGTCTAACAGCAAGGTAATTAGTTAATGAATGAATATGTCCTCATAGAAAGTAAAAAATTATATATTTATCTCTAGAATATCAAATCGTTTTATTGTTCCGTCATCGTTGAATGCTGATGCAATCGGTTTAAATTATAAAGATGATCATATGAATTCAAATCGAGAAGTTGATGTTCTACTTGAAATACTTATGAAACGTACTGATGGCGTTGATGTTGCACATGAACATGCGAAATATTTATCCAAATATATGTTTTCATTAATACACTATGTACAAGAACGATCGATGGAAGAACTTGAACATGCTGAACGGACATCAAAGTTAGCCAGTAATTGTTCATTATCATCGTTTTTAACAACCTATCGGTTTCTACCTGGTATTGATTTGATGATGAACACATTGAAAAAAGATTCAGCACATAATTCAAAAATCCAATCGACATGGATGATTTTACAGACACATGAATTCGTTGGAGTAAGTCATTCGAGATTAATTACAAACAGATCTTTACTGTTTTTTCTGTATAGAAACTTGATTCTTGGCGAACATATCACGATAATATACGAAAAACAGTCAAAATTCAATGGGATAAATGCTTGAAAAAATTTGTAAGTATATCCTGCATACACCTTGAACAGAACGAAAATTAGAGACACTCGTCGTGGTGTAATATTTTGAATGGCGATAAGCATCTCTTTCCTACCTTATACATACTTGATGCAGCGTGTCCATACTAGTGAAAATTGGATCTAATCTATTTTGAAAACTTAATTTTTAGCAACAATCATCACAAACATTGGAAGACGCTCGTTTGAATTCGAAATCAGTGACGCATCTTCCAACATCGTCATCATCATCATCATCATCAACAACATCGTCAGATGCTAATCCCAATCCAGCAAATCTTTCACCAGTACCAACGCACAATGCTCTTCAACGTACTGCATCGTCTCCGTCAACGATTCAAACGACTCCACTGACAATTGCTCCGTCGTATTCAGCTAATGAAAAAAATATTCAGTCTCTATTAAATGACTTTGATTTAAAACGAAAAGAACTTCAATTAACTAAACATGAAACATTAGTCATACTCAATAAACTTATACATAATACAGAAAGTTTAATTATCGATTCATTGAATACCTATTTTCGTTTAACTGATTATCTAGCAAATGCATCCTCGAATTATGTACCAAGATCAAAAAATGATCTAATATCATCCTATAGCACTTATATTCATTCGCTGCCGCCTTGTGCCGTTCAAGATAGTCCTTCATCGTCCGCGAATGATAAATCAGTACGACAAATACCTATCGTGATTGAACTTTGTTGTCAATGTATTGAACGACTTGACGGACACAAATTAAAAGGCATTTATCGTTTATCAGGTGTTAAATCAAAAGTGGATCAACTGTGTCGACAATTTGTACAAGGTGGCGAATTAAATGAAAATGATTTAATGAATAATTATTCGCCTATCGTTTTGGCTAGTGCAATAAAAAAATATTTACGTGAATTACCTGTTCCATTATTATCAATTGTTGAATCATCACAATCATCAACATTAATTCAAAATGAATTATTGAATATTGGCAAAGAAATTTATACGACAGCAAACGAAACATCATCACGTACGAACGAGCGCCTACGCGAAATAATCGAACAGAGAATTTCAAAATATGCAAGACAAGCTTTAATTCATTTAATTAAACATTTACATTTAATATCATTAAGTGAACAAGAAAATCAAATGTCTGCTGCTAATTTAGGAATTGTTTTTGGACCGACACTTTTTAAAGCTCACCAACGGTAAGTTTCATGATAAAGCCTTGACATTCAATGTTGTTCGTCTCCTAATAACACCTACCCACAAAATAACCGATTTTTTTATGAGCACAATAAATTTTAACATTGGCATGAATCAAACCGGAACTGCCGGATTTTGTATCGCATTAGAAAAACAGCTTAATGTCATTTTTTGTTGTCTACTATTGACAAGTTTGATAATTAGCGATGTATTTTTAGAAATAGGAAAAGAAAATGCGGTACCGAGCGAGAGCTTAGGATTGAATATCCGTTGTTTTTTTTGTATGAAAAGAAAGACTTATGATGCATAAATCTTTAAAGCTGTGACTTACTAAATCGATATTTAACAGGTGTTAATGAGCGTATTATAGATGATTGCAAATCTTCTATCAGGTCTAATTGACTTTTAATTAAAAAAATCATGTTGTTTACGATAATTCGGAAGTTAATTTTAGAAGACTACAGCTTGTCTTAAGCGAAAGCTTTTAAGAAATAACCTTGAAATTCGACATACGTCATATATATAGATATGAAATATTCATTAATTTTCTATTTTCGGGTGAAACCAATTAAGTTTAGTGATAGAGGCGGCGTATTATATCCGGTATATTGTTTCTAGACGAGATCTTTTCTAATTGGAATTCTATTTGAAATACTGGCGTCACTTTTTGAAATTTTCTTTAATCCAAAGTTTTACATTTTATATAGATCTAATTTACTCATGAATTCAAAGGAATGCACCGACTTTCATTTTATGCATATAGCCCTTCATTAATTTTAAAATGACCTTGAAATAGAAATGTAATTGTTTCAAGTTCAATTGCAATTTAATTATCGAAATTTAATGTTCTTAGTCGAGTTAAGTAAATAGTGTTTTTTCTTTCTATTACCGTAGAGCGCAAGATGATACAACACTCACAACATTACTTGAAGCACCCTATCAAGCAAAATTAGTCGAATATTTAATTGTCAATGTACATGTAAGTGGTATTGAAAAATTTCATTTCATAGAAAAAATAAATTGTCTTTTAGGATCTTTTTAATTCAGACAACTAGTCATATTTATCTATTTTGTTTTATTTTGAATCCTTTTTATGTAAAATATAAATCAGAATACAGTGAATGTGTTTTTTTTTCTTCTGCTGCTTGACGTATTGAATTGTATTTTAAACTCATTATTTATTGTATATTTATACAAATAACAGTGTGTAGTAATTGTGTATTTTTTCCGGCATTATTACTCTTATCAACTTGAGAACAATAAAGGATGATGAATTTAAAAAGTTTTGATCATGGCGATGCATGCGAAACAACTGCAAACGAACCGTCGATGCAGCGTAAAATATGAAAAGAAAAATACTTTGACTATCGATTATACATTTCTGCCTTTTTTTTCGATTTCAACATAAACCTTAAGTAAATCGTGGTTATATTTTTATTATTTGACTAATTATTTATTTCAAAGAATTCAATATGTTTTGCAGGTAGAAAAAATAATTATCAATAGTATAAATGCACTATTTTATGCATCCTGAAGGTTACTAATAATGGCATATTTTTCAAAGAGGTCGAATACAAAAGCAATTTGGAACGGAGCATAATATATTATTTTTTGAAAGAAACTATTTTATTTGTGATTGGATGAAATATGTAATCCTCACAATCTTCTTCTTGCTCATGGTATAGTTTGCTTTTGTAAAAATAAATATCGAATAAAAATCTGAGTACGAGATGTGTACCTCTCGAATATTTATGCCGAATACTCTTGAAAACGAGGATTAAATGAAAGGCAATCTTTCAAGAGTATTGATATTTCTGAAGCACAAACTGCATTGATGTTTGCGTGCATGTTTACGAGTTGAATCGACTAGGAGTAAAATGGTTATAAGCATAACGAGTACTTGATGTCGAGTGATTAGATTTTCGTTTTGTTCGGCTATACAAGTTTTGATTGAATAGAAAAAACTGCTCATATAAAGATCATGATTGTCATCGTGAAACGTTTAACAAGAGCTTCTCAACTTTTTCTTACTTTTTTCTCAATATTAAACGCATATTTTTGTATTGTGAAATGAAATTTTACTTGTTACAAAATAAATAAAAGTTAGCTGTCTACTTGTTCGAATTTCAAGACAAATATTCACTGATTTTATTTTATTTTACAAGAATGTATTTTGTAATACGATAAATGAAGTAAATAAAACCGTGTTTTTATCGACAAAAATATTGTGATTCTATACATCAGACAAGAATTTTGGTTGTCTTTAGTGAGTCTATTTGTTCACCAGTGTATATGCGCGTCTAGAAGAATCGATTGAAAAGTTGATAGCGATTTGTCATAGAACAAGCTTTCGAGATATAAAAATAGCAGTTACATTAGTGTCAATGTTCTTCGTTTGCCTTAATAAACCTTGGTGTAGTGAAAAGAATGATATTCTTTTTAAAAATTTTTATTAACATGAACAATAATTAAGAGATTCAACACAAAACAATACGATACAAATTCACCGGTCGATCACGCGCATTATTTTGTTTTAAGAAGCTAAAAAAGCTAATCACATAAGCAGACAAATAAGATGCTAACGACAGAGAAAAGAAATTGGAAAGCTCTAGGCTTTATTAAATGCAAAAAAAAATAGTTTTTAGCAGCCAGCTGCAATAACATAAAGTACGAGGAGGAATCAAAGTAATTAAGCTCAGCGACGAGAAAAACAGAAGACATTTTGTTGGCAATAGATATATTCTACGTGATCTGCTTTTTATGTTCTTACATTCTGTTCTTCAATATCAATAGAAACAGCCAATCTCAAGGAGTTCATCTAGATTGTTGGAAAAATTTGCTTGATCTAGCCCGGATTGACATGTGTCGAAGTTATTGTCGAAGAAGTCTGCTCTTGTTGACGATTGATTGTCGTCGGTGCTAAAGAATTTTCCCCAATAGTCATAATCGATACTGAACTGGGCAGTAGCCTCATTTGAAAGCTGTCCGTTGCATGGCGAAAGTTGTGGCTGTTTGCCAGAGCTGTTGCTTGGGGATCTATTGAAGTCGGCGTTAAAGAAGTTCTCCGAATCTCCATTGTCGAAACCGAGTGGGGCAACACCCGTTGAAAGCTGTCGAACGAATGCGGAATGTTGTTGGTGATGGAAAGAGTTGTTGCTTGGGGATGGGTCGCACTCGAAGTTACAGATTTGCTTCCAAGATTCATCGTCGATGCTGGACCAGATAGGATCTTCGCTTGAAAACTGTCCGTTGAATGGTGAATGTGGTGGTTGATGGGAGTTGTTGCTTGAGATGTTGCTGTACACGATATCGTCCACGTTGCGCGACGAGCTCGGGACGATGGTTGATTTTTCGATCGGTGCAGATGCTGACAGATGAACTAAAATAGGTGGAGAAAAATTACGTAAACAATAGATATTAATCGTAAAAGGAGCACAAACACCGCACCGAGATTTACTTGCTGGATTTCGGTTGATATTGGATTTATTTCCAATTCAGATTGCATACATTGAATATATTGATCTCGTAATGAGGGGCTAGTTAAACTCATATTTAGAGAAACAAAGCTTTTCAATAGAAACGTATCTTACTCGATAAGTTGAGCGGTAACTATGAATTCAATTGGCTTCGATCTTGGCTTACGGTGTATTCGTAATTGGCATAAAAATGTCAAACGTTCATCACCATTATTTCCATACATATCAAGTACTTCAAAAACGTTCATTGGTGATGCTTTTTGTTGTTGTTGTGGTTGTTGCTGTGCTGCATGTTCAACTGAAATTAAACAACATTTTTGGATAAAAACCAAAGATTCAAAATAGATTCGTCTTTTTTTACAAAATTTTTGTCGAATTGTTTCGAATTTTTCAAGATAATCAGCTATTAAATATCTTCCAAAATATTGACCAATCATTTCCTGACGTTTGTAGCCAAGAATATCTTTCACACTAAAACAATTCGATATTCTACCTTTTTCTTTGCTTTTAAGTAAAAATTTTACTTAAGTGAAACGTCACTAATCATCATGTTCTCCTGTAATGTAAACATAATTGTTGATCTTGAATTATCACTATTGGCCTTCGTAACTGATTGCGAAGAGTGCTTTCCTTTTGCAGTTGAAGATATTAATGGTTCACAATGAGCAATAAATAATTTTTCCGATGACGATGACTCATCGTCACATGCATAAAAATGGCCAGACATATTTATTGTCTAATAATAAATATTTCGGTTACAAAAGAAATACTCTTTTTTTTCTCTTTACCGTTACATCTTCGTTGATTCGACTCGGTCGTTTACCTTTAGGCAAACGTAAAGTACATATGAGTGAATGTTCTTGATTAGGAAAGTCAACTGAAGAACGAAAAACCGTTTGTAATTTGTCGCGGTCCGTATTATCGAGACAATCTAAAATGTTGATCATCTGTGCATATAGTACACGCTAAAAAAAATGAAATGTGCCTTTTGAAAATATTCCGTTTTTAAATTGAAGATCATATTTACCATTTCTTTTCTTAAATGATGTTTAGCTTCATCGCTGATAGCGATAATACGACCGTCAGTGCGCATAACCAATAGAAATTGATTATTGCTTACCTAATAGATTTTGAAAGTTGAAATTAAAAGAAAATTCTTATTGATTTTTAATCTTACATTCAATGGAATGCCACATAAAAGTTGATAATTGCCTGAAATAATAAAATAGAAGTTTTCCTTCAATCAATGATCAATGTGTTATTTTTCTTACGCGAATAAGTAATGCTACTAAGATAGATTTCTTTAAGTAAACGTGTAATCGCTGCACATAATGTAACATTTCGATTTGTTCTGCTCTCAGGTTTAAGAGCAATATTCTTTTCTGGTCTTGCATTTAAAGTTTCTCTAAGTAGCCGAATGAATTGGAAATCAATAGAATCACGATGTTTTGTAGATGCCTAAATCGTATAAAAATAGTAACGTCTTGTTGTTTGGTCAAATAAGCAAAAGGTTTATCTTTTTAACTTGATAACATTGCCGTGGATGTTTCTTTTCGGTTATTCATAGTTGGAAAAAATTTGAAATATGTTATCAACATCACTCGAAGTAAGAAAAAGCTTTATTCTAAAAATATCTGTTTGAAGAAAGTCTCATGAATCACCTTAATATGAAGGTCAAACAATGAAAAACATATTCAAAATTCGAAGATTTTCACATAATAGTCATAGGGCTTCTATGTTGACAACCGAAATAACGACTTTCTTTTAGTCACATCGACTCCTCAGAGTAAGCAAAACCTGAATTACGAATTCTTTTTCTGCCTATGTACGACGATGAACAAAAAAAAAACTTTGTAAGTTTTGTATATATTCGCTTGATTACCTTGATTACTTTAGTTTCTTCTTGCTGAGCATAACTATCATGATGATCATTTATCGAACCAGCCGATTCATCATGAGTAAATCTTTGTTGTTGAGACATAGTTTTAGGATTTATCGCCTGCGATTTGTGTACTACTCCTGCCTGCAGGAGTTGGAAAAAGGAAGTTAACTTTAAAGTATTCGATCAACGAATGACTGCATAAGAAACATAGTTGTCTCTTTCTCTTCTCTTTTTTTCTCTTTTTTCTCTTTTTTTCCCGTTTATTTTTGTATGTTTGCTGTTTTAAGGTAGCTTGTTTTTTTCTCTCGTTTAGTTTGATTCGAGACGTATTCTGCAGTGTAAGAGAGCAAAGGAGCGAAAAATTAAAGGTGAGATAGATAGAAAAACAGAGAGAAAAAGTTGTTTTTTTAAGAGAGCGAAACGTCTACGGCTTAGTGACGTATTTTTCTATTAGTTTTTCTCTCTTATCATTAGATATGAATATTAATATTTAAATTATGTAAATAAATACAAATGATGTTCTGACAGAAAGAAAGAAAATTTGACATAAATGTTTTCTCTTTGAAAGTTTACGTGTACGAATTCGGTCCGGTCAAAAAAAGAGCGAATTTTGTTTTTATCAAACAACACTGTACTATTATTTATCACAGAAAAAAAAACTTATTGACCCATAAGTCTAAAGTGCACATGATTGGACAATTTTTATGCTAAATATTTACAACGTAGAAATGTTGCCAAATATGTAATTTGATCTTAGAAAAATACATAGAGCTCAAGTCTAACATCCTACGCCTGCAAACCATGATAATAAGCCGAAATAAACGATTCAACAAAACATGAGATTAAATATTGCATGCGATACCATGTTCTTAAATGTCAGTTTTTTACGACTAGACAATAGATAGAAAAAGATCATTGCCATGAATGCAGATCAATACCTATGATCCTTTTTTTATTTAACATAGAGAAAATGGTTACGTGTCAATTCAAGCAAACATAACAATAAAAAACATGAATTGAAGTCAACTTAAAAGTCCCATCGAAGCATACTTCAATAGAAGGAAACAGAACTTGTTGAAAAATATATATCGTATTATATCATTAATCGACAAGTGAGAACTCTATATAAGATGTCGCACATCGAATACAATTTGTTTATATGTTCCATGGCAACCTATTGTTACAGAAGAAAAAGTGAAAAAAAGAAAAAGAGATTGTTTTATGTTTGGTCTGTAAAAACGCCCTGCCAATTGAATTTTTTTGTTTGTTTCGTTTTGTTTTGAATATGCCATCATTATATCGACCACGAAGAGGTGGTTCAATTGAGATTGTATCAGAGAAAGCTGCTTCGGACATACTAGTCGATTTAAACAAAAGACCCGGTTCAGCAGAATTCGTTGAGCCCGCAGATAAATTCATAAATGAGTACATACAGCAAAATTCAAAACGAATACAAGTAAAAATGTTCTTGTTAATTAAAGATTTTTCTATGAACTAAACTATTTAGAGTGCTTCATCAAGCGAAAGAACTGCTTCCTCATCCTTGTCAAATGACGGCGATTTAAATGAGCAACAAGAAACAAAAAAAAACCAACGACGTTCATCGCGTCATGCTAGTGCACATCGATTGTTTGAAGTTAGCGAATGGGAAGAACAACAGAAACGATTAAAACAAAGACTTCAAACAGTAGACCTAAATTCACGCTTCTTACATAATATTTGCAAATGTCTTTATATTGCTTAGGGTGAAACAAATACAACATGTTCCTATGATGAAATCAAAGCTAAAACTGAAGAACTTCTAAAAGTAAATAGATGCCTATTTTATTTTTCATCTAAGAAACCAACATCAGTCTAACGTAGTCATCACAAATCTTTAGATGAACCTTCCATTGAACAAAACGCATGTTCATTATGTTTGAATATATCCATAATTTGTTCACCTTCTACACCTTTCTTTCGAAATACTTAGCACATTTGCTTTTTTCCATCATTACTGCTTGGCATAATAGATTTTATATTTATAAAAAAAAACAGAAAAAAAAGAACTCAACTTTTGTGTTTGTTTTTGTTTGAAATAGAGTATTTCATTCGCTATAGGATTATGAACAACTAATACCTAAATATGATTTTGAAACACTTCGTCGTCGAGAATTCATCTATCGACACTATCGCTGTAATGTACGTGAGCCATTTCTAGTGGCGAAAATTCAACAGTTTCAACAGCTGGAAAAAACGCGTACCGATAGAAAGCGATTCAAAACTCAACAATACAATCAATATCTTCAATTCATTAACAAACATGTAAGTTTAATAGTATTTTTGCGAAGTAAATTAGAAAGTTGAACGATGATTGATTGCATGTTCATGGAAGTGCAAGAAAATTATTCTCGAGTACTCTAGAAAACAGTTGAACAAGTTCCTGTGCACATTATGCGCCTTGTTTTTACGATAGACACATTTCTAAACTCTAAATTGAATCTATAAATGATAAAATGGAAATTATTTACAAGAAATAAATGCTAAATCTTAGTTTACAGTTAATGACATTATCTAAACCGTGTTTTTGTTTTATGTACTATGTACAAAGATCGGACAATTCAAAAAATCTATTTATTATTCTCTACTGTGAATCTCGAAATAGAAATGTATCAATTGAATAATCAGATTGTTATTGAATTATTGATTTTTCGCATATATTTACATAAATTAATAATTTAATTCAAGGCATTTGCAAGACTGATTCCCTACTGAAAGATGATATTCATATTCCAGCATTCGCGTTTTCGAAAGTCCACCCATGTGCCTTTCCTCAACCAGAAAAAAGCCAGAACACTGTCGCATTTTGATCTTTAAAAAATATTTTGATAACAATTATTTGTCATTTTTTAGAAAACATACATTAATTTATTTTTGTTTTCTATTTATAGCGATTTATTACACAAGACGATTATGATAAGCATGAGTATGATGCAATGGCTAAATATGATGACAAATCCGAAGAGGTAAAATCCACACAGTAGTTATCTTGCTGCACGCTTTGTATGACATTTATTTCTCCTATAAGATTCACACAGTCGTGCTATCAGATCCAACTCTTCTTCCCTATCACAAATGGATAAGTGAACGTCGTACACTCTCGTCTATAGAATGTCGAAGTCAATCACAAAAAACTGTCGATCCTCGTCGTGTAGTTTCGGAGCAAGGCTTCCGTTCTTACCATCGAACGGCAACACCTCTTTTGAACGGTCGTTCACCACAATCTGCACTATCTTGGCAATTGCATGATCAAACAAATATTGATTCTCCTGTCAGACGTTTAGCAAGGTCAATTACTTTTGCCATAAACACGCCCACATTGTTTTATCTAAAATTATAATTGGCTCTTTTATTTTCTGTTTAGTGCTAAATGTTATCATATTGAACAACAATCACAGAATCCAACAAATTTTGATCCTACTGATCGGTCGCTGTCGTATCTACGTCATCGTTCTGCATCATCGTCGACTATTACTGCATGATATTGTAAACTAACTAATTTAGTATTATAATCTTTTCTTGTTCATAGCTATCTGAATCAATATAATAGATTACTAAAAACGAAACCGGTAATCGAACACATATCATTTCGAATCGTTCAAATGTTATTGTAATAAATTTTTAAAATATGCTTTTCAGAGTATCTGTTGGTCCAAATCAGTAGTTCATATTGCTTCATATGAATGATAAAAGAGAATTCAGCATCAAAAACAAAATATATCAATTATTAGTCAAATTTGATTTACATAAAAAAAAACGTGAAGGAAAAATTCTACAAGAAAAATATTTAATAGAATGCATTTATTTACGAAATAAATATACATTTAATATTCGACTGCGCCAGTGTGCACTAAACAACAGCAAAATCAAAACTTTAATTTTCATCTCTATCGTAGGGAACCGTTTCATACTCATTAAAAAACATAAAAGACTCTAATGTTGCATTTATAATTCAAAAGTAACCCATGTTTTTTTAAGCAATAGCAATTTACTTGGATGACGTATGAGAAGCTGCCTTGGCACGTTTCAAAAATAAGTATTTCTCTATGAAGATTGATGCAATGCTAGACATGCTTTTTTGAACTTTCAAAAATATGAGTTCATTGTATATTATAAATCTGCTATAATAGAAAATAAGCACTTGAAATTCTACCCCTTACTCGTTTATCAATCACTTTCATCAAATATAGAAAAAACATGTGCTGCTGTCACCAATCGATCTTTCTTTATTATAAAAATGTGCTATCATTAAAATATTTTGTCATTAAATAACCACATGTCCGACAAGATCAATCATTAATTGCATGCAAGTCAATAACCTATTAGATGTAATACATTTTTACACAGGTGATAAACGAAAACGCAAAAACCTATTCGACACAGAAACGTAGGGATATACTACGAAAATGATAGAATTTTTTCTGATTGTTATAAGAGTAGACATTGAAATTGCGATGAAGACGATCTGAATTTGATTGAATACATGAGGTCATAGTATAAATATGAAATATTGATATCTTCACAAACTATAGGGAAAGCAGTGAATAATATTTCAATGAAAAAATTCGGTTTCAATCAGAATTATTATAGTAGTTTTATCAGTAGTAATGATAGAAATCGTCAGAATGATGAACAATCGAGTAAAAAGTTATAATCGGTTTATTACCAATGAATATTACTCAGAAGTTACTGTGCTTTGAAAAGACACAAGGATTTTGCTACCGTGAGAATTTTTATTAGTAAGGCGATCATTTCAAGCAAAATCTTTTCTTTTTGCAAATAGATTTTGTATCGAATATCATTTTTGAAGCTCAAGAATGTACCACATAGTTGAGTATAGACTTTCCGCGTGTCTGTTAACAGTGTGCAAAGCCATATTAAGCCAGCAAGAAGAAGCGTCATAACAGAAATAAAACTATAAAGTCACGATTAACTATTTCGATTAAGCTTTTGCAAAGTTTAATATTGATCTGAAGCTATATAACGAACAATCATTTTATAAATAATAATCTCGTCATCAATACACTGAATATGCACTCAACGGTCTTTCGTTCTTCACAAACATAATCACGCGTAAATACTACTTAAAACATGCAATTTTGGATTACTTAACATGTATTCAACATTTAAACGAAGTCACTATTATTACAAATTCACCGCAAATGATTATGATAGGATACTGTTCCTTGTCTACCAATGTTCTCATGAGACATGCACATAGGCGATTTTAAAAAATGAAGAAAATTTTCTACAATAGTATCTTTATAGGATTTACCAAATTGTGAGCATGTTGACATATCTTCAAAGATGATTTTAATCGACATTCATAGTCAGCAACACGTTAGTCTTCTTAGTTTTTTATACTAAAATCGAATTAACAATGAAAAACAATGCTGTTTTTTGACTCTATGATAATTTAATCATACTAATTTGTGAACTAGTGTGCTTTTTTGCTTTGCTTTGCAATAAAACTAATTAGAAGTCAATATCGTACGAAAAAAGTTCGTTTACTATTTACAATTATGAATGCATGCTATGAATTATTCAGCCATTTTTGCAAATATTCTATAGAAATTAGGTAGAATATTTCAGAATTTGGTTTAGCATTTATTAAGACTTGTATCTGTTTCTTTTGTTCGTCAATGTCTCGATAAACAGTATGAAAAACGACTGTGATTTTAAATTGCGTATTTTCAAACAAAATATAAATTAGATAAAGATAAGAATCGCAATCATTATAAATTGATTGTGTCATGTATTACGAAATGCGTAATAGATGATTGTGAGTTCAAGGTCAGTATCAATGTTTTTTTGACCAATAGAACCGACACTACTATAACAAGATAAAGAATGAAACGAACAGAACGAGTAACTGAAAAGTAGTAACTGACTACTTGTATATGAAAATATACATATATCTATTTATATATATATGTATAGACGCAATAGAATAATCCATAGAACGAAAGAATCAAACACAGAACGAAAGACTACAAGTAGATGAGACGACAGCACAACGATAGAGAACAACAATAACGAAATCACACTACATTACAGATTGTATACGTCATCAACATAGTTATCTATCCCATGAAGTGCTACTATAGTTTATACATGCTGGATTTAGCATTCAAATATCTCAGCATCTCGGGCTATGCTGATCGGTTCATTTCTATCCGATGGCTAAATTGAAAGCTCAATCCCATAGTAAAACGATACCATTTCATGACGTGCCGATTACTAAAATCTCGAGTATATATCACGATCGTTTGTAGATACACAGGACCTATTCATAGCAGTTAGAATAGAAATGTGAGTGATTATACGAAAACTGTATTTCGATTATGAAAAAAAAAGCGCATAATTTGAAATAAGTTTTATGATGAAGAATGAAAAATTTTCTTATAAATTACAATATATTACAAACTCCCAAACGATCTATTAATGTTCGTGATACGAAACAAGTAGGCAAACTATTATTATATTCTCATTCATCAGTATGAAAATATTATAGAAATTTGAAAACAAAAAGAATACTTTCATTCCTGATCTTCTTCAAGATATCAAATCCTTATCAATCTCAAGTGAAAAGCAGTTCGATGGTTTCGTTGTAAAGAATCATCAGAATGAAAAAATAACATTCCCACTGAAACAATTCGCTGTTCAAATAATTCAACATTTGACCAATTCACGAAATCAGAATAGTCATACAAGTTTATGCTGCCGTCGAAAAGCTAAAACAATCCATCAAAATGATTCCCTATATGCTCAACAACCAATACAATCGAACTATAAACTGAATGCAGATAATAAAACCCATGATAGCAGTGATTCTTCAAAATTTCGTCTAGAATATTCTTCTAATCAATCAAAAATAAATAGACAATGTTCAGAAAAGCATAGTCATTATAATAATAATAGTAATAATCAAAGTTTGTTTCAGTACTACGAACTATGATGCTTCTATTAGAATTCCATATGAGATTCAATCAAAAGCAATTTTATGAACTTCTTGAAGACTTAGGAATATCTTTTAACGCCACCAAATACAGCCGGCAATCAAGTAATCGAACTTGAATTGAGTTATAAACTCTTCGATTAGCTAATATATAGATCAAGAACAAAAATCTCCTCAATATAAATCCGGTTCGCAAACAAAAGCAATTGATGCTAACAATATCCCACAAGATTCAATTTCATCAACGAACGAAGAGCAAGAACTTTCCTTAAAACCATCAAACACGAAACAACAGTACAATGAAATGGTGAGAGCAACAAATACATATCGATGTTGTTATCATCGTCTCTTCGAAGAATATTCGTGAACTTGTCAATACTGTTCGAACAGAAATCGGTGAATTAATTGATGCCGATAAAAACAAATCAAAAGAACAGTTTTTATCATCTAACCAAAACTCTCCGTCTTCGAGTAATGAAAATATCAATAGATCAGAACGAATAACGAAATCAAAAAGTCAGTCAAAATAATAAACAATTCGCATTATTCTTCTTTCTCGATAGAAAATTCGCAAAAAACTAACGCCAACAAAAGGAACCGTAGGTAAATAATATAAAATATTTCTCTGATGGAAATCACTGATGTTTTCTTTTAGCAAAAACAAAAAACTCAAATCTAGACAAAGTAATTCATGTTGAATAAATGTTACTCAACTAGTTTTATTGATAGGTAGTACAAGCAATGAGACTGCGTCAAGGTAGGTTTATTATTGAGAGACTATTAAAAATAATCTTTAGGTAAAATTAGCAAAAAAATAAAATCCAAAACATCATTTCAGCATGGTAATTGACATTTATGTATTTCAAAGTAATGTCACTTCTAGTTGTTGTTTTTTTAGACAAACAAAAATCTAAAAAGGTTTATGACGATATGACAAACAAAATAAAAACTTCTCGTTTATTCTAAAGAAAAATAGTACATCAAAATTAAGTAATCTATTCAAGCCATCAAATACGCAATCTGATGAAATCATGTCAACTGAACAATGTAATAATTGTTGTTGTAATTTTCTTCATTGTTAGTTTCACCATTCTTCTGTTTGCTATTGTCGAAAGACCTATTTGCTCTTCTAGATTCTCTTAGACAAATAATGCGTGACACTGAGCAAATGAAACAAGTATATAAAATACGAAATACTATAAAAGACTAACAACATTTTTCTTAGTTTGCCTTAAACACAACCATGATTGGTATCGACCCATCGAAACTAAAGGATCCCAATGATACTCTCGGTCCAGCTATTTGTATTCCGATGTATAACTGTGAAAACATTCGTGACCAACGATTTCCTATGGGACCTACTTTTACAAGCATTTCGAAAAATGAAATTGATAATGACGAAAAAAGAAATTCAATGATTGTACAAAGCATAAATACTCAGCGTGGTCCGATTCAAATAAAACTTGATCCACAATCATTCGGATTAGCGCCATTTTTTTCTGATCAATACGAAACATTTATTAAAGGTCCACCAAGTTCAATATTTTTAACGAGTTACATTAATACATTTAATAAATAACAGTCTCGAATAGGCTGAGGTGAATGGCAACTTTTCCGTTTCTTTGCAAGCTCTGTTGACCGAATCCGAGCTGCAGTTCATTCGATTGAGATGCAGTTTTAATGCAATGTCGGACCGTCTATAACTGACACTCGCATCTCTTTCTCATACTCGTGGTTTTCTCATATTTCATAGTGATGTTAGCTTTTTATTTTATTTTTTAAACACAAGCTGATTTTCTTATAAACAAGCAAACAAAATCATTGATGTAACGCTGTAATCGATGTATTAGATTTTATTCATTGTTTTGAAATATATTTAAATGAATATCACCGATTGCACAACACGATTTTGCAATATAGACTTCATCACAATCTTGACTGTACGAATTCCGGCTGGTATTGATGAATTATGCAAAAATAATTTCCGTGTTTCATCATAATTAATCGCTGAAAAAAGCATAAAAACAAATGATTAATAAAAAAGATGACTACTACCATAGGCTAGATCGTTTTTTCGTTCATTCGCAAAATAAAGTTCGACAGTAGCCGAACCATTTGAACTATTAAAACAACTTAGATAAACGGATAAATTATACTACGCTCGATTATTATCAATGAGTGTTGAATATCGGTTTAAATCAATATGTTGAGTAAATCGACCAGTTGAATTTGCTTGAAAATAACAATTTTTCTCAGGAATATTCCTCATTTTAACGCAGGAATTATTTTTTCTGTGAGCTATGGTTAAAGCTGCATCTTTCGGTTCTTTATGCCAACGATCACTTTGAAGAATATAACACTAAATAGAAAGACGCCGACAAAATATATTTCACAATAAAAGGAGAAATCATTACTTTTTCTTCAGCTCCGCCATCCTTAATTAAATTCTTTGAATTAATATTATAAAAAGATCCATTCGGTAGGCGAGCGTGAATAATATTACTTGTATTGTCAAGTCAATCGATATGAATATCACTATTTAATAAATCTGTATTTGTAAAATCAGTACTCGATAAATTACTAATGTTAATAAATGATGAATATTTTAATGAACCACCTTTTGAAACGATCAAATTTTCTGCCAATCGAATGGGTCATATCTTTAAATAAATACCTGAAAATGTTGCGTTTTCTAATGAACAATCAAGAAAACGACTTTTATCCATCAAACTTCCTTGAAAATTTGACTCTTGCAATTGACTGACACTCAGAAAAAAGACTATTCAATGCAATGACACTTGGCAGATATAAATGATTAACAGCAATATTGTGAAATTGAACATTACTTAAATTAGCTGCATAGTATGCAGAATCATAAAAACACTAACAATAACTACAGTCACCAGAAGTAAAGTTATAAGACTTCGAAAACCATAACGTAATTCACGTCTTGGCGTTTCATATCGAGCAGATCTATTCATCACGTACTTTTGTTTTTTGATACAACGGATTAAAATGGATGTTGTTGCTTTCAATGTAATGTAGTTAGAAAGTATTCTGACAAGTAAATCTTTCAATATTTGTAATAGTTAAACGTGTCAGTCTCACCATTTTCTCTCTCACTCAAGCGGATTTTAAAAAGTTGATAAAAGCATTGGAATATTTACATGCAATCATATAAAACAAAAATTTTAATTGGTCAACTGTCACAAGTTAGTCGTACTCTTCTAGATGGCCATCTATATACTTATGTATAGGGTTAATTATCCCACACAGTGCTCATCCCATACACATGTGCGAAGACCAAAATATTTGAAAAAAAATAGGGTTTAGTTTAGAACTACTTACTGTCCGCCTGTTTAGTGTATAAAAAGGAAATATTGATTTAAAGCCTTATTCTTGAACAAATATATTCGAATCAACTTTTTGTTGTATGAGATTTATACCGGCTAATAAAAGAACATGTACTAAATGAATCACTTATTCCGTACTTTTCACCTGCGCTATCGTGATGACATTTTGTTTATTTAGACGGGCCACAGTTTGTCCGTTTACGACACTTAATCTTAATTGAAGCCTTTCGCGTGCGAATATTTATAATGTTTGCCTGTAAATTTATTCGAGAAATCAATTAAATTGGTTAGATACCCAAGAATTTCACATAGATAAACACCAAAAAAAAGATATATATATATATATATATACTGAATCGAATAACACTAAAAGTTTTAAAACTATGAGAAATTTAACATTGAAAAAAAGAACATTAATATCTTGTTCAAATTAAACTATTTGAGTTGAAATAGAAAGCAATTGTTTATTTGAATAAATAAAGTAACAATTTTAATGTGAATATTTCTTTAAAATTAAAAATTTAAATTGGGTGTCAATGGCTTATGACGTGATACTTTTCCGAACCACGACATTTTATAATCAAGTGTTTCACGAAGAAGACGTTCTTCGTCGGCGGAAAAACTGAGCAATGTAGATACGGCACGAATCAGGTGAATAGCCTTAAATAAAATAAATAAAACAAGAATTTCAGTGTTTTATATCTTACTTCATCTTCAGTTGCGGTCATAAATTTTAGTAAAACATGTTTAAGATATTTAAAGTTTGTTCCGTTTAATGTCGTTTGTCCATCGATCGATGAACGTTGGCCATTCTTTTGTGATTTTGCTGAACTCGATTCAACTGATGTATGTGGTAAAATTGCTGGGCTTGACGATATAGCTGTTGTAGCAGATGTGAATGTAACATTTTTACGAACGGCTGTCATTTGTCGGGCGGTTGATGCTCGTTTAGCTATATCGACATCACTCTGTGATGTTGCTGATTCATCGTAATGAATCAATGGAAGATTTGTGGGTGGCGATTGAGTAGCACTATTAGGCTTTGATGGTGCCATTTGATTGAGATCTTTGGGTATGGATGCATGAAATTCTCGTTGAAGTGTTTTGCGAAGATCATTATAACGTTGCTGCAAGTTTTTTATGGTCTAAATTTTAGAATTACTTTAGTAAGCAAACGAGTCTGATTGAAAATAAGTATTTACGAAAGAAAACATATTAATTATTCATTCGGTAGGTTTTTCATTAATCTCTATTTACATAAAAGTCGCCCCGAACGAAAATGGGAAATTCTCAAAAATACTTGTTAAGGATTTTGATGACTTACTCGGCTTTTCTCATCTAATTCAATTTGCAATTTACCAATGGTATCCACATCTGGTTCAGCGAGTACTTGAACAAATGATTTATCTTCATCCTTAAAATCAACAATCAAAAAAGAAAAATATGTATATATATAATCGACTTCATTAAACACTAACTGTTTGTATCGCTTGCGTATCATGATCGACTAGTAAACGTTTATCTTGTTGTTCAATAATCGCATCTCGTTCAATAAGAGCTTGTCGTAAATGTTCTACTTCAATTTTCTGTTGTTCACTTTCCACTATTTGTTTAGCAAGCTGTTTTTGAAGATTATCATTAGACTTTAGAGGCGATACATCAGTTGATTTTATAAGTAAATCATCTCTCTCTAAAAAAAAATAATATTCACTCTTCAAAACTAAATAAAAGATTATATAAATCAACTAACCTGCTTCAACATCACTTAATTGTGCTCGTAAAGATTTTATTGTTAATTTAAGATTTTCATTGTCGAAACGAAGAGAATCGATTTGCTTTTGTAAATAAGGCACCTAAAATAAAATTAATGAATGTTACGATGAAAATCGTTAAATAAATTACCTTTACAGTATTATCATTTGTATTCTTCTCTTTTGAATTCCTAAAGAAAATAATTAAAATACTGAATTAAATTTTATCACAGAAAACATACTGGAAATCGGTAAATTGGCTTTTCATTAAAGTGAGTTCATTTTGTAGATTTACTGTTTCTTTTAATAAACTTTGAATAGTATCATCTTTTTGTTGGAGAATTTCTTCTTTTGAGTCCATCTATGATAAATAAATATATTAGAATTTGCTTTTTCCTTCAAAGCAAAAAAACCTTACCCACGATTTAAGAACTTGTACATAGTTATCAAGTGAAATTGGTTCTAATAGAAACAAAAATTTGATTTTATAAAAAAGAAATGAGTATTGTTTATACCTTGAATAAGAGTAGAAAAAACATCGGATAAAGATTTTACTGCTGCTTCTTTGTTATCTGGCTAAAAATATAAAAAATAAGAAAAACATTAAAAACTTATTAAGTATAAATATCGAACTTCATTGGAAATTGAAGAAGGTCTTGACTTGTTTGTCAACGTTTGTTGAACAATGGAATCAGATCGGCCTTTGAATAGGATTAAGAATATAATTTAGAAAAAAAACATTCTTCGATAACGTACGATGAGCACGCGATGATGAGGAATTTTCCTGATTAGAGCTGTTCTTGTGGTCTTTAGGTATATTGTCATTTCCTTCGTCTGAACTGTTCTCTGGTAAGATACTTGGATTATTACTTTTTTCGCGAACTTTCTTGATTAAAGGTTTAAACATTTTTACAGGTTTGTTAATGGGAAATAATTATTTATACTGTACATAAAAAAAGCAGTCCAATCGTTTTGTATTCAGTAGCAACAAAACGTAGTAAAAGAATATGAATATGAAAAAAAGAAGCAAAGTATTTGTTTAGCTACGTTTATGAGCGAGTTAGAAAACATGATTTATCCTTCACTATATTGATTTTCTGTGGAAAAGAGGTCACTAGCTAACGATATTACTTTGTGAGAGTTTGATATTACAGTAGAGAAGTTTAAGTACAGCTCAGGTAAATATTCTGATCAAGAATGTTTCTATACATTTTCATATTTATTATTTTATTGTAAGTGAGAATCCATAAACTGATTCTGATAAAAGTACAGATTTACAAAATTTATTTTTCCGATACTACGAATGTCTACTTTACATATATTCAAAAGGTCATACAGATTAGATTTTTTTTCTACATGCAAAATTAAGACTATTACGCACCTGAAAAAAGTTGCGACGACAGTTGGAAGTCTTTTTTGTCATTGATTAAATGATCTAATGCCCAATCGCAGATTCGTTGTTCTCCTTTTTTCGATCGATCATCTCTGTGTTTTCAAATGAGCTCCATTGTATCGAATGACTTTTACTTGAAAGAGCATGTCAAGACCCATGGCATCATCAAATCCCTCGTTTCGAATGAAGCCGAGTTAATAGAGTATGAAAAAAAAGCGTTCTATCCAATCTATATAATGAAATTCCTCAGTCAATCTCAGATAGCGACACAATTTATTGTTTACTCTGGTTAATACAATAGAGAAGACCTGTCGAGTAAATCCAACTGAATGTAGTTCGCGAGAAATTTGATATAGCGAGTTCTAGTAGAAAATATCATCGTATCGAACTCAAAGTTGTGTTATCAATTTTCTATTAAACCCTTGAAAATGCCATTGGATTGTGAGGCTTCTAGGTGGAGTACGCTCTTTTCTGGCTGACTTAAGGAGATTGATCGCATGGTAACTATGAATAGAACGTGCTAGGATTATGTTTATGCATATTTTCAACTCAAATGTTATCCAGTAAAATTGATTTCAATACATTTGAGAATGAAAAAAACGTGTAGCATAGCTGTCGAATGAAGTCTTATCCCCCTTACGATTTTAACTAATACAATCATTTTTCTTCTCTCTAAATCATTCGATACTTAAAAACATTTATGAAATGAAAATAATGTCAATGGGTTTTGTCTAAATATACTTATTGGATTTCTTTATAAATCAAAGAAAATGTTTATTCATCTTTCTTTTTTTTCATTAAAACAAGAAAAAAAATCAGAAGATTAAAGGTTATTTTTCTTTGAGACGCAAAGAAAAAGCACGTATACTACGATTTTGACTTTCATAAACTTGAAAATGTTATCCAAATCATACCAATCAAAATTAAGACACACTTTTAATAAGTACGGATACTATTTACGATGGCCTCGTGTTTGGATAATCGTACTTGGATCAATACTAGTTTTCCTTTGCTTAGCCATCGCTGGTATGGAATTGGGTAATACACTTTTTGACTTATACCGATCAACAGCTTTTGGAGGTTTTATTGTTTTTATTCCTCTAATGCTCTGTGCTGTTTGTATTTTGATTACTGGTAAGATTTAATATGCAACTCTTCAGAAAGTAATTATAAAAAAGCTTTCATAGAGAAAATTCTTGAGTAGTCCTGTGGAAAATAATCAATATAAATTCAATAGATGTTTTATAAATATTATTTTGAAACTATTACTATTGAATACAATATAGTGTGATGTCTAAAAAAAAACTCCTTGTTGTTTAATTAATTATATGTTTTATGAAAACTATATAATTATACGGTTTTATAGATTTTGAATTTCTTCTGATTACAATCGCGATAGTCTCTTAGCAGCAACGAACTAAAAACAGTTATATACTGTTTCATGCATTTAGAATTAAGTGTCAACTTATGCAAATAGAAGCGTCACAGTAAGCGACTATGTACTTCAGTTTCTATCAACAGTTGATGTACCTTTTCATATTAAAAAATATGATTTTGTTGAGGCTTCAAAGTATTTCATATGCAAAATACAGGTTACATACTCAATTGAAACACTTCGCGGACAATTTTTGTGAAAGGCATCAAAAGTCGTCTTTCAAAAAGGTTTTTTTCATGCAATATCAATACATTGTTACTGAAATATACAAGATAAATATTAATACCAATGCGCCACTGAATAGTCCAATGAAACACATTTCTTACTTAGACAGTATCTATTGAAGAGCAAAATATCATAAAAAAAATTGAATTAGTCAATGTTCAAATCTTTTTAATAATGACGGAAGTGTTACAAATAGAACATTAGAAAAAGCATGTTGGAAGATATAATCTTTAAAAACCGTGAATCTTAAAAGCAAAATTTTCTACATTTTTTTCAGCATGCAAGCCACACTTGCTTCTACTTCATATTACTGTCATATTGTGTTTTATTATGATTATATTATGTATTGCGTTAATAGTTTATGATATATTTGTTCTGATTGATCCTACTCGATGCTTCTTTTTAAGTTGCGATGCAGCTACAGTCGATGTGTCGAATTCGACAACTACGACAATCATCACCGGCTGGCCACTTTATATAGCATGGCCAAGTTATTTTCAAACAAATATGAATGCAAAACGTATATTTCAAAGTATTCAAATTCTTTGTGCTGGCTTATTTATCTTAGGCGTATCGTTATATATACTAACATATACCATTTATAGAAATATTAGATTACGTCAACAAGCCATGTATACCACTGATCATCGGCCATGGTCAACCTATGAAACAAATCGAGTTCCATCACAAATACATTTCAATGATGAATCTCCATCAACTTCACACGATAAGTCTGATCAAAAAATTGTAACATACATAATTGAAGGTCAACCTTATACACCAACGCATTATAATTATTCATCAGTAAAGGGAGCGCCAGTTACATCAGTAAAAACAACAACAAGCAGGAAAACATTTGTAGTACCTAGAGCCAATTCAGCTAAAACTACTCGATTATGTACACGTTGTAGTCAAGAACCTCGAATGATATTAACGACAAATTATCAATGGAGAAATTGCTTTCCTGATTTGTGTATTAATTGTAACAATGATCTTGTACGTTCTCGCCGGCAACCGCAAGTTGGTCAATCAAAAAATATTCCCATATGGAGACCTTAAACGATCTACACGCGGATCTTATTTTATTTTAACAACGAATTAATATATTCATGAAATGTTTTCTTTCGATTGATTTAAATAAATTCAACTTACAGTTGACTGTACCAATCGAAAGACCGAAAACCGATCAGTTTGTTATTTTACTGAGTAATATTGAATTCAAAAAAATTAATGCCTAGTCTATGAGCATTCTATACACACAAGATTTTGTTGGCAATTTTATAATTAGAAAAATATTTCCCTGCATAGATTAGAATGAGTACGCCTTGATTCATCTTCCCGATTGTATACTAGTATGATATTGTAAATTCGTTTCGAAGATAAATTTCATTTCTTATATCCAAAGATGACTTGTGATCTTATTTTATTCATTAAAGTGTTACACAATTTATTAACAGCTTCGATTCAGTTTGAAGGTTTTTGATCTAAGAACTGTTTGCTCCGTGAGGATAGCTGGAGATTCTTTCTGAGAATGACAAATTACAACAAAGACACGTTACTTTCACAGGAACCGAATTCTTTACCTTGCTTTATTCATCCTTTTCGACTCTTTTTTATTGTTGTTAAAAAGAAACTGAACGAAATATATAGTGGTTTCCAATATATTTTAGACTAAAAACTGATCGAATTCAAACGGTTGAGATTATTGCATGAATCTAACAAATTTACTTCACGACTAATCATCAATGTAGCTAAGATCTTGTACAGCCAATTAGTGGATCTAGCTTCTTATATATTTTCTATATTCAATTGTATCTAACAAACGAGGTCTTTAAACTCGCAGTATCCTTTGATCGCTCTATCAGCTGCTTTAAATAAAAGAATAATTTTTTCGATATGATAATTTTCAAGTATATAGTTTCGAGCTCAGTATACACCCAGGTCGAGCATTACGGCGGCCAGAAACGACCGAAAACGCTAACGTATACTATCGTTTCTTGCCATTTCCGACCGTAAGTCGCCGTTAGTTAACATTTGGCATGCACCATATTACGGTCGTATTTTGTCGTGCCGTGCCGTGCCGTAAACGGCTAAGCACGGCCACAATACGATCAAAACATTGAGTATCCGACCGGATACGGTCGTACTACGGTGTATACCAAACGGCGAAAATATTAACTGAAACAATCGTTTACAACCATGTGTCTTTCAGGTGGCCATGCACAAAAATCTTCGATCAAATTTATTCGGAAGTATGCTTTTTCTTATCGATTTCATTAGTTTGCTCATCTCTAAAGTGCTTGATACAATTTTCATTTTATTTCAGGATTATATATAGGAGATTTTCCGAGTGGGTCAATAGGCTCTTTTATACAGTTGAAGAGCCAAATTTATAACGCTGTCGACTAACAAAAAAGATTCATTAATCTGACCATTTATTTTTATTGTCCTAACGACATTTCTTTTGAACAACAGTTAATTCGATGAAATTATTGCAGAATTTCTTATAGTTACCAATTAAAAATGATACTTTAATACGCTAATTATTTTCTTTTTCTTTAGAGTAACATAAATTTCAAGTGTAAAATTTATAATAATGTTCTTGTATAGTAAAGACGAATATTCACTCGTTGGTAAAAATGCGATCACAGCTACTAGAGTTCGTTGATCTTATCAAAGACATATTTTAGTTAATTTGAGGGTGTTGCATAGTTGGCTCCGGATGACACAAAATAATCTTGACCACGTCGTATTTGATTACTATGATAAATTTCGATTCCATTCACATCAAACAAACGCCGAGCACGCGTTGGCATCTGTAATTTGTCTGTTGCAGCTGCAAATAGCTAGAATTCAGGAGGGAAATTTAAAAGAAATCCGAAGTAAGCGGACGAGCATCTTACAATATCCATCGAACACGATTTGCAATAAGCATATCGACTGCGATCACCATTGCGATATACTCTAACACGAAAGTTGGTCGTTGGAGTTGGACGGAAATAGATTGGAGTACTATATAACAGTTAAAAATAAAACACATGTAATTATAAAAATTAAAAAGCGGACTCTGTATTGATAGACATCAGTAACACTCAATGAAGATTTTCATTGTTCTAATTTTTATCATTCACAACGTTCTGAAGGCAAGCTCCTGATATACTTTCACCTGTTTCTAGTGATAAACGTACAGTTTTGTTACCTCAGCTCAGAAAAGGACCAAAGTCATATAATCGTTATTGTACAAATATATTTATTCGATCAAAGCTCGAATTTTTCTATCAGAGACACAACAATATGCTGATATATAAAATGGTGTAAAAGTTTTTCGATAATCAATGATCATATCTTAATCAAACGCATTCAAATACTTTAACTTACGGCTGTCCCACATCTGGTGGCAGAATAACTTGACCAGTTTGAATTTCATCATAATATCGCTTCCGTCTTGTTTCTCGGTCTTTATCAATAGGTGTTAGCAAACCGGTAGCTTCATTTGTTGGTGTACGATCCCGTCTCTTTTTGATTGGATATGGCGTTATGATATCTACTTTACTGGATCCTTTACCTCCGGCCTTAATTTCTGATGTTTGTGTGCCAGCAGTCTTCATTTCTATTGGTGGTATCCCATCAGTCTGTGTGTCAGGATTTTTCGTTTGTATTGGTGGTATCCCGTCAGTTTGTGTGTCAGCAGTCTTCATTTCTATTGGTGGCATCCCGTCAGTTTGTGTGTCAGGATTTTTCGCTTGTATTGGTGGTACCCCGTCAGTTTGTGTGTCAGGAGTTTTCACTTGTATTGGTGGTACCCCGTCAGTTTGTGTGTCAGCAGTCTTCATTTCTATTAGTGGCATCTCGCCAGTTTGTGTGTCAGCAATCTTCATTTCTATTGGTGACATCCCGTCAGTTTGTGTGTCAGCAATCTTCATTTCTATTGGTGACATCCCGTCAGTTTGTGTATCGGCCGTTTCAAGTTCTAATTTTGGTATCTCATCCGTTTGTGTATCTACAGGTTCCATATCTATTTTTGAGATTTTATCAGTTTGTGAATCTGTATTCTTAAGAATTGGTGTTAACACAATATCTGTTTGTGTGTCAGTAGCCTTCATACTAGTTGGCGACACCTTGCCAGTTTGTGTATCTACAATATTCGGTTTCGCAACTGGTGACAGACTAGTTTGTGTATCTACACTTTTCAGCTTTGCAGCTGGTGCTATTAATGCTGGTAGATCAGTTTGTGTATTTACACTCTGCAGCTTCACAGGTGGCTGTATTACTGGTGATAGTTGCATTGGATCCGTTTGAGTACTGATAGGTTTCAATTTTCGCTTGGGCGTTATTGGTCGCTTAAAAGGTTCAGGCCTTCTGAAAATGGTAGAGGACGAGCTGGTTCGACCACTAGATGTGCTATTGTCATCACTGATCGATGACTCTGAAATAGATGAATGATAAGATATAAATTTGAGCGATTGCGATCTATTGAGTTTTTCAATTTTTCACCGCTGTATAGATATAGCTATGCTAGGAATTAATTTAGAGTGTGAAATTTCACCTTCTAAGATGACTGATTATTTGCCAATTGAAAAGTGGTTCAATGTTGTTTTTGCTAACAATACTCATGTTCGTGATAAAATTTGTTTTTTTTTCAAATATGAATTATTCACTAAAAACTGATATACAAGACTTGTGACTATTGTACGAGTCATGCAAGTTCAGTTTCTTGTAGAAAAGCAAATAAAATATACCTCCTACCTTCTATGATTCTACTTTTGTTTTATATTACCGATCTACATGATCGTTCAAATCACTTACAACAAGAAAAAAAACTTTTTTATTTTAACATGAAAGTCAAAGCTTGACGATAGAATATTTTAAGCTATTTATCAATTTAAACTATTATATAACGTGAGTAAGGACTATTTGTGAAAGAAAGATAATTTAGACTGAAGAATAAGGTAGAAGAGTGAATTCAGTTGGAGAACGGAAGATAATAAGTATGACTGCGGGTAAGTATCAGAACGTTCTTTTAATATTAACTCAAACTGATAGAATCGTTTGTGATAATATATGTTAAGCATTTATTTTAACTTACGAGTGCTAAGACGCCTTCGATATCTAATTTCGACACCATCCATTGTCCATACTGTAGATTTCCGACACATAAGATGATCTATATAGATAGAAATACATTATAAAAAAATTTCGTCTTCTATAGAAAATGATTTCGAAATTCTTGGAGTAGCAGATGCTTTTCGGATTATAATAGATGACTCTGATCTCATTTTCAAAAATATTCAAACATAAATAATTTGTTAGTTCAATTTTTTTGATCTAACTCCAAAACAATAACCGTCAAAATAGCTGATTGCAACGATTTTAGAACACGCCTAGACACCTAATATCAGTATTGACCTACGTTTAATTGCTTTCGATGGACGCATATAATTCTCTCCCCATGATACAAAGTAGTCCAAGTCACGTTTAATATCTTCGCTTCGCAAAATTTCGTGTCCCGTTGGACCGAATAGACGTCGTGCTGGCTTAATCAGCTGTAGCTTGCGTGTAGCCTCTGTCAATATCTTACGTAGAAAAAAAAATAACAAAAGCATATATTTCGATACAAAAGCAATACTAGTCGTATAGCATGTAATTTTATCATGTTTTTCTTACTAGATTCATACTACATGAAGCACAATAGGCAAATCGACTGTAATCACCATTTGGGAAGACTCGAACGAGGAAATTCTTTGGTCGAAGACTGTTCCTAATAGAAAAGAAAACATCGATTGATAAAATATTTCGACGACGTGCACGTACTGAACTAAGTAAAGAAGAGGCACATACTGAACAAGTTATCAATCTTCTATGTATGTGTTTATCAGGAACACTGATTGAGAGAACTGCTTTTCATTCTCCTATGCAGAGAATCTAACGTTTTTAGCTTGAAAGTTAAGCTACATATTTATAACAGATCTAATTAAGGATAGACTAATGTGGATAGAGCTCATTTTTCTGAAAACTATTTTTCAGAGTGGAAATATTCAAGCACATACCTTCGTATCATGGGTGCGGTAAGTGGTCGGTCTATTGGTAGTTTTTCATATGCATCAATCCTCAACCCGTTTTTACTTTCGCCTCTTGAACTGTAAGACCGTTGATGATGTTGAGGGCTTTGTTTCTTTTTTACTCTTGTTGGCTTTGATACTTTCGTCTCATAAGTGACGTTTTTCTCACGATTAAGCCGCATCATAAATTTTTGATGATAATATTCTTCAATATCCTCATTTTCGTTAGTGTTCTTATTATTCGCACAAACACCAAAACTACTGTACGCCCTAGAAATAAGATCAGATTATTTTAAAATCAATTTGTGTCATGAAATCAGTTAGACTGCGTTATAAAAATGATAAAAACTTCGTCGTCATGAAAAACTAGATACTATAGCCAATAATTACCATCTTGATTCTGCTTTGAGCAGGCTCATCTTCAAATCGCCTGAGTTTTAAAGCTGATGTACATAACAGATCGAGGGATTATTGATCTAAAATTACATATGCAATACAGAGAATGTTATAGTAGTCAGAATTGGGTTTAGTGAATGATTCATATTTTTGTGTAGTTCCTTTTTAAAGGTCATAAACAACATTCATCTTCAATAATTTGAATGAAAGAGAGAATTTTCCTCTCATGCTGTTTGCACCTGTAAAAACATAAAGTTTCTCGTAACGGCTCCGACCTAGTTGATTATTTGTCGTTCTCTACTCTCACTTACCGCCGACTGAATTGATCGTGCATGCATGATTACGGGATGTTCGTTTGCCATCAATGTCAAAACTATGCTGACTCTTTCTACTTGTATAGCTCTACGCCGTTTAGCAACTACTTTCTTACTCTTATGAAACCAAGACGTCTGTTTTCTTTATTGGCTATCATACTTGTTATTCGTGTATTCCTCTCTCTCTCTCTCTTTCTCTCTTTCATGACGTATAGTAACTTACGCTTTTTACATAAACGACATGATTAGATGGTCTGAAGGATTAGTATAAACTGTTATATCATATACACTTTATATGATATTAAAAATCGTCACATTTATGTATGATATACAAATACATCATTCTGATGAATCTCGGCAAGATGCTCCCCGGTCACTTGCCGCCAGGACACTTGCTCCCTAACTGTATCTAACAAAAATGCTAATCAGCACGGGATTAAGATATAAATTTATTTATTTAAGGGTATGGGTGTATCGGTATGAGTGTGCCAGTGCAAGTATGGGCAAATGGTTATCCTCTTCATTCACCCACACACTCACATTTTTTGTATGAATCATACAAAAATGTGGAATCTCTGTTTCGAGAGCCAATATTGCTGAGAGGCAAGTATCCGAGGAGCATCTTCCCGGTTACCCATTTTGGCACTTCCCATGTGCTTAGTTGAGAAAATGAAAAACAGAATGTGCTAAAATTTTCACACGAAAAGAAAGAATATTTAAAACTCATATTTACTCTGAGCTGTTCTTTGTCTATAGAACCAAAAGCAAAATTGATACTCTCCAGAGTTGCCATATTTTCCTGCTACTGCCCCGTTGAAAGCTGAACGTACTTACTGATTTGGGTTGGAATAGTTACACGAAGAAGTATCAATTGTTTTTCTTGTTTAGTCAAAACGAATGCATGCATGTAATTAGATATAATGGTATGGAGGTAGTCTCGACTAGTGAAAAAGAGGACCACATTCTCACTTACGCTTATTCTCACATAAAGAACAATCATATCCATCACAGAAATATTAATCCTTCGTCAACGAGATAATATTTTGAGGAATAAAATTATTCATAGAGCTTCGTTATGTTGATAAAAAGAAAGCAGTGGCCTATAAATACTCGAAATTCTAAGTAGCAGTCAATAACATGAATCAAGAGAAAATGTGTAGATAATATCTTGTTCTTTCTGAATAATCTGACTTGATTTGGACGTCTACGGACAACTACGTTCGAATATTGAATTATGGATGTTGACTTCACTTGTGGACAACTTGCTAGTCTCTGAAAGTCTTCGTAGAGGTACGTAGTCAAGGATTGATCTGACCGCTTTTAGACCAAGAAAACTTTCGCTTTGTTTTTTGAAAAATGCTTCATTGTGGCACCTCTTGTCTCAATCAACTCAACCAGAACTCATTACAAAAAATCCTTTCCTAAGAACTTACCTCATACTAACCAATATATACAATTGAGATCATATTTCTTAAAATTTGCTTACTTACTTTTTATACATATGTGATTATGAACTCAAATCTTTCAAATATTCCCTAGCTTCAACATATTTTTAATATATATGGCTTAGAACGTAAAAAATATTTGAATAGAGCGGTATTGATTGACCAAATTAAAGTTCAAAGCGTAGACGAAATAAGTGATTCCTAACATCACACTGATGATTTCGTTCGATGGAAATTTCAAGCTTTGCTGCTAATAGTCATGGTACGCTTCTTTTTTTCCTTTCAAAACTTTGTCGTTGCTAATATAATTCTCATCTCTCTGTCAAAAACAACATTAAAAATGAAATGGAATATGGTAGAATTTTGTCTTATTACTATTTAAGCGCCTCGAAGAGAGAGAAAAATCAAGCCACAAAAAGTAAACATTTCGGTTCATATTTGTTTTTGACATGTTGAAAACATGTTTTAAAAATTTCAGAAGCACTGAATGACTAAATTCCGTCAAAAAGTGTGTGCAAAAGTATCTTTCGTCTTCGAAAAATAACGTTGTCGGATGTTGATTATGGTTGAATTCCTTTGCGTTCTGAAGAAGTGAATATTTCACTAGAAAATTGCTCGACTGAAAGGTTTCGATGCTTCTCAAATGAAATATAGTTGTTGTTTGCTGTTGAATTTCTTTTTACCAGCATATGCTGTGAAGTTGATTGCATAAGTGGTGCGTGTGCGATTGCCGTGAAAGCGCATAGAAAAAAGAAATTACAGAATATTTTAAATCGAGTATGGCAAAAAATCTCACAAAAACAATATTTCCAGAAGCCACCTAAAGGTTCATTATCTTTATAGTCGCACGTCAATTTGTAAAAGCGCCGCGGATGTCAACTACCATAGGGTTTATGAGAATAATATGTATCTGTTATATATGAAGAAATTTAATGTGGGTTTTTTGTTCTACACTTTATAACAGTGACGACATACATATTTACAAGAGTAAATTTTAAACGTGCTAAATTCTTGAAAAGCTTAAGAGCTATTCATATTTCTTTTTGGGGGAAATTTTAGCAAAAGTATGCATTTACGATGCTGATCACCGTGTATTATCTTAGATATATAAAAAAAAAAGAGCGTATGAGTAAAAACATATTGAAGAACTCTATCTCTATCAAACTCATCATACATAATCGCCAACACTAAGTTATAGTATATACAAATGAAAGTCAATCATAAATCTCAAAACAATATTATTATTCATACTGCGTCGGCAATAAAACGCCAAAAGTAACAAGAATACAAAGTTTTGTATGAACAATAATACATTCAATTAGCTATACCCGATTATGCTTAAATCCCCACAATTAATGTATAGATCATTATTGACAATCACTATTCGATCAGTAAAAAAAAGAATGCCAAATGAAGACGTGTACTATTCTGCGATATCTTACCTTTCTTTTTTTTTGTCAATCTTGTCCATATGACATTTTCTTTCGATTGATTTAAAATAACCTTAGCTGGGGGAGTCGGCTGACATCAATGCAACAAGGCTCAAACTAAAACATGTGAAACCGATTGATTCTTGTTCGGCATAGGGAATATTTTTGTAGCTCAGGAAGTCAATCAATGATTTTTCTTATCGTGACAATAGCATGTTGATGAAGTTTTTAATAAAAAGCAGTGTTTTTCTTTTTTCTCTGTCAAATATTTCAAATGGAGCATTTATTTGCTTTCTTCGATTCTTGTTAAACTAATACTCAATGTTTGTCTCTCCTTTTATCTTAGCAATTATTCAAGATAAAAAGCTTCATGCACAATATTCTTTTTATTTTATTCTGTTCATGATTTAGATTGCAATCGTACGAATGAAAAAAGAATGAATTCAGCATGTAAAGCTATGGGAAGTAGTATTAAAAAAATTGCATTTGAAAACTACGACGTTAAAGCAGAACAAGCCGTATGACATGCCAATTATTCGAGTGCACTACAAATGAACAAATAATGATTAGTTCTTTTTTGTTTTCGAGGTAAAACGAGGCATAATAGCAGGTACACGTTGTTGATAGTCAACATAAGCTCGACCAAAGATTTGAACTAATTTACGTTCTTCGAAAGGAATTCCAATTAATGCATATAAGCATGTGTAGATAACCAAAACGAAACGATCTAGCGACATAACAGGTGTAAGTACCCATGACAGTATAGTAATTAAGTACAGCGGATGACGACAATAATGAAATAAGCCACTTGTTACTAAATTTGGCATGCCTATTGTTCGCGTCTCTGAATTAGCCGACGATGAATACGGACATCCAGCACTCTCGGCTCTGCTGAAGATTTGTTGAAGGCCACCAAATTCAAATGGATTGAACTTAATTATGATATACCATCCTTTGAATTAATTATTCTATTAAAACGAGGGGTGTAACAATACCATTTGGACACACAAAAGGATCGCAATTTTTCAAAATTGGCGATCTTTATACGTCCGCAAATGGTATTGTTACATTCGTAATTTAAAACTGATATAGAAACTGAAATTCAGTTACCTGGTGCAAATATGATATGATGTGTAACAAGTAAAACAAGCTGCTGTTGATAATTATTCATTGTTGATGGTAACCAATTCCATAGTTGTATTCCTGTGTGTTGCCAAAAGCCCATAATAATAAATACGGTCACAGTTGCTATCATACAATAGACTGTTCGAAGTGTTTGCTTAGGAAACAAGAATCGAGCGAGAGCTGCTTGAACGAATTCTTGCGCAAAAAATGTATGGGAAAAGCCGAAAATTGCATAAAGAAAACCGTTAAATATTAATTTAGCAACTACTGATGTCGATAAGCTGCTGATTTGCACGTATGGAACATTAAAAATAGGATTTAAAATAGGTAAATAAGCTGAAATTAAATTTTTGTATATAAATGGCATTTGCATATCACATGCGCCCCAATCGAAAAGGATGCGTGCAACAGCGAAGCCAAATGATAGGCTCAATAGAAGCCAGATAATACGAGCAATATAATTCATCTAAAAATTCGGTAATTAATAAATTGTTAGCAATTCAACCTAAAATTAAGATTCAGTACCATCATCGCTGAAATTTCATGGGATATTACTTCGAGATTTTGATTATGTTGGTTATGTAACTTTGTTGAGCATTATTTGTCGCTTCTGATTAATAGCCGTGCTGCTCTCTCTCTCTCTCTCTTCTTAGTTTTGCCATGAAAGATAAGAGCAGTTTTCATCATTTATGGTAAAGGGTATTTTTGGAGCTGAAGGTTTATTTTCTCCTAAAAGATCTTCGACTGATTCGCTAACAAAAAAAAAGATTTTGCTATTATATGATCTTTATTTTGACACAGAAATTTTTAACAAGACAAATATAAAACAAAACCATTAGGAATGAGATTTAGTTGCTGATGATGAATGCTCTAATGTTCGTTCAACGTATTTATAAAGAGTATTAATTCGAGTAATGATTTTAACGAGAATATCATCAGTTATTGTTGAACTAAATACCTATGAATAAAAGAAGAATATTTTACTTTCCTAATTTAATTTCTTTTCTCCTACTTTCATCCAATTTATATGTTCCTCGTCAGTAGTAACACCTGGTATATCCAAACCGTAAGTTTTAATTACAAGATAAATAATAGCAATCGCAATATGTTGCGGTGAAAAATCTTTAATTAATGTAAAATCGTAGTATGTATCTTGTAGAATGGACATTGCAATATCGATTATATTAATATTATTTTTAATTGGCGTTGATGGTGTTATTGTCATCCATTTACTTAATGTATCAACATAATGAAGAAGATATTTATTTGGATGATTAAATTGAAAGTGAAAACCAAGAATACGAATTAGAAATAGTTCACAATCTACCAGTGTATTGCGTAAACGATAATACTCTTGAGAGATACGTAAATATGGTTGATTGGGATGAAGTGTTCTAAAATGATTTCAAAAGATTCAGTAGATTTAAACGCGGCCATATCTATCGAGAGCTGGCAGATGTGTTATTTTTGTAAACAGAGTTCTGTTGTGAAATGGCAAGATATAAGAACCTAATTAGCAATTATTTCCACAGAAATGTTAAAAGCAAATGCACAATATGATATGTCAACGATCTTCCGTGGTAATTACTATCAATTCTTTAAGATTATTCGCATGATAACGAAAATTTTCTCTTCTATGTATTTTCAAAAAACCTACCGATATGTAACATTAATTAAATCTCGAATTTTGATTTGTTCTTCTTCATATTTACTTGCCAAGGATAAAGCCGTTGCAGCTAGAGTCTATAGAAGTACTTTAAGAAAAGATAATTCTATGAAATATTTCAAACTTACATATTGATCAAAATCTGATTTTTCGAGATAACAAGAACATTTATGATAAATAACAGCAGCTGATGCTGTTGTTAGAATACTCAATCGAAGTTTAGCCGCTATATAAAAAAGAAATGATAGAAAAATATTTTTATTCGTTTCAATCAATAAAATCTTCATTATTTACCGCATTCAAACATATAACTTATAATAACATAGCGATTTTTTTCGTCTTCAGTTATCGTTGATAATGATGCCATTTTTTTCTTTTTTAATTTAATCTAAAAGCTCAATTCCTCACACAAACGAGATTAGACTGATCATCAAAATGGAAGATTTGTGTCAGTAGAAAAAGTTTTAGCGACGATGAAACAGGCTGAATTTAAAGACAAGAATTGATTGAATATTTGTTTCTCTTTCATTGAAATTTTTTCAGTAAAAATACAATAACATTTTGTATCGTGTTCAAACAAGAAGAAGACGAAAAAAAGGTTTACGAAAACGCGAAATTATTTTGTTGTTCGTTTTGTTGATGAAAATCGTCGATCACGATTATCATCATCGTCATCTTCTTCAACTTTAGGAGCCGTTGGTGTTGTCGCCGTTGTTGTTTCTTCTTCAATCTCTTGATCCGTATTAGTATTTTCACCGGTACTCGGTGGATTCTCTAGTGGCTCATCATCCATTGTTGTATCTTCATCGTCGACTTCATTGTGTGTTGTGGATGTTGCTGGTGGAGGGGTTGGAGCAGCTGATGCGATCGATGTGGCTGTTGCTGTTGTTGATAATGACATATATTCACGTCGAATTTTTTCACATGTTGAAACAAGAAATTGTGCCATACTTGGCACAGTTTGAGTGTTATGAACGAAAAAGTATGGCGATTGACGAGCTAACAAACGTAGTGCACGCCAAACAAGTGAAGGATCTTGTTGTAAAAGTTTTTCACGCTCTTTTTCAAGATCTTTTGTTGTTTGTTCTTTATTGTCAGTAGAATCAGTCGCTGGAGTTTTTACTGTGACAGTTTGAAGTTGTTCAATCATTGGTTCGAAGAATTGGCGAATGGATGGAATGAATTGTTGACTAGAACTTCGTAAATCCTCGAAATTCATTGTACGACGTTTTGAGGCTTGTTGCACTGATTGTCTAAGAAAACAAAAATCGAAGTCTAATGATGAGAAAAATACTATCGTCAACTTACCGAATGGTATCAGATAATCGATATGGTGCTGCCGCTTGCGAGGCACTTCGCTTTTGAAAGGTAAGTTTTGCTTTGGAAAAATCTGGACAACCGTTATTTTTCCATAGATTCCACATTTCTTCTCGTTTAAGGATGTGCTACATATTTGAAATCAATACTATTTATTGAAAGTCAATTAATACAATTTGATTGTCTAACCTGAATACAAATTGTGAATACATCAGCATTGGATCCTGTTTGTTTTAACAACTAGAAAATTCGTTTTCTTTATTATAATGAAATTAATATTTTATTGAATTTACATCATTGATTTGATTTGTTGCCTTTTTAACCCATTGAGATTGCTCATCGTTGAGTGATTGTTGCGGTTGTTTGAATTTTACAGGTAAAACGAGATATTGGAAAATGATTAGAAACTGAACAAGTATATTTTGTCGAAATGTTACGTCATTCAATTGAAGTTCTAATAGCTATAAACAAAAAAATTAATTTTAATAAAAAAACCTAGAGCAAATTTTCTTTTATAGTAACAATATTCCGCTATTATCGAACAATCTCAATGTAGTGAAAATCAAATAAGATTTATCAGTTGAGAATAACGGATGACTGATGAATGACTCTTGATTAGAAACTAAATAAATTATGTAACTATGACTATCGATGAAAATAATTTCTTCCAACTTTAAACGTATCATTACTTAGATGGTAGAAGTCTAAAGCAATTTACATGAAACTCAGTACGAAAAAGTCTTCGGTTCTAATTGGGCTTAATATGAGGAAAAGAAGTTTGTGAGTAGCATTCATCTTCGTCTTGCATTTCTCAAAGGACATCTTTTTCTATATAATTTAACTATGTGAATCAATGACGAAAATAGATATAATATATAATAGTTATTAAAATCCTCCAAGATTCGCATGGTGCGCTGACCCGTAGAGCGGCTCAATGCCATTTACATGAGTCACTAACCTTTTCACTTGTTAAATATTTTGCAAAGAAGGAATCATCCGATGATGCAACAGTTTTAACATTATCTAATTGGCTGTTTGTAAAAACATCAAGTACTTGGTTTGTATTCTAAAATGAAAAACATTTTCTATAAGGAAATAGGACAACGAAATAGAACATACGTGCACAAAAGTATTCCATGATGTTCGTTCCCAAAGTTGAAAAGGTTTTGAAAAAAAGTCTTGTAATATCCAAAAATTTGTATAGAATTCTGCTGAACTTTTTTGATGTCTAAAATAGATAGGATTGCTATTAGCATGGGATGTGCGGGTCATAGTAACTTACAAATCATGGATTTCACCATCTTCATCAACTTCCATTTTTTTTTCCTTCTATGAAATTCATAATTAAAAATTAAACGAAACAATTTTACAAAAACAAACTTCAACTTCTTCAACTGGTGTCGTTGTTTGTTTCGTTTTAGTGAGTTTTGTAACATTTTCTGTGTTGAAATGTCCTATTTGATTTAAGCCTGAATGGAAAAAATAAATAAAAATAAATTACGAAAACACAAAAACGTTCGTCTTACCAGATTTTTCGTTGAGAGGAAAAAGTTGTGCTAAAAATGTCAAAATACGTCCAGAAAAGACAGTTTTTTGAGTTTTAGATAAACGCTTTAGTAGATCTAGAAGTATGAAATTTAATCAAGGCAAGTTCGAATGAAAAAAACAAGATAATATTTATTTACCATTGCACATTCGTAAAAGTATATTTTTAACCGACTGGAAAAAGATTGTCTAGAAAAAAAAAAGATAGTTTTGAAAAAGAAAATTTCATAGAAATGATAACCTACTGATCGCCATGTAGAAGCTTTTTCCTCCATAACAACGAATATCTGCTCACTAATATCAATTGTTGTATAAGTAAATAAATCGTTAAATAAATAAACAGGCATTGTTGCTGCCGCAAGTTCTGAAAACAAGACACAGATCGTGGTTTCGAAAGAAAATTAAAAACGTTTCTAACCATTATCAACAGCTTCGATAGCAAAGCCAATCAACTTCCGAACATTTGTTAAGAATTGATCAGTAACAAATGTTGGCATTTCCATGTCGTCAAGATTCGTACCATGCGTAGTTTCTAATTGTTTTTCCTACAGAAAAAAAAACAAATTCATTCAATGAAAATTATAGAAAACGGGTTCTTACCATCAGACCGAAGAGAACAGATCGAAATGCATGTTCAACTGCTGTACGATATTCCGGTGATTTGCTTCTATTTAAAGGAAAATTAGAATAAATATTCAGATCTGTTTAGATACAGAACATTCTTCGTCTCTATTCATACTGGAAATTAAAGTAGTTGTTTAGACCTAACATATTTTATTTTCTTCAAAGACGTAGCTAAGTTAACCATTAACATTATTTAAAAGAGCTAAAAATATTGTATATTGCCTGCATTTAATGAAATCTTATTTGACATAAACATCGATTTATCAGACAGGTCAGAATAGGATTATTCAAATATGCATCTCGAGACAGGTTTAATCAACTGTCGATGATGAGTGTGCGTGTGCGTCTTCTTCCATTCTAAGACAGAATCGATTGTTTTAGACTCGCAACGCATCGTTTCGTACACACTGGAAACGCACAGTAATACATTTCCAAGTTTCCCTTACGATCAACAGAAAGTCTAGTTTTCGATTTGCCATTATCTGAGCAGCATTCTTTAATCATCGTTGTAATAGACATCGTATTAAGTTTCAAATCGAAATTTAACAATGAATAATTTTCTGTTCCGTTCACAAAATATTCATAGTTAGTTTCGTTCTTCATCGGTGAAATTCATTGACTTACGTGTTAATAACGTCACGAACTTTTTGCGTGTCCCATTCATATTTTTTCAGATCAACCTATAAAAACATAAAAAGTTTTCTTTTGTTATTTCTCAAAAATCTATTTGTCTTACTTCAACATTTTGTCTTATGAATTCAAACGAAGACGAATTTTTTTCAATCATCTGAAAAAAATCAATACTGATTAAATATATATTCGTCTTGAATTTTCATAATTTTTACACAGCATAATCATGGAAATGAAATAATTAAAAAAAAAAGGAAAAAACACACAAATTGACTACAATCATTTGGAACAAGAAAATATTCATTTAGGAATCGGTCTGTGCCAGAAAATTAATTATATTTTTTGTTTGTTTCTATCTGATACATAGACAAGAAAAAGATATTGCCATGTGAATTAAAGGTAAAAATTACTGTTTTAATTAATATTGTCCAAGGAAAAAAGGATTAAAAAGTACATGGAATGCAACCAGGAACAAAAAACAAGACTTGACTAAAAATTATCATTCGACGAAATTTTTTAATTCTTCGAGTAAATTTGATAGGAAATGTGTTTCCGTTGATTTACCATCAATTGAAATACCATTCTGAGGATTCTTAAAAAGAAGAAAAACTTAGTTTTGATTCAAAACAATTCTAATACGCACAGTTGATTTAAATAAAAGAGCAATCGGATGTCCGAGAATTGTCTCGGAATATAATGACGCAGCTGAATTTATTTGATCAACAACTGAAATGGAAAAAAAAACGTTCGCTTCGAATTACTTAAACTCGATTCAACTAACCAGTTAATTGATATGATTGACAAATTGCACGAATTATCGATGAAAAATCTTGACTAGATGATGAAATACTAACGTGCGATTGAATTGTTAAAGTGCCTGAGCTCATTAGATCAGCAAATCCGTCGCTGAAAAAGAAATCTTATTTAAAAATTGAACAAACAAAAAAGCTATTCTCACGAATCAAGCGACTTTTTGCGTAAATATTGCGAGCACGGTAAATCAATTTTAAATTCAATCTTATCTGTTTGGGTTTCATTCGTTGGCTTCTAAATAGACATGAGAAAATTTTTAATTTCAAGTCATTTGTTTCTCTTTCGAAATTTACATTTATTGAATAAGTTAATGTTGCTTTTAATTTTTGTGGAAATGAAATAGCAGTAATACCAAAATAAATATGTATATAATTTTGTGAATTTGGAAAAAGTGTAATCGATGGAAATGATACATGATTTGGACTTGTGGTATTGAGTAATTTTGAACTTAAACTATCAATAACATGAACATCAATATGATCAATTATTGATGATGTTAGATTTTTTAATAAGAATGTTACATCCAATTGGGCAGCTGTTGGTGTTGGAATGATTGAAGTTTCCTAAAGTAAAAATTAATATCCAGATAACAGTGCACATTATTTCGTTCATGAGGGAAAATGCCCTGTTTAAAAGAGAATAACAATACTTACAATTGTTAAGTTATCGCATTTCGCTGTTGGTTTATAGATGTTTTGTTCTTGGCAAGGTTGACTAGTTACACTCGATACATTGATATCATCGCTCATCATATCGAATAGAAATGGTGTTGAATTTTCATTATTTGTTGATTTTTTTTCTTTGGTTTTCTTTTTCTTTGGCTTCTCTTCGGTGGCGATGATTGTTGCTGTTGTTGTCGTTGTATTACTTGATGATGTTGCAATGGCTTTTTTTTCATCATCAGCAGGCGATAATAATTCTTTATAATCGCTACGTTCTCGTTTTGATTTAGTTTTAAATGTCGATGATTTTTCTTCTTTTTCAACCGTTTTCTTTTTCTTTGGTTTCTTTGGTTTTTCTGTTGTTACAGGTGGAGTTTCAATTGGTTTTACAACTGGTTCTTGTATTTGAATCGGTGGAGTTTGCATTTTTTGTATTGGCTTTTCTTCAAAGTCAATATTAAGTGCTCGATGTGGATCAAGCTTTTTATTTCTTCCCGTAGGTTCATCATTATCATTATCTTCATTGCCGCTTTCGGTTACACCTTCGGGTAGTTCTCCGCCACGTGTTACTTTTATAACTGGATATAAATCTTCTTCGTTATCGTCGACATTCGTTGTATTCGATCCTTTCTTCTTTCCTTTTTTCGATGATCCACCATCGGATTTGGATTTTTTCTTTAAACGTCGATTTTCTTCGTCAATTTTCGATTGACGATATAATTGATCGGAAAGCGACAATTGTAAATTCGCCGGTATTGTTACTTTCGATGCTGTTGCCTGAAGGCGACTACCATTGTTTGCGTTCGTCGGTGATGCTTCAGTCTAAAAATAAATCAAATTCATTTAAAGTTGCAAACAAAAAATTAAGTAGGAAATACTTTTGGAGCTAAATTCGCCTTGGCTGAATCTTTTAAATAGAATGGATTCATTTTTTCGCTTTGTTTTCTATTTTCACGCCGTTGTTCAATTTCGTCGCTAGTTAATTCAACATAATTTTTTGGTTTGCTCGAATCCGATTGATCTCCACTGTACGAATCCAAGTTACTTCCATGATAATAACTTTCCGTATTATCAGCAGCAAATAAAGTTGAACTTGCAACAAATTGATTGTGTTTTTTTTCGGGTTCATCTTCGCTATCTGATGGTGGATCATTTATCCATGCATCCAAATCCAAACTATAATTAAAAAAAGATGGTTATAAAACAAAAAGAAGAAAATCGACATTTCTTCATTTACCCATTGGGTACAGCAACTTTTCGTTGAGCTTTACCAGCAACGGGATTGAGAATCCCATCGAAAAGTGCTGATAATTCATTAACATTAAATTCATGTTTTTCAATTAATTTTAATATCGATTTAAGAATATTTAAAACGACACTTGCCTAAATAGATAAACAATCGACATGAAATTTTTCTACAAAATATCAAAACAACATACTCGTTCTTGTGCTTCAACGTCGCCACTTGATAGAAATACAGACATTTTCTCAATACATAATGAAACAAGTTCTTTAATCATTGGTTCATTATTATCTGATTGTATTATTAAGTGTGTTATAATTTTCAGAATATTTTGATAATAAACAGATTGAATATGACCTGGAAATAATATCACTTTTGTATTCAACATCGCTTCAAGCGTTTTTTGTGGATTTTTCAAGCTCCTAATAAAACAAAACAAAAATATTTTCTTAATCCGAATGTGTTTTTTTATTATTTATAAAATACGTACGAACTAAATTCTCCACAAATCCATGCAGCTGCATATAAAACTTCAGCAACATTGGTTGAATTTGAACCATGAATAAACACATGAGCATTTTCAAGAAGAACAGCCTACACGAAATAAATCTATAAAGAACTGTAGGAATGCTTTTTCATCTTCGTACCATTTGACTACAAGCAAATTCTCGTATTGATTCAACACGAACAGCAACATCGAGTAATTGTAATGCTATAAGACTTCCATGTTTTGTACCTTCAAGACGAGTCAATTCAACCAAAATACTTATATACCTATAGAAATAGATAATTTGCAGTTCATCAGAAACAAAACCCGATTGACAAAAAACTAACCATTCAAAATTTGTTATATGTTGATAATCACTTTGACTGCAAATATCAATAACTTTCGATAACAATTCATCTCGATAATGTGTTCCTTCGGCTTTACTCATGTGAACCATTAATTTACGTACTACATCCATTAGATTTTTTCTTGATACCTTTTTAATTTGATTACAATCATATTAGATATTTTTTCTATATGAAACATTTTTCTTACCATTCCAGTTAGAAGATCAAGTGCTCGTAGACGAATAGATTCATCTTTGTCATCGAGACAGAGCATAATCAAATCATGATGCGCTTGTACACTCTTTGGATGTGTTTGTAAAATTTTTGACATTGCCAGTAAACCAAGGTATTTTACTAAATACAAAAAATATTTATCTGACATATGTAAATTTATTTCTTACAATTTTGATCAGAATCTTCAATAAGTATTCGAAGCTTTTGAACACATAATTGAATTGATGCATTATGATTCGGTAAACCAGATGAAATCGAAACAAGAACTTACAAAGCAAAAAAATTCAATTCAATTCATAGCGATCTTTCTTTTTTATTTACCAGCAATTACAGTATTAATACATTCGTAGAGTAAAGACATTGCTGATGTACTATGAATTAAATTTGTTAATGGTTCAATTAATTTTTTTCCTAATCTTGGTTCTAATGGTGTCAATGCACCGAACTAAAACGAAAAAGTGATGGTCCAAAACAATGACAGTAAAGAAAATTTCATCTATCATCATACCAATTTAATAATTTTTATTAATACCCAATTGTTTGCTGATGTTGTCATAAGACGGAAGAATATTGGTGCTAATGGAAGGTAATTTTTTGGATTACGTCTTGCTAATTCGCAAATAACATTAACAGCTGCTGCTTGAACACCTACAAAAGTAGAAAACAAACATTATCTTGACGTATTTTTGATTATCGATTAGCGAACCTGGATCAGGATCTTCGAGTTTTTCACGTAAACGTGGAAATGCTGGTTTGAGTGCATCAGGATTATTTAAAAATACTTTATATAGAAGTAGAACAGCTCGTTTACGAATATATGGTTTTGTTGATGTCATCTGAAATTTATTGATGTAAAAATTGATAAGAAAAAAAAAGATTGTTTCTTACAAGACTCATTATATCATTTGCCAAATCTCTTGCAAGATCAGCATTAATAAAGCATGAAAGACCACTCATAGCAATTCCAACTTCATACATAGATGAACTATTCAAATCCTAGAGAAATTTCATGATAAAAATATACGCAGAATGAAAACAATTTACTTTTCGGATCATATTTGTTGTTAACATTAATACATCAGTTCCTTCGTGAAAACTTTGCGAAGCAGCCAAATAACCAATACGCTAAAGCAAAAAGATATTCAACTTATACGGAAGTAAAAACCAGCTCAGAGGATATTATTCCCATTCCGAAATAGCAATTTCTATACGAAAAATAATACTGAGTGTGATCAACGTTTATTTATCTCTTAAAATACTTTCCATTTTCTTTTCAAATTGGAAGGAAAAAAATCTTTCTTTCGAAAACTTACTTTAAATGTAAATTTATTTGAACTCATTACTTCAATAACATTAAATGAACTCCATGATATATCATAACCCAACATTTGAAGCTTAAACAAAAAAATATGAATCATAAAATTATTTTTGTATTTTTATTACATAAGTTAATTTATTAACAGCATTTGCTTTAATTGCTATATTTTCTTGTTTAAGTTCTTGTTTAATTTCATCGATAGCTTCATTAATATATTTTGCCTAAAATATTCGAAAGAAACTTTTTAAAGAAAAAAAAACGTCCATTGTTAATTATATTACTTCATTTTCTTTATGATTTCGAATTCCTCGAACAAGATCATGTAAGCTTTTATCAAACATAGGTCCAAAACTGTCTTTAGCCTTTTTCACCACTTGGTCCATTGTTGTCGGCATTATATTTACATAAAATAAATGTAATAGAAACACATTTCTTCAAGCCAAGATAGTTCATCAACCATTGATCATTATCATTTTCCTTTTTCATATCCTTATGATAGATGTCATGCGATTTCATTCGTATATTTTTTTTCCAGCTGATCATGTATGTCCCTTCGCTCCATATTTTAGTAGTTTATTACCATGTAGAAGTGATCGGTGGAAAAGAAAAACAACAACTAAGTATGGCTGCAGCAAATCTTGAATTGTTTCCGCCATGCTTAGTTTTTCAAGATGAACACGATAATGCTCATCAGCATGAACATTTTCGTGACGGTTTAACTGTTCGTTCCTATAAATTCCTAAAACTTTTCAATTCAAAATCAGTAAAATTATTTACTTGTTTTCTTGGAATATTTGTTTCCTATCTTATTTTTGGTATTGTACAAGAATCAATGTAAGATTTGTTGAAATTATTTTATTTTAAACAGTTAAATTAATTATTTAGAGTCAAAGGAACCTATGGAAAACATGACAAATTTACATTTATTTTATCGCTTGTTTTTTTTCTATGTGTCTTTAACGCAGTTGTATCAAAAATAAGTATGTTGTGTAAAGGAAACTTTTTTTTGCTGTAATAAATGACTTGTTTTTAAAATAGTTTTGATATTCTGTAAAAGTCATCGAGATTCAACACCTTCGAAAATGTATGCATTCTCATCATTTACATATTTATTTGCAATGCTTTCAAGTAATTATGCTTTAGAATTCGTTAGTTATCCAATGCAGGTAAAATTTTAGGATTGCTATTTATGATCTAATATCAATGAATTCTTTTTTCTTTTCTGTGAACACAGGTTTTAGGCAAATCAGTGAAGCCTGTTCCAGTAATGTTATTAGGTGTACTAGTAGCTAGAAAACGATATCCGTTAGAGAAATACTTTTATGTTTTATTAATTGTACTTGGTATGACGAAAATAATTTATGTTAATTTTTTACGGTTATGATAATTTTTTCAGGAGTGGTTTTATTTATGTACAAAGAACCTAAAGAGACAACGAAAATAATTGAAGCAGGTGAAATATTTGGTATTGGGGAATTTCTTTTGGTACGTTATCCATAATATATATATTTTTTTTTCCACCGTGCAAAACGTTGAAAGCTTACCTTGTAATACTAACGTTAGATAATTATCTTCAACTGTTGAAGCGAAGATTGCTGATAGTCATATCACCAAAGTGATAGATCGCCGAAATATAATTCGAAGAATAGATTGAATAGTAAAAATAAATAAATTAGATTACAATTTTCTTTGATGAATTTCATAACTACCATTTATGAGAGAACTTACCGTTGCAGTAGAGTTCTAAAATCTAATGAACTTGCCGTTTATGCTAAAATGTCATAAAAAAATCATATCAAGTAGCATTTTCTAAGCTTTACCTATGACATGAATGCGTGAGTTATTTTCATCTCAGTCTATAACACAAAGGAAATCAGTGATAAACGTTCTGTACGACAGATGATGTTTTTTTTCTCATATGATCAAATCATTTGTATTTAATGGTACAGGTTCTTTTTCTTGCATTGTTTCCGTCTTGATTAGATTGACATACGTTTTACTATTTATTATTTTGGTCTTGTCTGCATATAAATTTTGTTAGAAATTATTTTTTATTCTTTAATTAGAATAAATAAAATCATTTTTCTAAGGTGATTTTTCGATTTAAAAACCCAGTCTTTTAAAAACTGATTATTACAATTATATATTATTTTTCATATAGATCTAAAAAAGTCAGTTCCTTTTAATATCGTTCGCTAACACATGTCGGAATTTCCTAAAAAACGAAGTATCATAATGAATTATAAACAAAATAATGGTCACTCAAAAAAATAAAGCAATTAAATATTTTTGATTCAGTTTGTTTCGCTTGTCTTCGATGGTCTGACGGGTGGAATACAAGATAAAATTCGTGATAAGCATAAAGTACAAGCTTATCATATGATGTTTGCAATGAATACCTGGTCGTGTCTATGGGCATCGATAGGCATAATTGCAACGGGTGAATTTTATAGTTTAATTGAATTCCTTAAAACATATCCATATGTTATTTCCAATATATTTTTACTCGGTATAACTGGTGCAATGGGTCAAGTAAGTGAAATATTTCGTTGAAATTTTCTTTTCATTTTAATTTTTATAGAATTTTATTTTTCTCACTATTGAATGGTTTGGCCCGCTGACATGCTCAATTTTTACGACGACGCGTAAATTTTTTACAATACTATGTTCAATATTAATCTTCGGAAATCCAATAACATTCCGGCAAATGTGTGGAACAGTACTAGTTTTTCTTGGGCTTTTTCTTGAGCAATTGTATGGAAAGAAAAGAAATTAATATATAGGTTTATTGTTATTCAAATAAATTTTATTATCAATATGAAATCTGTTATTTGAAATTTGCTGAAATTTTTTTTGTCAACAAAAAGAAACGATAAACCCATGATGTTGAGGTTATTGTACTCATTTTCGATGCCCTTGATCATTCAGTGCACGTATGTGCTCGTCTTGGGAAGAACGCAAAGAGAAAAAGAAAAGAACGACTGATATTTATTAGGCAACACGAAGAGGAAGGAGAAGCAATCTTACATTGCAAAAAAAAAACAGGGTAGGCAAAAGGCAAGAAATGAATTCTGTATTTCATATCATCGTTCGTCGATTATCAACTCAACAAAATCATTACAAATTAGTTGTCATTGGTGCTGGATGCGGTGGACTCGCATGTGCATCGAAACTTGCAAAGAAGCTACCAAAAGATAGCATAGCTATTATTGATAAGAATGACGTACGTTTTAATCACAGAAAATATTTTTAACCTTAGTAATGTAATTTTTTTTGTCCTAATAGACACATATTTATCAACCAGGTTGGACATTAGTTGGTGCAGGTTTAAAAACAGCTGAAGAGCTTGAAAAACCACAATCACAATTTATTCCACAAAATACAACATGGATTCAATCATACGCTAATAAAATTGAACCAGAAAAAAATCTTGTTCAATTGGATGATGGCAGAAAAGTACAGAGATTTAAAGTTGAGATTATCGGAAAAATCATTAGGATTTTTCTTTATATTAGATCAGCTATGAATATTTGATTGTTGCTGCTGGTATAGAAATGAACTTCGATAAAATCAAAGGAGCTGTTGATGCGTTGGACAATGATCCACAACATGTCATTAGTATCTATACTAGGAAATATGTTCGCAATGTTTTTAACACACTGAATAATTTTCGTGGTGGTCAAGCAATATTTACATTTCCAATGATGCCTATCAAATGTCCAGGAGCACCACAAAAAATTATGTATCTTGCTGAAGATTTATTCCGAAGGGTAGGAGAAGAATGTTTTGTTGATACTAATTTTTTCTATCTCCTGTGAATTTAGAATAATGTACGTGATAAAATAACGGTTATGTATAATACGTCATTACCCGTGATTTTCGGCGTTAAAAAATATGCAGCTGCTTTAATGGAGATCGTCAAAGAACGGTCCGTTGTAAATAGATAACTATTTTTTTTACATAAATCAATTATTTTGTAGAAATATTCAATTAAATACTCGACTGAATCTTGTTGAAGTACGTGCAAAATCAAAAGAAGCTATCTTTGAAAATCTTGATCAACCTGGCACTATGAAAACATTCAAAGTATGACCCAAGAAAGTTCTTCACACTTTAATTCTCCCTGAACTATGTCATTTTCAGTATGATGTATTGCATATTGGTGTTCCAATGCAACCCTTTGAATTTTTGGCAAAATCTCCATTGGCCGATGCTAATGGTTTTGTTGATGTTGTTAAAGAAACATTACAACACAAGAAATTTCCGAATGTCTTTGGCATTGGAGATTGTACTAATATCCCAACAAGTAAAACAGCGGCTGCGATTGCTGGATCGAATTCTATTCTTGTTCGAAATTTAAGTAATTTAATGTTCGGCACAAATCATCCTGTTCACAAAGTAATTTTTTCTTCTTTTTGAACAAAGCAAAATTCTTCTTGATTACGTTTTTTTTCTTCATAGTATGATGGTTATACAAGTTGTCCATTGGTAACAGGTTATAACAAATGTATTTTAGCTGAATTCGATTTCGATGGAAATCCATTAGAAACTTTACCTATCAATCAAGCAAAAGAACTTCGACTTTCGTATATATTAAAAAAAGATGTGATGCCAACGATGTATTGGAAGATGTTAATCACGTAAGATTTTAATCATCATGTTATTCGAAATTTTTATTAATCTTCTGTCATTCTCTGAATAGAGGTAATTGGAATGGACCAGCAGTGTTTCGCAAATTGTTCCGTCTAGGCGGAGCAAAATAAATTTCATTGATTCAGTTATCCTAGCAATTTAGAATTGTCTTCTTATCCTATATGACTTTCAAACTTATTATTTATGTTGAATTTGTTCCAATTCTTTTTTATATAATTCAAATAAATAGAAAGATTTATCAATTCGGTAATAGATCTTCCGATACAGAAAAGCAAGCACATATTCAGATTGATTAATTAGATTTAGAACGGAAAGTGTTCAATTTTTGAAAAATCCTTCGATAGGGCTACCCAATCACACGCAGTGTAAATGTACCCATTTAGCAATGACTCATCGTTTGAAAAACACGAGCATCGTCACACAAGAAGGGTAAATAAAGATATACTTTTTTTCATAAAATGAGGCGCGGGTTTGACAGGCAGAGTACTCCATTGGATCGCAATCATTTTATGTTTACATAATTGAGATAATGCCTCAGGGGAGCCGTTTATAGCTAAATGCTATTTCACAAAGCTTTGTTTGACGAGCAAGTTAAATCCTGTCATGTCATGCATAAAATATAGCATTATGTAAATATGAAAAGAAACTCGAGAGAACAAGTTTTTTCTTTTCTTTGAAAATTAATTCATCAATGAAAAAGCCGTGAACCAACACAGACTGCCTGCTCAATTTCGATATTGTTTTGTTTTTCGATCATGTGACGTCATTGCTTTCACAGCAACAGCACTTAAAAACATCTGCAAATAGATTGTAAAGTTAGAAGAGGGTATGAGTGCGCCAAGGTAAGACATAAGTTTAATGAGTCTATCACTCAGCAGATGGCTATATCATAAATACAGGTATTCTCTTTCATCTTCAAAGATATTGCATAATTTACACACTGTAGAAAATGAAGGTCTACGAACCTTTTATTATGATTCATCCAGGGCTTTCAAGGATGTCTTGTGTTCAACATTTAGCAATTTTTCTGATGACAGTCTATGATCGGTATGAAGAAGATTCACTTGCAAACAATTAGACACTATGACATTCGTTTCTTTTTATGCAAATTAGTGAATAAATTCACAAAAAATTCATCAACAACAAAAAGAAACATACAAAAAACAGCTATATACTAGAAAATCTTTACTCAGTTGATGTACTAGCACAAAAACATTATGTATATGTATATAAAAATATAAAGCTTCAAAATCTTGGAAAGCAAAAGAAATACTTTCAATAGATTCGCTCTATGAAAGAAACACCAAAACAAAAAATGCAGCAATCATTTGATGCAAAAAAAACTAATGTGAAAAAAAACGGAATCAAAAAGTGGCAAAAAGCGCACAAATTCAGAGAAAAACAAAATACAAAAATTTCGAAATGTAAATAGGAAAAGGAGGTTGCATCAATACACTATTCATCATTTATAGATAGAAAAGGCGATCAGCTAGTTCAGGATTGAAATCCTGATGTAAACTTTGACCAACAAGAAAAGCCAATTTATGAGCATATTGACAAACGGCTGGCACACGAATTGTTCCTGGCCAACTATAATCAAGCGAATTTTTAATTAAGAGAAAAACTAACTTCATAAACTAACTTATAATATAAATGAGTAAGTTTAAAAGTAAGCCGTTGCATATGATCGACTTTGAAACTAAGAAAAAAAAAGATTCACAATAGGAAGATTTTAATATTAAAAAATAATATTGACTTTGTTCGATCCCAAATTATATTGTAATGAGTCGGCGCAACTGTTCCTTGCCGAGCACATTGTGAAATTAGATAGAAATCATACCATTCAGCTGAAGAAAAACAAGTTTTAGTTTCAAAAACATCCCAATAAACTTACCATTAGTAACTGTATGATCGATAATTGTACCCGGTGGAGGATTGACCATTGATGTACTTCCCATTTTAGCAAAGAATCGAGCATTTCCTTTCTTTTTAACAATAACTACTGCAAGTTTCGGCCTAAAATAATCCTTATATAATAAATCGGTACTAATTTTGTGAAGATTCATTTACTGATATCCAGGCATTATTTTAGGAAATGTATCAATAATTTGAGGTAATTCATGTTCTGCAACGATAGCTAATTGACCATCGGAGACACCATCTCGATAGAGTACAACTAAAACCAAGAAAAAAAGATTATTTCTAAAGAACTTTGCTTTCATCTCATTACTTTTTTCCGGTAATGTATTATTGACTCGATGATATTCTTTGAGCGAATCTAAATCAAACTATTCGATACAATTTATTAAAATTAGTAATGTTTACCTCGCATGCATTGTTGTAAACCATCCATCAATTCTTGAGCTGTACGATTATAAATAACTCGTGAATAGAATCGGGTACATGTGACATTTGTCGAAGCAACAAATGCGCCCACACTTGCACCTAAAAATGTAGATCCAATTTTTCATTAACGTCGCGTAATGATCGACAGACCTTTTCTTTTTGAATCGTGATATGAATCCATACCAATAACCATCAATGTTTTCGACTAAAACGAATATATATTATTTTTAATACTCTTTAAAGTCATATTTTATTTACCGGAATAGTCACACCCCAAATTTCACCGCCAAGCTTTGCATTTAATTGAATACCAATTTTAGTCGCAACAGACATAAGTTGATTTTTCTTGGAAATTGTTTTCGCCAAAACCATCTAGTCATAAAATTCAGTCAGAAACATACAGCATCAAGCATAGAATCTCACTTGAGAAGGTACTGGATTATCAAGACACATGTATTTTTTCAAAGCATCGTATCGATCTTTGCGATTATTTGGTAATACACAAAGAACGAGATCTGTATTTTTCTGAATCTTTTCTGGCAATGCACTTAAATATGTTTCAGGCCGATCATTTGGTAATTGCATTCTAATTTAAAAGAAAATTTATTATTTAAAATAAAAGCATCAACATAGCACGACGAAATTTTGATTGAATGCCAACTAAGGAAATCTATTCTAGATTTATTACTCTCTAAAAGTTTCTTAGATGACTGTAGCCCATTGCGGCAGCTTCTTCCAATAGATCATCAGATTAGAACAAATCATGGATCATTAAATAACTTACACAGTTGGATATTCAACTTCCATTCCAAATGGTACACATACTTGATAAAGTGCATTAATAAGTTCATCACCCAGTTCACGTAATGATGATGGATAGAAAACAATCCAATTTTTGAGATTTTTACATGATATATGTTTTAAACTGCGGCCTAAAGAAGAACACTGTTTTATATTAAAAAAGAAAGAACTTTCGTCTAATCAAACCTTCTCGGCTCCAATCAGCTTCGTCATGTTTATAACGAATAGAACGATTTGCATAAAGAATTTGTTCGGATTCAAGAAGACGACCATCGAATTCAACTAAACCTGTATCTATACTAATTTCCCATTTTTTCAATTCATCTTTAGCTTCTTGATTACTAGTTAAAATTCAGATTTAATAAAACGAAATCAAAAGCAAAAAATAATCAAATCACTTTTGAATATCATGGCAAAATTCTGTTAATTTCTCAAAACGTGACATTGGCCCAATATGTGTATGAGTTGCTAATTCTTTCATAAATTGAAAATCCGATCGCATGACATCGGATATACCTAGGAAAAAAGTTTTCAAATTTTTCATAAACAAATCATTCGCGCCAATCTACCTGTCACACAGCACAATTCAGGAATAAGCATAAGTGGACCTGTTTGTCCAGCACGTCGATCTTTTTTCGATGGTTTACTTATAAGTAACGGTTGAGTTATGTCTTCAATTTTCAATTGATAACGCTAAGCATAGACATCAGAAAATAAATCACAAACGAAAAAAAGATGAGTCACTTACATCATAATAATATTTAACTAAAGTTTCATCGGTACCATCTCGTTTTTTGAATGTATAATTCGGAGACTTATCTAAACAAACATCGAGATTTTTCTTTAGTTAAAATTTCAGTATTTTCGAATTTTGGCATCCGTAAAAACGAATACCGAGTTCCTATTTATTATAGATTGCAAAACAAGAGCTATATTTGCAAGAAAAGTCTATGCTATGCCTAGATTTTCGCCTGCCAAGGTTCTGAATTATAGCTGTGCTGTATACATCAAGAATATGAGGTACTTATAAGAATTTTAACTAAGTCAAAAGCAAAACAAAACGTTAATTGCTAACCCCAGGCTATTTCATCGATTTTGTATGTTTTTGAATTGTAGGTTGTCAACACAATCTAGATTAAAAACCAAACCAAATCAATAAGACGAAGTGTTTAGTTTAGTTTTACTTGTCCGACAAGTTCTTTTGTTGCTTCATCTTGTGCACGTTTAAAACTAAAGAAAAAATTTTATGGAAAAATTAATGTATATTAATTTTTACTCACTCAACAAATTGTGTAAATATGTCTTGAAGACGATTGAATACAGTAGTTTTATTTAATACCTATTATACATTAATAAATATTAAAAATAAATATTAATAAAAAAAAACCTTATGTGATAAATCAACATTAATCATCAATGAACCTTCATAAATATTGACATTAGTTAAAAATCCAGGGAAAAGTGTTAAACGATAACGTTCTAAATCAACTTTACGATCGAATTGATAATAATTTCGACCGATGAGTCTTAAGCCAGATAATTCTAATAATCTAAATTGATGAATTTTAATGTGCAAATAAAGTCTACTTAGAAAATCTTACTTTCGAACAATTAAATTGGCCTAAAAGAATTAAATATTATTTCTAAAAATAAAAAATAGCTTTGCATACAAGATGAAAGAAATTTGGTGAATCCGGTGAATTTTTTGCTGTTAAACGAAGACGCATTTCAACAGGATCGCCGGTGACTGTATGTTGACATTGAAATGTTCGTTCCTAGATTTGAGGAAAAACCGAAACTTGAAATAATGATACAAAAGATTCAATGAAATTTTACATCGCCAATATATTCAAATGAATAAAGCGTCGTTCCATCGAAAGCTACATCTTTCAAAATTTGTTTATGTTGAAGAACCTAAAAGACGTGTAAATTAAAAATGGCAATAGAATAAATTAAACTTATATGATCTCGTTGGTTTTTTAAAGGGAAAACATTTCACCCTACGATAAATTATCCACGAAATATTCTCAAGAATAAATCTCTGAATTTTTACCCAAACTCCATCTTCATAACAATACGTCTCAATGAGAAGAATATTTTCTTTTCTTAATAGTCAACAGTCTTTTACCATTTCTCGACGCATTTTTCGTTGTACGACCATTTCTTCGGGATTGAAATCTAAACCAAAAATGTTCGAAAAAAATTCTCAAAGATAAACTAATTTACCAATATGATATTGAAAAAGTTGCCATGTTGGTTTCGATAGAATACGAATATAATTCGCAACAATACTAATGGGATCACCACTAACACCTACAAAATCATGGATTCCGTATCGAAAGTGGGTTTTTTCCCCAGTTATTATCATTTTTTAAAATGTACCTCGTTTATCATCAATATGAGATGGTTTCGTTTTTGGTAGGCCTATATTTGACCATGGTGTTCCTCGTCCGGAACCAGTTTGACGGTCGCTTGTCGATAGAGTAGCTAAATCGGATACAAGATGTTCAACACCTTTGCCTCGTGGTGCTGACATTATTACAGGTGCATTTCCACGACGAGGCTTATCAATAGTTGATTTTGTCGTTGAAGATACAGGCTAAGATTATATGTATATGTTTATTAGAAAAACAAAAACAAATCCTGAGAAAAATTTCACTTCATATGACGTCCCTGTTGATGTTGGTGGTTGTTTTTCTGTAGGCGTTGTTGATGTTAGTACTAGTAAAAGAATAGGGATATTATGTTCAACGAGAAATTAGCTTTAGAAAAATAACTAAACCAGATGAGGCCGAACTAGTTGCTGAGAATGATGAAACAGCTGCAGCAGAATTTGCAAATGCACCTGGCCGAGGATTAACATCCGTTTGGCCAGCTAATCAGTAAAATATAAGATAAACAATGCTAAAATTAATGAATATCAAAGAGCGAACTAACTTAAATTAAATAAATTAGCTCGACCACGTCCACGTGCACGTCCAACGGAATCCATGATAGTAATTTAATCTTTTTTACCGGTCGATCAACTATAACATCAAACAAATGAACTTTTTTCTATTAATAACAGAACGCAATTCCGTTTTCGTACAATAGTTTTCTCTTTTAGTAATTTTACTGTTCTTTGAATTAAATTTTAAATTGATTTGGGTTTTTTTCGATGATCGTGTTTCTAACGTTCGAATACTTCGAGAATATTTTATATCTTCTCTGATCAACTGAACACGTGGATATATATATATATATATATATATATATATTAATTTCTAGACATACATAGATCGATGAACTCCAAATATGAACGGTCAATTATAGAAAGAGAAAAAAACTCGTCCGCCACATATCAGTGTAACGAAATCCAAATCCAGGGATGAAAGAATGAAGGAATAGAGAAGTAAATCGATATGAGATACGAATTTGAAAATTACAGGCAATTGATTTCATCGAGTCTGAGATTTGGCGATTATTATCCCAAAATTGTTAAAATCTCATTTAACTAATTATCTTTGTAAAATGTTTTGCATTTAGTTTAATCCAATTACTGCGACTCGTGTAAAAGAAAGAGTAATATGAATGAATGTCACTGACATAGTCAATTTAATAACACAGTGATTGCTTTTCTCAAGTAATGGAAAATATTTGCAATGCAAAAAATATATATTCGTGCATGTGTTCTAAGAATGAACCATATTGAGCAAAATAGAAAATTATTCAGATAGCAATGAAGACATCTCATTGAAATTCTGAATAGATCATAGGAAACGACATCTATTGCAAATCACTTCTGATATCAATTCTGTTTACACTGGGATGCGATATATTAAATATTGTTTCAATAGTAAAAGCAGCAGACAAATACTGAATTTCATTACTGATAAAACTTCAGAGGAACATCTGGTACTACATTATTTCCTAGAGTTAACTTGAATCAACTATATAATTAAGTAACAAAACACTATGAATCTTTCATAATCAATGATAAAAAAAGAAATTCTCTTCTTATCAGGGTTGCCAAATCCAAAAGTGAAAAACCAGAAGATTCTCGCAAAAAAAACGGTAGTTTGCCAGGAGATTTTTCTCGAAAACCATTAGAGAAACTATGATATTTTTTTCAGGATCAGGTAATTGTCTCGAAATTTTTCTTATAGAAAACTAAGATTTTCTTGCATAAAAGAGCTTGTTTACTCTCTGTTGTCAAGAGTGTGATAGCAAAATCTTTGTCGAAATGGCATTTAAGGAAAAAAAATATTATTACACGTACTTTACATTGCTGCTTATTTGACAGGCAATAATTAAATTATACAAACAAAACAGAAAAAAACTTCACCTCAAAATACATCCGATCGTGGGAAAGATTAGTCGCTAATGAATTTGACACTGCACTAATTTCATATGCTTTGCGACGAAAACATTCAATAAATATACGATGATTCTTTCTTTTTAGCTAAAAGTACATCAGTTCCTACTACCGAATTTGTTTAGGAAATTTTAGTTTAAATAAGTCAAGTAGAACCAACGTTTTATCTGATTGGTTATTGAATTCATCACATATTGTAATCATTCTGTATCTTTTTTTCTTTCTTTCCGTTTATCGCTATGATTCAAAATGTTACGAAAATTCAAGTTTAAAAAAGTCTTAAAAGCCAGGAGAAACCAGCTCTTGGTACCAGGAGGAAGGTCTAAAAACCAGGAGATTTGGCAACCCTGCTTCTTATACTGAAGCTACTCGGTCGATGATTGGTGTATTCACCGATACAATAAGTAAAAAAGGAGACTTTTGTAATGATATGCCAGTATTCTACAAAAAAAGTGTAACATGCGATTTGTTTGCATAGATGTTCTTTCAGAAGGCCACAGCTGGTCTCTATTTGATTTTTAACTAAAAAGAATTTTTTTCCCGTTTATCGAATAAAATCTGACCTGAGCTATGAATGTTTTTGCAATAGGTCTGCTATATTCGAATTGTATCTAAGGGTTCTTCAACCACAAAATTTTCTTTCCGGTTCTTTTACTTTCTTAAAGCCTGTGGAGAAAAAAAGAAAGTAGAACAGCGCACATAAATGAGTAAAAGAGAAAAAATCACGCTATGTTTAAATATAATAATTTCTATTCGATGCAGAAGTGATGCACCGTGTTCTGTTGATTGTCAAAGTAAACTACTCGTGTTATTAAACCTCATTTTCTTTTTAAGAAAAAGCAAATAAATGAAACTGCAATACATAATAGAAATCGTTCGAAAGCAGAGTAAAGCAGGAAAAAAAACAATTCAGGTTTGTTTTTCTTTCTAAGATCGGAATTGAAATACTCTTCGAGATGTGTCCAAAATATGTTTCTTTAGCATTGTTTATGGCATACATTTCCTCCGAGAAACATATCGCAGAGTCTGAAACGGATCGTTTACAGATCCATTGCATAATTAATCGATTCACTGTAGTCAGTGCGAAAATCAATTTTTCCTCTATCCCTATAATATTGTTAAGTTTAGCCTATCATACAAGAAAAAAATGAGTTCATAAAATATAATTATTATTAATGCATGATTTCATTTTTTTCTACATTTTCACGTGGCTGCTTATTTGTTGCACTTAAAGTTTTTTTTTCGGTTTCTTGGTAAATACATGCTCTGATTGATATCGCCTTAGCTTTTGCTCGTAGTCTTTATGCGACATCGACAAGTAGTTATTTTTTGCCATAGCTTTTATCCTCCATTCTTACTACAACGGTCGTTGTTTCTCTATAGCAAAAATTATTTCTCTATTTTTTATATCCCATTCTGTAGTCGCTAGAGAACACATCCTATGATGAGATGGCAAAGGAACAAATGTGTTTTTTGTATATTCTATATAGCAGGAATAGAGAAGCTGTGGCGTTATTTTTTTCCTTTTTTCCTCGCTCGTTCGAAACACTCGTATAAAATAAAAGACATAGACGCATTTTTACAGAACTAGCATAGTTAACTTGGCTGTTTTTTTGCATTTTCTTTGGGTAGAATTTTTCTTCCCACGCTATTGTTGTTGTCGCTGTTACATTCTATAATTGATCATTGTTTTAGATTTTTGTAAGCAAAATATATCATGTCAAAGTCATCATCATCATCGTCTAAAACTCCTCTAACCGATAAAGATCGGCGTAAACAAATCTCAATTCGTGGTTTACCTGTATTAGAAAATGTAGCATCTGTTAAGAAAACGTTCAATCGTCATCTACATTTTACTATTGTTAAAGATCGTAATGTCGCTACGAATCGTGACTATTTTTTATCAATAGCATACACAGTACGGGATCATCTTGTCGGTAGATGGATTCGTACACAACAACATTATTATGAAACTGATCCTAAGCGTGTTTATTATTTATCATTGGAATACTATATGGGACGATCATTATCAAACATGATGATTAATCTTGGTATTGAATCTGAATTAGATGAAGCTTTATATGAAGTAAAAATTTTCTTTATTTTTCTTTGAAATTTTTATTATTCTATTTATTTAGCTTGGTCTATCAATTGAAGAATTAGAAGAAGTTGAAGAAGACGCTGGTTTGGGTAATGGCGGTCTTGGTCGACTTGCTGCCTGCTTTCTTGATTCAATGGCTACACTTGGATTAGCTGGCTATGGTTATGGATTACGGTAGAGATCTTTTTTTTAATTTAATTTTGCTCTTTAATATGCTTTTTGTCTAAATTTCAGTTATGAATTTGGTATCTTTCAACAGTCAATCAAAGATGGATTTCAATGCGAAGAACCCGATGATTGGTAATATAAGACACGTAGAAAGAAAAATGAATTTTCTTCTTAACATATATATTCCATTTAGGTTACGTTATGGAAATCCGTGGGAAGTTCCTCGGCCCGAATATCAAATACCGGTTAATCTTTATGGTCGTGTTATTGACCAAGACGGAAAACCAAAATGGGTCGATACAAAAGTATTTTAAATTTCAATATATATAGAAACAAAAATAAGAAGCGCTATTTTATGATTTAGGTTATTATGGCTATGCCCTATGATACTCCAGTGCCTGGTTATAATAACAATGTAAATTAAGAAAATTTAGAAAACAATCAAAAATATCTATTTTTATTTTTATTTTTATTTCTAGGTTGTCAATACACTTCGGTTATGGAGTGCAAAAGCAGCTCAAAAATTCAACTTTCAATTTTGTTGGTTTCACATATTTTCCTTGTAGTTCTCGATTCATATTTGTTGTTTTAGTTAACGACGGTGATTATCTCAATGCTGTTAGTGATCAAAGTTTAGCTGAAAATGTAACACGAGTTTTATATCCAAACGATAACGTAAAGATTATTTAACTTGAATACATATATACTCAGATGATGTATGCTAATGTCTTTATTTAGTACAAGCAAGGAAAAGAGCTTCGTCTTAAACAAGAATATTTTCTTGTTGCTGCTACTTTATCTGATATTATTCGCCGATATAAACATTCAAAATTTGGTTCAGCTTTAACAACTCGCGATGATTTCAGTACATTTCCCGACAAGGTAATTAGTTAGGGTTGTAATTCACCGTATAAAAACTGAAATTTAATATCTAAGGTTGCTATACAACTCAACGATACACATCCAGCATTAACTATTGCTGAATTAATGCGTTTATTACTCGATATGGAAGGCTTATCATGGGATAAAGCATTTGATATTACAAAACGAGCCTGTGCTTATACAAATCATACACTTATGCCTGAAGCTGTTGAACGATGGTCCGTAGGTTTATTACAACATGTTTTACCAAGACATCTACAAATTATTTTTGAAATTAATTTACGTCATCTTCAAGTAACCAATATTGTTTTCATAAAATTATAAAAACATTTGATTCTTTTGTTAATTAGGAAGTTGCTGCTCGTTATCCAGGAGATTGGGGTCGTCTTCGAGATTTATCTATCGTTGAGGAAGATGGTGAAAAACGTATTAATATGGCTTATTTAGCTATTGTTGTAAGAAGAACAACCGCAATATATTGATTAAGAAGATCATTTTTTTCTTAACTTTCTAGGGATCTCATGCAGTTAATGGAGTTGCAAAAATCCATTCAGATCTTCTTAAAACAACTCTGTAAAAATATGATTTATTTTCTTTTCTTCTAAAATAATTTTATCCGTTTAATTTTAGTTTTAAATCATTTTATGAGTTGACACCAGAAAAATTTCAAAATAAAACAAATGGAATTACACCACGTCGTTGGCTTGTTCTAAGCAATCCTAACTTGAGTGATGCTATAGCTGAAGTACATATTCAGTGCAGAAAAAGAGTCATTTTCTGGATTTTCTTTTGCTTAGAAAATTGGTGAAGATTGGATAACAAGTCTTGATCATCTTAAAAAGTTACGAGAATTTGTTGACAACGAAGCATTTGTACGTGACATTCAACGTGTTAAACAGGAAAATAAACAACGTTTAGCTGAATGGCTTTTGAAAACACAAAATCAAAAAATTAATCCTTTGTCAATTTATGATATGCAAGTCAAACGTATTCATGAATATAAACGACAACTATTAAATATTTTGCATGTCGTTACATTATACAATCGAATTCGTGCTCACCCCGATGGCAAATTTGTACCCCGAACAGTCATGATTGGTGGGAAGGTAAGATAATAAAATAGATTACCGACTAATTATAGAAAAAACTTTACAAGAGTAAAGGAAAACAATGAATTCGACATCCTCGAAATAGCAGTTTAGACTGAAGATCTTGTGTAACAGGGCAAAGACCTTTGATATTTTAAGAAATCCTTGTAATATAGTAAAAAGAATGTTGACTAATGTTTTTGTTCCTTCTTAAGGGGGCGTGGATGGTAGACGACCTAGCCCACTGGTCGTGACACGGCTAAGTACAAACTCGAGCGTCGATAAATAAGTATGATAGATCATGCAATATGTTTACTGTCGATTTCTTGTGCATAAATAGGACTACTAATTTGATCGAGTAACTAAGCGACATTGTCTTCTAAAATTTCGTTGGTAATTTTCAGGCAACAACTGAAAATTCTCCTAGACACTGCCAGTCAAAAATGAATTCAATGCTAATAGCATTTGGAAAAGCAAATGATGGAAGTAACCTTTGTATGAGATAATCTGCATGAAATTATAACCGCATTCCCTGCAAATCCCAGGAAGTAAAGGTGCGCCACTAAACAGTGTACCAAAGTATGCATGCAGTTGAAATACAATACAAAGATATATTACATATATCGTTTAAATATCCATTTTCTACTTTAAAAACACGAGATTCAAATTCGGTTTCTTTGTGAAAAACAAATAATTGAAATTAAATGACTTTTTTCATGAGTCTATATCTTAAAATAGAACTTATTCTATCTTAGAACGGATGTTACAATTCTCTCTTCTATCAGCTCTTGGCCAGATTTAGAACACAAAGCTATCTTACATTCTCAATTTTGTTTTTGTTTTATAAAATTTCGAAACTATTCATACGACGACTATATCTATTTCAAAAAGTAACTTTCTTTTTCATAGGCTGCTCCTGGCTATCACATGGCAAAGAAGATAATTAAATTAGTAAATATTAAAGACTTAAAGTTAGACAAAAAAAATAAACATCACTATTTTCTATGATAGGTTAATAGTGTTGGTAAAATTGTTAACAATGATCCAATTGTTGGTGATCGTCTTAAAGTTGTCTTTCTTGAAAATGTAAAAATAATCAAATCTAAAAGAAACTAGTTTTCCATAGAAATACAAAAAATTCTTTTTAGTATCGTGTAACAATGGCTGAACAAATTATCCCGGCTGCTGATTTATCAGAACAAATTTCACTTGCTGGCATGGAAGCTAGTGGAACGTCGAATATGAAATTCATGTTAAATGGAGCAATGACAATTTGCACATTAGATGGTGCAAATGTTGAAATGGCTGAAGAGGTTGGCAATGATAATATATTTATATTCGGTATGACTGTTGAAGAAGTTGAAAAACGAAAACATGAGGGGTAAGAAGAATTTTGCAAAGGCCAAAATCGATATTTACATATATTCTCTATAGATATTATGCAAGAGAATTTTATGAAAAGAATGCTGAACTTAAACAAGCTCTCGATCAAATCAAAAATGGATATTTTTCACCAGAAAATCCAGAATTATTTCATGATATTGTCAATAGTTTATTATGTGACGGCGGCGATCAGTATGTTTATTTAGAATTAAAAATTAAAAATTTTTCTTATTGCTTTCTTTTTAGTTATATGCTTTTAGCTGATTATGACAGCTATATTAAATGCCAAGACAGAGTCAGTGAACTCTTCAAAGTTAGTTTTCTTCTGTTTTTGTCTTTATGAACTATTAAAAATGATTGATTTTTGTTAGGATCCAATCGCTTGGACAAAGAAGAGCATTTTAAATATCGCTGCATCGGGCAAATTCTCAAGTGATCGTACTATTGCAGACTATGCTCGTGAAATTTGGAATGTTCAACCAGCGCTCAGACCATTACCTAATCCACATGAAGGTCGACCTGGTACAAATCACGAAGGCGAAGCCACACATGGCTCATCACAAGCACTTGCTGATTTAGCCAAATACTAAAACTATAGAGTCAACCTATATTATGCATTTTACCATTTAGTCACTAGTATCAGAAAGTTTCTGTAGTTATATTCCATTAAATCTTAATTTTATCATCTTATGTCTATAAACAACATATTCAAAATAATAAAATCTAGTATGAAACATAACAGAATAGTTTCATTTAAGTATGAATAATTGTAAATAGTTTGAAGTTGATCTGATAGATATTCCAAGAGCACGCAGTTGTCACTTCCAGTACCATAATATGTTGAATGACACTTTTTCTTAGCTATGATATTTTCAGCATGTGTATTACTGTGAATAGTTATATGAGTTTTTATCGTCTGGAACGAATATGAAATATGCGTTGTGACATCTATGGCGTCCTCTAAATACAGAAATGTATGAATAAGGACCAAAGTACCTCGGGGTATTTATTGTTTTCAACAGTCAACATGAGACTGAATATGAATTCTTAGATTTTTGTGGAAAAAAATCTAACAGAAGGTACTTGAAAGTATCAATTTCATATGATACGTATGAGATTTCAGAGAGAGAGAGAGAAAAATGGCTTTTATTATAAATACACATGAAAAGAAATTCTTAAATCCGTTTTTGTTACAATTTCACAAAGATATGGGAGAAAAACACCACAGCAAAACTTAGATTTAAGATGTCTATGATGTGAAGTTTTATATTGAAAATATAGCCAAAAAGTTTGAATGGTATAAAGCGACATCTAGAAAGTCATTTATTGAGAAATGCGACAGTTTATGACTCGTTACTTATATTTCTCTTTGTTTATCGTGAATGAAAATGCAGGGACACGAAAGAAGGACGTAAAAGAAATAATTTGGCTTGAATGGATCAATTATTTCTTAAAGTCGCGTAATTTTACGTATGATTCATTTAAATACATAAAATATCAATATCTTGACATCATATTGCGTATGTATTATTTCATTATGGGTATTTTGCTTTTAGATCTTTTTGTTTTTGTTTGAAACAATGCCCTCTTCAGGTAAATAAAAATATTTTTTCTAAATTTCGATTTAATATTTTCTACAATTTTAGCTCGGACAAAAGCCGGTCGATCATCAATAAAACCAAAACAAGTATCATCAAATAAACCCAAAAAACGTTCTTTAGACGACAGTGATCATCAAGATGGTTTGTGTTACTTTATAAATTTTCTGAAATTGTTCATTTCATCTTTTGTATTTTTGTTAAAAGATGTACATAACGGCGATCATCATCCACAAAAACGCACAAAAGCAGAACCCGAAATTGTTGAAAACACAAGTATGCTTATTCTTGTTTTAATATCCAATTAAACTATATTCTTTTTAGATGATTATACAGCAAAAATAAAAGCACGTGCAAAAACTCCATCAGCCTCATCTGTAGTAAATGTGTCGTTTCCAGCATTTTCTCTTTCGAAAGGTGGTCAAGTATTAGCTGTTGGTGATAATGGAATGACACAATTAGGCCTTAAAAGTGCTATAAGTCAACGACAAAATCCACAACCTGTTCCTCTACCTGAACTCGTTGTACAAATCGCTTGTGGTCCACTTCATACCGTGTGTCTTACAGAAAAAAATCAAATTTATACATTTGGTTGTAATGATGAACATGCGTTGGGAAGACCCGATAGTGATGATGATGATGATGAAGCTGATCAATTTGGATTAGTTGATATGAGTGGCGTTATGGATGTTAATCAAGAGAAAATTATTCAAGTTGTTGCAGGTGATAGTCATACATTAGTTTTATCGGACGTAGGAAAAGTTTATGGTACGACGAATTTATACAATATTTTTTCTTATGTTTGATTAAATTGTCATTGAAATAGGTTGGGGTACATTTCGTTCAAGTTCAACTGGTGTTTATGGTCTTGTGCAGAAAGGTGTAATGGCTAAAACTCCTATTGAAATAAAATTACCAGAGAAAGTTGTTAAATTGGCTAGTGGCTACGATTTTGTTTTGTTTCTCAGTGAAGCTGGACATGTTTATTCCTGTGGTAATGGTGAAACAGGTCAGCTAGCACGATTAAATCGTTATGCAGCTGAAGATGGACTACGAGGAGGCATTGGTAAAACTTAACCGAAAAAGAAAATGAACAGAATAATGAAAATTCTTATTTTTTAGATCGATTAATTAAACCTGCACCGATTATTTACAATCGAAATGGAATTAAAGCTAAAAATCTACTATTTGATGATATTTTTTCGGGTTCACACCATTTCTTTTTAAAAGTTAATGGTCATGATTGGATATTAGGTGGCGGTTTAAATAATTTTAATCAACTCGGTAAGTAAATCTGTCAGATTGAAGAAAAAAATTTAATCTAAGTATGAGAATTTCAATCGATTATTGAAAGGCTAATATATAAAGTTGAAATTACAATTTTCTTTGCTTTTCAGGTTTACCAGTCGATGAACCAGTTTATTTTCCGACATTTATTCCTTCGCTTGAAGGTAAAAGATGGGTAAAATTCTCCGGTGGACTTCATCATACACTTGGTTTAACTGCTGATGGTGACTAGAGCGATTATTTCATTAATAAAAGTTTTACTTTTCTTTTTTTTTCATTCAAGGTGAAGTCTATGCGATAGGTAGACATCATGAAGGTCAATTGGGTATTAATGAATTGTCAGAACATTTAAGTCAACCAACACTTATACCGAACTTATCGAATATCGTTGATATTGCATGTGGTAATCATGTTTCATTTGTTATCGATCGAGCCGGTAAAGTTTTTTCATTTGGTGCTGGTACATCATTGCAACATGGGCATGGTCAACAAGATGTAAAAGTTCCTCGTATGATGTCATCAAAATACATGGATATTAAAATGGCTCTCAATATAGCTGTTGGAGCTCAACACACATTATTTCTTACGCATGATAATCCTACTACTAAAGATGAAAATTAAATAAGAAAAAAAAAGATTATACTTTGTTATTGTTGTTTGCTTTTTTTAATGTGACGAATTTTCCTTTTTTGCTACTATGTGGAATTTTTCCTTATGAAATTTTTTTCTCATTTAAACAAATAAAAAAAAAAGAAGAAAATTGAATTCAAGTGAAAATAAGTATGTGCATTCGTTAAGAATGTTTTTTGTTTACTTTTTTTGTATTTCTGTGAATGAAATAAAAGATAAGATAAGGCTTACGAGTAATCAATGAAAGTTTGTATTTTATCAGCGTGTTTTGTATGAGATAAAATTCTCTATCAGTAAATAACGATTATGTCTTCTGCTTTTAGCAAATCGCCGTCGATCGTAATTCTTCTTACCAATTGTTGTATAATTATTTTCAAACAGAGTAATAATTCGTCAAACTCTTATGAAAAATGCTTGTTCGATATCTGATGAGTGTATGCATAGCAGAAACAGTGCAATTTTTCATGTCGTGGAGTTCTCAGTACAACGATCGAAAAATTACCATCATTTAGAACATGTTGCCTTTTTCATAAGGTGAACTTTATAATTCATTATTATGAAATGAACAACGTTTCAAGTGTGTTCTTTTTTTTCTCTCTATAATTCGAAGTAATAACATTAGAATATTTTGTAAGCCTGATTAGTATTGTAAATACATTCAATGAGCATGACATTGTAGCTAATCATACGCACATGGACGAACTGGTATCGAATAGAAGATTAGTTAAAACTAATGCAGTATTTCATTGTCTCAAAGCAACCCATTTCTATTCAAAAGTAAGTCCATGGTGGTGCATCCCAAGTTTCATTTGTCTGAAAATCCTGCGATAGACGGCCAATCATTCATCTTGTTCCATATTTTTAAAGATTATCAAGCTTAAATTGTTTTGTTGAGCAATCCGACGAGTAACTTCGAGAGGCGAATTACAAATACAGTCGGATCATTTTTTGTAAAGATCTCGTCGATCTATGTTAGAAGTTAACATGCAACCAAGCAAAACTAATATGAATGTCAGTTGATATTTGATTAACTAATTAAAAATTTTGTTTAAACTCTTCGGATAGTTCATCTTGAATATACATTATTATCAAATAGGAAACAACAGCAAAAAAAATGAAAAAAGAAAAAAAAAAGAAGAAAGAAACATCTATCGTTGTAACTGTCTGTTTGAATGCGAGTTTGTAGTGTATAAAAAAAGAAGGGGGGGAGGGCAGAGAAGGAGGGGAAAGGAAACGAGAGAAAGAAAGTAACAAATAAACAGTTTTATGTCGCAACAAAAGAAAAGAAATGAGCGTTTACTTGTCAATACATGACTTTCTATCTACATAAATAGTTGGTAACATATTTCTCGTCATCTATGTGTATATAATATATATGTATATTTATAAGAAACGAAAAGGAAAATAAAAAAAAAATACGGATAAATCTCTCTGTTAATGATGGTCATATTTTTCACAAAATATCAAAAAAAACAAAAAGAAGATAAAGAATTTTCTTTTTAAATTGTAAACGCGCACTCGGTTTCGACTAGCACAACAATAGATGGAACTTCATTCAGTTAATATGTGTCTAAAGAATTATCATCTACCATTCCATTTGATGATGCTGATGGATCCGATGATTGATGATTAATATTACTCGTTCGAGAATATTCCTATAAACGAATTTTATGATTATGTTGTAAATTTTTTCGTTAACTTACTGTAACAGGTACAATAGGGTAATTCGTAGAACCAGGTATATTATTGGCATCTGGCATAGGCCCTGTAATGATAACAAAGTCGATGTTTATAAATTATTATTCTAAAGAAAGCAAAATTCTTTTTATTTACATCTCGTATTCTGAAATGGATTGGTAGAAGATGTTTGATAAAGTAAATTATTTGATGGTGGTAAACCAGTCATTTGATTGGTCATAGGTTGTGGATAGTTATTAATATTCATGCCACCAAGTGAATGGCATTGTTCAAGTTGTTGGGTTATACCCATTAGTCCACCTTCTTCAACACTAGCGATAAGCCAAATTGGATCTAAAATGAAAAAAATAATTTAATCATAAATTAGAAATTGAGTCTCTTACCTCCAAATGGTACACCGGCTGGAGTAAATAGCCGCCATTGTGATCTGACTATTTTCGAAACAGCCGGACTAGTTATATCGACAGATATATTTGTTTGTTCGCCTGGTGCTAATGAGCCAACATAAATTTCATCTCGATCCTGTAGTCGATCACCATTAACGAAACGTAATGAACAATTACTCGGCCATGGTTCACTACCTACAATTGAAAGATAAAATATTGATTTAAGTTCAAAAGCAATAATTACCAGAATTTTCTACTCGCCAAGTTTTTACAAATTTTGTATTCGGTGGAATGGCTTCACCTTCGCCGACAGTAACATCGCCGACAAAACGCATTTGTGGTATTTTATCTGTTGGCATTTCAGCATCGTAATAAGCAAGAATAGCTTCATTTAAATTCCTATGAATCATTAAGTAGATGTTTCTTTTTGTTTCAATATAAAAATTTTAGGTTTTAATCAATTTACCAATTACTCATTTCGAGGAAAAAAGCACAACCTTCATCGGTTAGCATCGCATTTGTAGTTGAACGAAATTGTGCAATTAAATCTTCATGATTACTTGTTGTTATTGATCGTAGTCTTTCCATTAAGTCTTCATCTAAATTTGACATTCCGGTCGTTGATGATAGAGGCTCAGAATCGACATCCATTAGTTACAACACAATAAATAAATTTAAAAAAAGAAAGATCTAAAACAAGCAAGAAATTCGAAATTCTATGTTTAATTGATTCATCTTCTTCTTCTAGGAATAATATCGTCAATAATACAAACATAATAGCTAGACATGTGCTCGTCGGTGTAGGTATTGAGAAAAGAAAAGAACAAAAACGAGTCACTGATCAACGTATGTATAATCAGCTACTCAGTATCGAAGTAAATTGGCCTTTTCCCAATGTGATCTCTTCAATTTCATTTTGAGTAAATTCTATTCAAAAAGTAGTGAAACGTAAAAAAAGAATTACAATGACATCATTATATGTTTGTTGTCGAAAAAAAAGAAATATAAAAGAGAACAATCGTGAGTTTAATGATTATAGTTGCTAAGAGCATATTGTCCAAAATGTTTCTTTGTAAACATTCCTCATTATCGTATTAATACAGTAGAAATACGTGGCATTGTCGATTGTAGAAGATAATGAATATGAAATGGAATATAGACAATAGCCGAATATGTAATAAGCGCGATGATGCAGAGAAAAATACTGATTATAAGCACCCGTTCCCATGGTTCCATTACATATAGTGTCGTCATTAACAGAAATTGTAGATATACACGTTGAATGTGTTCATATGTCGAATCAAACCATGTCGTATTTTTGCGTGAATTTGCCTTAATCTATGTATAGAAAGGAAAAAAAGATCAGATAAAATTAAAACGGTATTGTATATCACTAATTCAATTGAGGTTTTGATATAAAAAAATATAATACAGTTTAAAGTTTGATATGATTGAAATAACAATGTTGCTTTTGTTAGTTTAACTGATTAACATAAGATAATAATTACCCTAGAATTATTATTTCCCATTGTTAATGAATCCAAATAATTAGTTTGTGTTGCAATGCTCATTATTAACTAGACAATGATTTCTGCACTTGGTCGTGTAGCACACTCTTCACGGGAGTAAAGTAAGTTTTGTCTATACGTATGTGCGCGTTGTGTTGCATAGGCATATATATATACACAATTTCACATGGAGAAAAGTAGAAAAAAAAATATGCGGGAGCCACCTCAGCAACGTAGTGAAGTTGAAAGAAAAGGCGATTTCGTTCGTACAAAAGTAAACGACAAAGCTTGTGAACATCATTGCAATATAAAAGAAAAAGAAGTAAGTTTGAAAAGGATAGCGATTCGGTTTAGTTTTCAAATATAGAAAGAAAAAAAGAAGATTATGATCGTGAAGAAATAACAAGAAAATATACTTGGCAATAAAGGCATATCAACTCTTCAAGGACTAATTATAGCTTGCAATTTGTCACATTTTTAAAAAAACGTAAAGTAAAAATATGTGTAGATGTTTAATAGTGACAGAAAGAAAAAAACACCGACTACACCAAGTACTATTACAATGCATGACAGCAGTGCATTTGATAGTCATTTTTTACGCTGCATGTAAAATGAGCAACACGAGAGAAGGTAACAAATGCGTTCTGTATAATCATTCACATTATTTGTGTTTAATGGTCCTATAAAATCGAGTAGATATCCCTATTAAATGAGTTAACCTAACAGATCAATTTCCATTATATGTATCTAAACTAAATACACATCTTTCCTATTCTAATTCGACATTGAAATAAATCATTCATCATCAATTTTAGAGAACTGCTGACTGAATCTTTTCAACGCCTACAAATTAATTGCATCTAGAAGAACTTGGACGAATATTCCTCTCAAAAGAAATATTTTATGCATAGTGAGTATACTAATGAAATAGATCGCATACTTAACGCGTCTGTGCCTAAAATTCTCTATGCTGATAACTATAAGGAAAAGAAAAATAACACTACTGTAACAGCGGAAGTCGTAGAGTAATCTTCAACTAATATTCAAAATCAATTAAATTTCTATTAGAAAATAAAATATATTTTTGAAACTTCCCCATAGGTCTTAACCTTGATCGAAATCATATACTTAAGGCTACATACGGTAAAAAGTTTTAACTCTCAAATATAATTAATAAATCCTAGATTTCAGACTACAACTAAATTTTCATAATTAAAAGCATATAGTAAACAAATAGCTCGATGAAGAACTAGTGAATTTCAATAGTAGTTATCAACCTTTTAAATTTACTCTTCAATATGCGCAAAGTTTTTATCTAGATCGGTAAATATTTATTTTCATTTAATGGAGCTCTGAAATGATAGAAGCTATTCATCTTTCTGTATGAAGAAAAGAAAATTACACTCGAGTCAACGGTTTTATTTCTTTGAAAAAGACCAGATAAAAGGGTTCAACAATTGTTGTTATGTTGCATTTATTATTACGTAACCTGATTGAAATATAAACAATAGGAAAACTGACAATTGTGGTATGCTCGAAGTGTAGCCCCTATTCATTTGAAGAAAAAAATGTTTTACGAGAAATGTTTGTCTTTTATCATGAATAAATCTGTATCATTGAGCGAACATGAACAGGAAGAAATACTAATGCCGAATAAACAGCCGTGGATATAATTGCAAATAACAATGTCGAAAATAGTATACGTTCCCATGGCTCAAGCATATATAATGCCGTATTGAGTAGATATTGAAGATATAACCAATGAATAAATTTAAAGAACCGACGAATGCTTGATAACATTTTGTATTATTATTATTTTTTTTTTGTATCTAAAATGGCATAGATGTAGTCTTAGTGCTCTTCATATATGTACATAATGTTCTTTTTTAAAAGAATGTTGGCGGTATGTACTTATGAATACAAAGATACATGACAAATAAAAAAACTCCTATAATAATCATCCTATCCGTAGTTAACAACAAATAGGAAGAGAGGCGAAAAAAAATCTATATGATTAGATGACTCACAAATGGTTAAATCAAATGAAACAAGCTACCAATACCTCTAGTGATACCTGTAAAAACGAAATTATAAAAAACAGAAAAACAACGACAAACAAAGATGGTTGACTGCCTAATAAGAAAACGTCAATAAAAAAAACATATGCGATACAATGGAACATACTATAGTGACCTCTAGTGGACATCGACTATATTGTAGACGAATGCAATCTGGATGAAATAACTTAACTATTCATTGTTTGTTATCGAGGAAAAAATGAATCAGTATGATGAATTGACAAGGTAGAGAATGCTTAAACTTGCCTATCAAAGATTTTATTTCGCTTCTGAAACTTTATCGAAGTATTTTTTCTTCACTCTCAACATCATTGAAAGGCTAGACGCTGACTATTCTGTTCCATTAATATTATTGATTTGCAACATAAAACAAAATCGATGTTTTCTAATTATTTATTTGATTGTTGAGTAGATGCTTCATTTTGGATCGGTTGCTGTCAAACTATTATTCGATGGTCGACGGATAATAATTTTTGGTGGTTTTTCACGAGAATGAGTTTTGCTTAACGCTGAAGATTGATCGGTCGTAGTAGGAGTTGTCACCGATCGATTAGTGTGGAATGAGTTAAAACTTGTACTGCTAGAAGTATCAACTAGCGAAGAGGAAATATCAGTAGTAGACAATGTTGAATTCAACATAAAGTCATCTTGATTTGTTACTAGATGCGTAGACTCATCTGATGTTGTAATGTTCTTTTCGTTTAATTGATGATTTTTTTTTAAGTAAACAAAATGATCTGGAATCTCAAGGAGACCATTTTGTGCTTCTACTTGTCGCTATTATGAAATGGTCTAATGTCAAGACTGTTTTTTCATTATTAATACTTTTCACTTACTAACTTTTCCATATTCAGTTTGTAATATTTAAGTCCATATTCTATGGCATTTCTTCGTAAATCTTCCGGAAGTGATAGTGGCTGTAATTTTTTAAAACAAGTTTTTGATTTTATTTTAAAGGCATTTCTACTATGTTACTTGTCTGTTAAAAACTTGTTCATAGGCTGCAATTGAAACTAAATGAAGAGCGGGCAAACGTTCTTTGTATTGTTCTTGAATTTTATTAGAAATAGTATATAATTCTTGACGAAGATAAATATTACGTATGGACGCTAGCTGACTAGCAATAATCTCTGGATTTGGACAGGCTCGTGCATTTTTATTCAAATGTTGCATGAACAATAAACTAACTAACTAAATAATTAATTAATATGATATAATAATAAAATTCTTTCTTCAAAAAGCGGCAAGAATTTTATTGTAGAAGTTGTCACATGGATGTCATACATCTCATACAGAATCACTAAATAATACTATCTTCACGATCAATTTTTGTTTCATCGTAGAATGAAGTCTAGTATAAGTTGATCTTGCTTATAATTATTCTATCGGCTTGTATTGTATCTATCATCAGTAAGTAGAGTAATGAATAATATCTGATAGAGATTTACTAAAATAACCCTAAAAATAGCTTCTAGGCAATTAAAAGTCTATCATTAAGGTCGTAACGACATCATCAACACAGTACTTAGATCCGTCAACGTGTCCAATTATTTCAATGTTTAGTCTTAGCTTATGACTATATGTTTCTGACAGTAAAACAAGAGTTATGAAATATGGTTTCTAGTGAATGTTGTTGACTTCATTATCTGTCGTTAGCTTGCCCCAGCAATAATGCACAAGACATACACCATCAACATAGTTGTCTCTTACGACAAGCCCATCAAAACAATCTCAAATATGTATGAAAAATGACTGCCATATCTTTACCAGAAGCTTGACTTCTCTGGCTGTCATTCAGGTGAACATGATATCTGTAGTGTCGATTTTAAATGTTGTTTGTTTTTGTGTACTCAAAAAGTGAGTACACTCTAGAATCGGTCAGTGTCCGGCCGGCCGCAAGCACGATAATTTTCGAAAGGAGAGTCAGATCGCGATAAAATTTTCCACACAGTTCAATCTCATGAATATTTCGGTCGAGTTCGAAGATGAGAAGGATCCCTCAAGAAATGGTTGAGTTATCGAAAAAATTGTCATTTTTGACCAAACCATCCTTGAGGAGGGGGTACAGGGATTTTTCAAAAAACAATTTTTTCCAGAATTATTCACAACATATATAAATCGACTCAGTTTTTAACGCTGATTCAGAATTTGATATTAGTTTTGAACTAAATCGTAGCTTTCTAACGAAACATCGTCTGAAAACCGTCTCAAAATGCACAAAAACTGCATCCAGAAATCAAATTGCCTAGTTTTTCATGATAATTTTGGTGTTCAGATATTCTAGAATGGCTCATATGTCCCATGCACCATTTGCAGTACACATAACTCTCCGATGAAATCCGAAGTTTTCACATTTTTTTTTACTGTCTTTGATTTAAATGATTATTTCGTTGTGGTCACTTTTCAAGTAAACAATATCTATTTTAATCACTGCACTAAATCAATTGTACTCTTAAAATTGTGAAATGTGACAAAAAATAAAAACCAGCAAAAAATGAAAATGTACTATTGGCCTATTGCTAGTAGATTGATTTATATATATACAATTTAAAATTCTTGAAATAAATCAAATTCTTCTTTTGTACATTCTGGTGCTAGAGGTAGTTCATCTTCAAACAGTTCGAAATTTTGTGTATCACCTGGATGATCAAATTTTGGTATGATGGGTGGCTATAAAAGAAAAAGTAATAGCTAATTATTTCTTAAAACCAATGTTAATTTTTTCGTACTTGAACTCTTCGTTCCAGAATATCTGTCCAAATAATATTTTGAAACCATCGATGTTGTTTGATATCATTAACTCCACCCGCCATACAACCTAGACGACGTGTTCGATCTCGCTCGAGTAGTTTTCGAATTAGATTACGAGCAACTCGATTAACCACTCTAGAAAAATATTGTTATTATTATTATTATTATTATGAATAAGCCTTATGTCGTGATGCTCATTTACCCGTGATGAGATGATGGTAGAGTTGGCCAAGGAATCGGTTCATGTAAAATTTTCGTAAAAGTATGTGATGGATGAATTCGATAATCTGTCGGAGCAAATGGAGTTCGTCCTACGAGCAGTTCATAAGTAAGAATACCCAATGCATACCAATCAACACCAAATGAATGGCCACCAGCGGCAAGAATCATTTCAGGTGCTAGATATTCAGGCGTACCACAGAGTGTATAGGTTCTATAGTAGATTAAAAAAAAACGTCTATCTTGAATTCGAAATTTGCATATTTTGTTTCACTTTACCTATCTTGAACATATTTTGAAAAACCTAAGTCGGTTAACTTCACATGTCCTGTTCTATCGAGTACGAGATTTTCCAATTTCAGATCTCTAGAACAAAAATAAAGTATCGTAGAACAATAAGACGACAAAACTCATCACGACTACTCGATTTACCTATAAACAATGGAAAGACTATGTAAATATGCCAAAGCAAGTGTGATTTCACAAACAAAAAATCTGACCACAGGCTCATAAAAGCGACCTACTTGACGAAAATAGGAAAACAATTCACCACCTGGCAAAAATTCCATCGACAAATATAAATAGCGATTATCTCGATAGGATCCATAACTATGGAAAACAAAATACCATTTCTCAAACGATGGACAAAAGTAGCATATCGAACTTACAAACTAACAATAAATGGATGTTGGACATTTTCAAGAATCGTTCGTTCATCATTTACATGAGTAACTTGATTGAGTTTGATGATATCATGTATAGCCATTATTTTCAGCGCATGATATTCTTCATAGTCATCTGTACGATGACGTGTTAAAAATACTCTACTAAATGTTCCAATACCTTCATAAAAAAATTTTTGATATTAAATCTTGAATCTGATTGATAACAGCAAATTGCGCTTACCAATGGTTGTTATTAATTCGTCCATTACCTAGACTGTGCCAATACAATACTATTACTTTCACGGAGTTCTTGTTGTTGATGTTTATACATCGAGACTCTAACAAAAGAACAGAAAACAACAAAACACGCATGCGAATATTATTATATGTCACTCGAGCGTCGCTCTATCGTTCTCTCTATTTTTGGTATACATCATTGAATGTCCTTGAGGCGATGTACGTATGCATGTCAGCAGGCTTAGAAAGAATTATGTTATCATTAGTAGAGATGTGCTGTGGCCGTAAACATGATTATTTATTTTATTCATATACTTTGGTCAAATATTCAAAGTTATTGAAAAAATTACACACACACAAAGAAGAGAAAAAAAAGAAGAAAGAACAAACAAACAAACACAACGCAAACAAAAAAAACATCATAACTATTGATGAGATCAAACAAAACAGAAAGAGGGAGAGTCGCTTAGCGAAATAATTCTATCAAAATGGAATAACATTCACTTAGCATGCAAGTTCTCGTTGTCGACGAACCAAATTCTATGAACAAAAAAAAGATAAATAAGCAAATGTAAGAATTCTTAATAAGCGAAAATTATACAGACTTCTTTAATAGCAGATAGTTGCTGAAGGATATGTTCTTGTCTTGATTGTGGTGGATTGTATGATGGAGATTCCATTGGAGGCATTTGTCTACTTGTATTATCCCATTCTTGTTGTTGATAATTATCATTTGTATGGTTCTAGGATATTAAAATAATAAGCAAATATATATAGAATACAGCCATGCAGCAAAATAAAAGGAAAGGGAACTACGTGAACTTTGATTAATATTTACTATCAAAATAAAATAATCATGTTAGAATTATTTATATATGTAGAAAATAATTCATCGTTTCTTACGTACTTCTAATAATTCTTTATGAGGTGATGTGTCTCTTGAGTGAGATGATGGTGAATTCATTTTTGCTCGATCATATACCTCATCTGATCGGGTGTGAGTGTTATAATTATCATATTTATCTAATGATGATCCGCGATTTGAATTATATTCATCGTCATTTTTATTGTGGAGTGATGACGCTTTTCTTGCGGCAAAATTTTCTTGTTCAAATCGATTTTGTACTTTGAGTAGATTCATAATACTTTCGTCTTTATGCGTTCCGAATCCTGACATTTTTGATGTTGTTGAACGTATACGATTTGTTGGAGCATGTTTCTTTTGTTGTAATTCACTATCGCTATTCCAACGATTGTAGCATATTTTCTTTTGAACATCATCAATACGATCGAAATTGCCTTGCTCGAAATGTTTAAGACGTTGTCGTTTTTCATAATGAGGATCACGTTTTGAATTTGGAATATATTCACGATGTTCTGCATTTCTATAATTCCACAGTGGACGATTATTGACATCTCTTGGACCATTGAAACTACGCGCATTACTCATTTGAGATGCTGTACCGTCATCACTGGAATTCCTATGATTCATTGTTGACGTACGACGCGATGGATTGTTATCATCTTGTGAATGAAACCGAGGATTGTTTTTGCCTGGTTGATTTGGAATATTACGATAACCTGAGTTACGAAAATGATGATTGGGAACTTGAGGAGGTAGGTCTGAGTCTTCATAAGCATAGGGATTTGTTTGTCGATTTTGTGACATTCCAAGATCAGTTTGAACACCATGATCACTGGAAAAAAAACATAAAATTTAATATCATCTTTTACTTTTTTAAATTTAAGAACAGATTTTAGAATTCAAAGTTCTCATGGGCATAGGCTTTTTCTGTGAAGAGAACTTTTTAGGAATGGCAACAATCACTCGCTCTCAATCCGCCGCTGGTTGAATTGAAATCTAGAATATCTTTTTATTCGCTACAAGCTCCGTAATTTTTTTTTTCTATATGGATTCTTGTGTCGAAATAGTCAATTATCTTTGTCAGTCAGCACTTTTTCTATACCACCTCATCGCTAGTGGGAATTCAGTTTTTAAATCAATGCTGATTATTTCTTTCTTTTATTGCCGCAAGAATAAGAATAATGGATGAAATTGCTATTAGCAAAAGGTAAGAAATGACTTGTAGCCATTATAATACAACAGCCATAATACATAATAATATATATTGTTTTTTTTATTAGATACAAAAAATTGGCAAGAACAAAAAAAGAAGAGTGCAAATATCAAACTGAATTCGAGACGAAACGTGAAAATTCGAGATTGTTCTTACCTTCGAAAAGTAGAATCAACTGTATTAACAGATTCATCGCGACGAGTGTCTTTCGATCGATAAGCTTGATGTCGATCCATACCGACATTCAAATGCAATGGTTCAACTTTAGTTGTCATATTTTGTGCTGATGCTGAATCATAAGTTGAACCGAAAATTTTGTCGCCTGTTGTTTGATTCGATACTGAACCGTTTGATCTACCATCTAGCCAACAGACAGAAAAAGAAGAATGATTCTTGATAATTTAATGAAATCGAATATGTTACCTGGAATGTTTTTACCTAGTGAATCTATTGGATATCCATTACGTTGAAGTTTATCCAATAATTGAGATCTTCTCTCATATTTCGTTGGATCATTTGTTTCCATTGTTGGTTGTTGATGTCGACTGGCAGCTTCTTGAATAATTGGTTGAACATTTTCACGTAAAAAATCTTGTCGACGATCTGTTTCGTATACACTGAATTTTCTTTGCTTTTTTTCTTCAACTTGCCTTTGCAAATCTTCTAACCATTGACGACGTTCGATTTCTTTCGCTGTCTTAACATCGTCTTCAAAACGAACATCACCAAATAATAAATTTCTTCGCATAGCGGCTGGAATATGTGTTTGATCACTATGAATATTTGTGGTGGATAATGTTGGTGATGAAGTATCAGAATATTGTTGTTGCATTGGTGGACGGTATGATGTAACGTTATTTGATGTTACTTGCTAGAAAAAGAAATTTATTTGTGAGAATTTGACAAACATAGATAAACAAACAGATGTTCTTTGATAACTTTCGTTGAGATTAGGAGCCCCAGCACCTGGACGGCCGAAAGGATTCCAATTTGGATTTTTTTCAGCTGAAAAACAATGAATTCAAACAGTACAGTGTCTATCAAATTCTTTTAAATTATACAATTTTCTTGTTTCCACTGTTGTTGTTTCCTTTCCATTAGTTGTGTTTTTAACAGATCATTATTTTGATCTAGGAGGAAAACGAATTATTTTCTTTTTCTTTTGAGTTTTTGTTGCGTTGTTTTTTTTTATTACTTTCGGTGATTTTTGCAGGAATGTCATGCATATGCTCATTTGGTTTGAATGGTTGTGGACCCGATGGGACAGGTGGCGGTCTGTTGTTTGATGTTGGAAAATCATATTGAAATGTTGATCGTTCTAACAATGAGAAAATATTGTTGAAGTAGATTTTTTTTTTCGATTCTACCGGGAGATACAGAAGGCTTGTTATGACGAGGAGATAATTGTTGTTTCAATTGATCGTATTCGATTTCCATTTGTAATCGTTCAATTTCAGCTAAAATTTAGAAATCTTCTTAAACAAGTTCTTACGAAAAAAAATATATTTTACCTTTTTCTCGTATCCATTTTTGACGTTTCTTTTCAGCCATAATACTTAGAACTTGTTCTCGAGGTGAAATACGAGCTGGTGCAGGTTCCGACGGTAGTTCTAATTTAGGAATACTTGGCCGAGTTGTTGTTTCATTGTATTGCTGTACTGGTGGCGGAGGTGGCGGTGGCGGCATTGACTCTGCTAAAAATTACCCGAGGAATATATTTTAAGAAACTTAGTCAATTTACGTTTAACTTCGTTTTGAGGCTTATCATCAGCTAAAATATTTAAAAAAATACTCGTTTGAAAAACTTTTTTCCTTTTACTTTTGGCATTTTCTTTTACAGCTTTGACAAGTTCAGCTAGTTCGTCCATAGTCATATAAACTCCTAATGATGAACCATCGTCATTAACTCGTACTTTATTCGCTGATTGTTCAGTTTTAGCTTTTTGTTTATTCGCACCCTTTTGTGCTGAAGACTGTTGATTATTGAATTTATTTTTATTTTGATCCGGAAGACGATTTGTACTATTTGTTGCTCGACTATTTCGTTTTGTTCTTGATTTTTCTGAAGATTCTGTTATGATGAATTAGAATTTAGATGATCGAAGAAGAAAAAAATGAATTAACAAACCATTTGTATCAAAGAATATCTGTGGCTTTCCATCGATAATTTGTGTACGAAATTTCATTTTGTCATTTACTAATTTAAATGAAATGAATATGAGACGAAGAAGGAAAAAAAGAATTCATGTCTCATACAAATAGCTTCAGTTTTAACTGTTGTAGCAGCCATCTATTTAAAATGACGAAGATTCGAGTTTACCAAGACTTCAAATATCTAAAAATTATTCGTACGTTTTCATTTAAATGCAATTCAATGTCGACTTTCAAGTGGTACACTAAAGCTTTTCTCTTTGTTTATATTTTCAATGCACATGCATGTTTTTTTTTCTTATTCAGCCATGAGTACTTGTTTTGGGTATGGTTGCTTGACGACAGCCTTCATATTATTTAGAAGGCAATTTTTAAACATAAGAATTGATTTCACTATTTTATTTAAGTTTAAACAATTAACCTGATTGAAATTATCGACATAGATAAATATAAAATTGAATAGATGATCGTTGCTTAGCAACATTATTTTTTCATCACATCAAAGATCACGATCATACACATCTTTTTTTTGTTCGTACGCCATGGCTTCATCATTAGGTTTAAAACGAAATGCATTAGTAGTAGAAAAACGAATTGATAATCATACACAATCATATCCTCCATTAGATTATTCGTTTCACAATGCACGAAAGCTCGAAGGTAACATGATCTATTTTGTCAGAGCTTTTTTGAAAGAAAAAAGTAATATTCACGCATAGATGCAGTTGTTGAACCACGTGTATCAACGGGCGGTTCAAAATTAGTTGTGGAAGGTGACCGGTATCATTCTTATGGAATCAATTTAAATCATAACTCCTTAAGTGGTCCTATGGATACATTTCCGGAGTTTTTACGAAAAACTCTCATGAATCCATTTGCTCTCGCGTCATTGGATTTATCGTTTAATGAATTTACTGAAATTCCCACAGTAAGTAAGAAAACTTCAATGAAAATAGACTAGTGACATCTATAGACGAGTGGTGACTCAATATTGTTCATGAAGGAAGTAGCAGATGTCATTAAATATATTTTTTCTTTCTTCATCATTTATTTGCATGTTTTTCTTTTTAGGTTATAACACGATTGCCTTCATTGAAATATTTCTATTTTCATAAAAACATGCTCAGCGATCCAGGTGAAGTACAGAAATTAGCTTCGTTGAGAGAACTAAAATACTTAACATTGCATGGTAATCCAGTTGAAATGAATGTGCCTTATCTACGTTCGTACGTTCTCAGTTTATTACCGGATTTACGTAGTTTGAATTGTACACCAGTAACAAAAGGTGATCGCCAAATAAGCGGCGTGTGGAGTGTCATGAATAAAAATTTGCTTCCGAAAACTTCAAATAAAAATTTAAAAAAATAAATTCATTTCTATATAAATATATATATATCGATTTTTTTCAGATATATATAAAACATGACAAGTGGTTTATCTTCAGCCACTCCTAACCGACAAACCGTACGTATACAGCGTAATTTACAAGAATTAACCGATAATCCCTTACCATTTGCTTACTCTTTGAACTTGACAACTGGCGAAGATAATATCAATCAGATGACTGGCATATTGATCGGTCCAGATAATACGCCATATGCTAGCGGTCATTTTCGGTTTTTGATTAGATATCCGCCTGAATATCCGTTTAAACCACCTGAGTTTTATTTTACTACGCCTATTTGTCATCCTAATATTGATTCAAAGACGGGTACGGCATGTAATGATCAATTGAATGCGACATGGGCACCTAGTATAACACTTGGTAAAATATTATTTGAAATGCGTGCTTTACTAGAAAAACCGAATTATCAAGTACCCGTTGAAGGTGATAATTTAGAAGAGAAAAGCGAAGAGAAGGCTCGTTCATTGACAAAAGAATTCGCTCAACCCTCAAATTTATAATTATTTCAATCAAAGCAATGTACGAACGCAGCCGTATTTAAAGTTCTCGCACATCTTTTGATCTTCTTTTATGGAGTACTCTGTTGTTGTGCATGTTCGGCTGTATTAATCCCTGTGAATTTAGTCGATTTTATTTCTAGCTATGTATCATTTTTGTGGTTTGTATTCAAGAGATTTTTTAATATCAAATATATTCGAATAAATTTAATACTAATCATCAATGAATTGTTCATACTCGTTGGAGTAGCACGATATAAATCGTGCTGAATGAGTCATAAAATCTTGAATCGTCGTGCAGTCAAATGTGTGCCTATAAAAAGAATAGATAAAATTTATCATATGTGAAAATATTTGTTGATTTCGTTTTGTTTTGTTTTTAGCAACGATGCAAACAATAGAAGGTATTTATGACGAACAAACAGTATCAAAAATCGTGAATAGTTTAAATAAAAATTATTCGACTGAATTAGCCGAATTAGTTGATATGACTTTTGGTCCGAAGCCTGAAGCTGAACTACAACGGCTATCAATAGCTGAAGTTATTTCTGTAGACAAATTTGGTCTTCGTCTTTTATGCAACTATCATCGATGGGAAGAAGTAGAGAAAAATGACCGCATGTTCAATGAACACACGGATGCGACTACTCGAATTTTTACAATTCCATTTCCGAATCAACCTAATTCAAAAGAAGAGCTTCTCTCAGCTATTGACAAAATGATAAACAAAGCAAAAGCAAGCTACTTGAAGGGCTTTGATTAATCGAAACTATTTTATGATTTTATTGTATTTTTCATACGCAATTGTTTTTCTCAAAGTAATCTGGATGAATACAATGTTAAAGATAAACTTTATAGACTGAGATTAAACAAATCAAAAACTTGTTTTTGTGATTAGTTTCAATACACATGCTACGGATGCGCAGACAATATTAACTTAGGCTCTCCTTCTAATGATGTCATTCTTTATTCGATAAAATAAAATATTGACGAATCCAGGGGGGGGGGCCCCAACTTTGGAAATTTTTGTTTCAATTTTACTCCGATTTTTGAAAAAAAACCTTCCGTTTTCAAGTAACCCTCCTATATTTCTGTTGCTTCGCGCCGTCCCTGTGACGAATACGAATAATACAGGTATATTGTTTTTTCTTAATATGAGAACTGGGTAAAATGGTGGTAGCTGTCATTGATTCGTCAAGTGTTACTCATGCTTATTTGAAGTTTCTATTTTAAATGAGTTAAAATATATAGAAATTAAAGAGAAAAAATATATTGCTTATGCCAAATTGAAGATTTTAGCACATGCTTTCATAATAGTGTAAATAACAATTATTCATCTCATGGCCAAAGTAGCAATGTGCATTTGCTGTATTTTGAATGTTTGCAAATGAAACGAACTCGTAAGAATCATTGTATAAATGGATGTATTTAATGCGTACGTATCAGAGTGCCACTTATATAGAAACGAGAAAAACATCGTTTTGTAGCATTAAAAAAATCAAATAAACTATTTTCCATGATTGATATAATGGTTATGTCATCACTAAAATATTTAATTATCTCATCGTTTATCTAAGAAAAATGATAATTATTCAACGAAGGTTGATAAATTACGATGTAATAGCTTTCGTATTTAACATTAATGTTTTTGTCTTGCACGAAGGTTAAAAAAGGCCATTTGCATATTGTGCTCGATTGATACATTTGAAATTTATGTTTTTCTTCTTCAAAACTAATTTCATTACGTCCCAATACATATGATTTCATGCAACGAATGAAGCCGAAAAGAGAAGAATACTTTTGATTACTCAATTAACGTCGACATTATCAACAATCAATCTTGAACTACGCCCATGTGAATCGCAAGAAAATTTTATTACATCAATATAACATTTTCAGAAGATACTTGGCAAACGAAAATTCTCAGCGAGCACTTATTTCATTTTCTTTTTTCGCTTGAAAGAGTATGTCAGTCTGAAGTGTCTTCAAGAACTATTTGTTTTAGACAGTTTATTTAGAGAAGGATTGTAAAAGAATCAACACCACAGCGAACTTTCAGAATGTGGTGATCTATCTACAGAAGTGTTTTTCGAATAATAATAATAAAAATATGATTTTCGAAAGAATAATAGAAGCCTTGTGACTTCAAATCAAATTTCAGGCCGAAGTTCATACTTGTTTAGCTAGAATTCAAAAAGATCGTCAGTTGGGATGATAAGAATATTTTATTTTTTAATGGAAAAATTAAAGAAAGCATTGAAATTTTCTAAAAAAACAAATGGTTTATGTCATTTTGAAAACGCATTGATCGAGAATTATTTTTGTCCATCTGCTGACTTTGATTCAAAAGTCATTAGAAGTTTGAGATATTTTTGTTCTAAATTAAATTTAATTGTATTCATGATTGTAATTATTGATGATTCTGCTTTATCAGCATAGTAAACTCGATAAATATAATAATTTGATGGATGTTGAAGAAGATGTTCAACTTCGCCAATCGATACTGGAAATGAATTATGATCAAAGGATCGAGTGGTTTTAACTTCAATAAATCTTTCTTGATTATTATCTGATTTAACAATCAGATGAATATCATAAGGAGTACCGCTTTCTGCATCTTGATTCATCCATTTAATATCGTCATCCGGATATTTACTTTGAAGGTAGCGAAAAACGAGTTCTTCACCTAATCGACCTGTTATACGATCGGCTTCAGTACCAATCGGATGCGAAGCACTTATATTGGACGAGTTATCAGTCGAAGTGAAAGCGTCTAGATCGATATTCGTCAAAGTCGAAACAGCAACATCCTCGAAATTAGCTGATGCCGACAAAATCGGGCCTGAAAAGGCAATAGGAGCCTGTGATTGCACATAGGGACCTTTGTTTGGTCTTCTCTCCTCATTATTTGTTTCGTGTGCGTTAGAAATTTCTAAAAGAAAGGAAAATTAATATATTCATCATAGAAATTCTATCTATGCCTTACCACCATTATGTTCTGTAGTGGTGCTTCTCTGTACTACATGTTCTTGATCATGGCTTTGATTATTTGAATATGATTTTGATGATTTATTATCATCGTCCGTTGAATTATTGTCTTTCGGATGGTTGTGTATCTTCGGAGTGGTTTTATCAGAAGTTTCGCAAATGCCAGCTTTTGCAGGAAAACTGTTTATTACATTAGTATTTTCTTCAGTGGTTACTTTTTTCGGCGGTAGTTTCGGCCGAATGGAACGCTCCTCCATCAATTCTTCAAGTTCCTCAGCTGTGATCTTTGGTTTCTCTTGTTCTATGATGGGTTCCGGAATCGGTATCTCTTTTTTAATTTCTTTCGGAATAATCCATTTAGGTTCGTTATCGACCATAAGATTTTCTCGTACTTTGCCTAACCCATCTTGATCATCTTTTTCATAAATTTGCAAAAGTTTCTTTATACAGGATGTGAGCTGTGATCGCACCATTTCGTCTTCCACAATAAATTCAACCATTGCATCGATATAGCGCATCTCAGATCTTTCAAATTTTTTTAGAATAAAAAATTTGCCTGATTGTTCATCGACATAGGAATCTTTACGATAGGATGTTGATGCTGATTTTATGATATCATTTCCAAGGCAGTATGATAAATCAATACGATCGACACAAACAAAATGCATACGAGCGAATACAGTTGAAAGATGAGCAGATCGTGGTTGTGATATAAGTTGCTTTTTTAATAGAAAATCTTGAATTAGATCAATAGAAGAACTGTAAAAATCAAGTAGACTCGTTGATGTTTGTTCATTTTCAACTTGAACTATTGTTTGAACGACTTTACCAAGAGATTCAATATTAAAAAGCGAACGGAATTGTTCTTGAAACGAAGTCATAATCGGGAACTCTTAAAAACTAATGATATTGAGTGAATATGCAATTTGTTTTTCGTATTACCTGGTAATTTAATAATTGATAGAACATCTGAAAATTGATTGGCGATCTCGACATCATGCGGATAATATGGACGATCGATGTATTTCACTAGTTTTTGTTTATTATCCATACACGGAATGAAAGCAATATCGAGACATTTTTCTACAATAAAAATAAATTAAATATTTCTGAAGCACGATCTTCTTTATACCTCGAACTTCTATTTGTTTGTTCTGTTCCATGGCTAATTTAGTAATTATTTCAATAATCTGCCAAATTTTCTGAATATCCTGTTGAATCGATAATAATGGTAAATAATCATCGACAGTCGGGTGTAATTCAACATGAAGTATTTCAACAAAGAGTGAATGAAACAAGGAATTATCATTATAATACGATTGAATAGGAATGCGACCATTTGAATCTGCAATCGCATCTTGTGATGACAGTAGGGAGGCTGGATCGTTCCAAAATGTTTGTTCAACGAATAAGAAGTCGCCAGTGGTTTGATTTCGTGGAATGAATACAATGGGCCATGAACGAAAACGACTGAGAAGATTACAAGTAGTATCGTTGGAAGCCAGAAAATGATAAATCTGACGAAAATTATCAATTGTGTCGAGACATGATTGACGGAATGTTTTCGGAAGAGTGCAAGGAATGCTAAAATAAAAAAAAATAATTTTTTCGATTCTTAATCTAATATATGAATTAATTTAGTGGTTTGATATGCTTTTGATTTTAACAAATACTTACATATCAGATGTATTTGCCTGGTTGATCAATTTCGACAATGATTCACTATCAAGATTACACGACCATTTCATAAACAGCTCAAATATTGTTCGATGCTCAATTTTCGATCTTATGCCAAGAATATTATAAATAAATTCTTGCTCTTTTAAGCGTACTTTTGATTCATCTATATGTGGTACATATCGACGAAAGACTGATGTCGGATCATTTGGTGGCAATAAATACACTTCGCTTGATTTAAGTAATATGTCACCATGAACAGGAATCCATGCATGTTGTCGTAAGGACAAACAAAACGACGATTCAATGCCTTTTATTGGCGTATGACGAGCAAATTTATGTGGACGAAATAGTGACACCGAACCTGCATAGTAGCTCGGATCGTCTCTATAATGCGAATCTAAATATTGAAGTAATCGAACACATAATTCAAGATTAACTGTTTGGTTGTCGCCAGACGGTGATACGAGTTTATTGAATTCATCACACGAACAATCTTGTATGATAAATGTGTCATGAACCATTTCAGATAGTTGTGGAATTAAATAGGCCCATTTAGTATCGGCAAGTTGTTGAACAGTCAAAAACGCTAATAAAATAGAAAACATTCAATTTATTTCGATATTAATTTTAAAATGGTTTACTTACATTTTTCATTGATGGTTACGTGGAGAAAGTCATTTATATTCAGGCTCTTAAGAAATTTGACAAAATCACGTGCACCTTGACCAGTACGGAATGCTTCTGTATGATAGAACTCGTTTATGTAATCATCCGAAATAAAAAGGAATTCATGATTTGATGAACTTAAAGATTCCAATGAAGTTCTACAGTCATACTTTAATGTTAAATGAACAATGACATCGGGAGAACCCAATGAAACAAATTTATTATTACGTGTTTTGACAATCATTTTATTTTGTAATGTTTTTAATTCATTTTCGAATTGATTAATGTTAGGTGCGTAAATATACTCATAAATACATAAAACATAAGCAATCAATATGGATTCTGATTTTGAAGACCAACGAGTTTCATCCGACATAATCGGTAGCATATGCTGACGATATATGTCACGAATATTATGTTCTCTGGTGATACCTATACAAGCAAAAGAATGTATAGAAGAAGAATGCTGATATATTTTTACCAAGATTTTGAAAAAGACGTTGAATGGACTCAGCTCGCCTTGGATATTTATCTTCAATGAAGTTAATTAATTGTTCATCCACTGTTGGTAAATCGTCAAGAACAAGTTTAAGATGCTTTGAAAATTTATTAGATTTACTCAATGGAAATGAGATCGCGTGTTTGTCGAATTCATCAACAGATACTAAACGTGAATGGTCTTTTAATGGAATGATTTTTAATTTTTTCAATTTAGCAATGGTTTCACTTTCACGTTCTTTATAATTCATTTCTTCTCGTTGTTCTTGAAGACTATAGTCAAGACATGCCAGCCATTGAGCAACTAGAAAGAAAATTATTTATCATAGATGCATTTGTGCTAAATTATGAACAACTAGATAATAATCTGTATAATTCTCAACTGATTTACTGAAGGGCAGTCAACATTTTTTTATCAATATATATGAATCGATCTAAAAATCTATTTTTAAATCCAAGCAGAAATATGTAGTCAATCAAGACTGATGAAATCTACAGATCGTCTATTAATTGTAGCATGCTGGGAAAATAACAGCGCCGCTGTACTGCTACTTGTTCTTACGTGAAAATTAAAAAGACATCCTACGAAAACTGAACGCATGAATTTCTTTTCCCAACGATGAGATATTAGAAATAAATCAAAATGAGCGGTATCTTCAACTTTAGATACCGAATATCTTTATTTTATTCGGTTTATGGATCGCCGAACTGTGTAAGAAAAACTTTCGCAGTTCTCCTCTATCGACTACTGAAAATAACAGTCGCTAGCTTTTACTGTTGATAAATCTTCATATACTTGCGAGAAAATTAATTCACATGTTAAAAACTCACTTTGTTCTATAGCTGCTGGTGTTTTAAGATGTTGCTGTTCATTTTTTTGATATGACATTTCAATAAGACATGTAATATCTGAAAAATCGAGTTGGCGACAGCCTAATTTCAATAGAATTTGTTCATCACATTCATGGACTAATTCTTCGTGTACATAATAACTATTAAAGTGCGATAATAACAGATCTTGTGAGAGAATTTTTCGAATAAATTGATCTTGCACAATTACACATTGAGAAGGCGAAACCCAATCGGTTACAGTTTCGCCTTTTTCATTTTGTTGAGAAATCGGTAATTTAATAATTCCTCTTAATAATTGAATACTTTTATCGACAAATTTATTGAAGAATGGTTTTGATTCATTTTGAAGAGGAAAAAATTTAAGAAAGTATTTTATCATTTGTATCGGTGTTACGTGGTTATTGATTTGTGTATTCATTTTAGATGATACAAGTAATTCGTGAAGATGCTCAAATTGATAATAGGCTAACGAAAGAAGGCAAGTCATTTCTGATTTAAGCCATTCATTCCATAAATTATCATGCAGAATCTCTTGTCGATTTGCCGGAACTTCAAAATCAGCTTGTAGAATAAAACGAAATCCATATGAACACAGTGGTAAGTATGCAAAAACAGGTTGTGTTGGTGGGACTGTTGATGATGAAGAGTCTTGAATGCCATTGAGCGGATAGGCAATGGCAATGATCGTCGTATCAACATCACCTTTTACGTCACGCAATTTTATCTAAAGTTAGTAGGAAAATCTTTTGAAGAAAAATAAAAAGACACGCGGTCTCTATTACCTTAATATCAGCAGGTACTTCAATAACCTTTTTGACTACAAGCCATAAGTTACTAATGATAGTTCCATTCATGTATTTTTCTTCTAATTCTATAATTTGTCCTTGATCATGATCGATTCTAGTAAATATGCGATTATTATTAGTTGTTTCAGAGATATCGTATTGATTTATAATTTCGATTTTTCTTAAACGATTAAGAAATAGAAGAAAAATAGATTCAATTTTCTTAAAATTTTCTTTCAATCGAACGTCTCGTGCATCTTTTTTAATGGGTAGACGAATGCATGTTGTCCATTCGTCAACATTAGGCAAAACTTCTTCGTATTGATCTAACCATATCGGTTGTGTATACCCGATTTGTTCAGTTCCATTAACAGTATCAAAACATATGTGATAATTTCGAGAATGAATTTCTGGTCGATGAGATACCATAAAAACTGATTTAAAACCAATACCTTTATGGCCAGCATATCCTTGTTTATGTTTCCCTTTGGTTGAAGCGCCCACGTTACAGATGGCCATGATATTATTAGGTTGAAATCCTATTTCATTGTTACAGACAAGTATTCGTTCAGGCGAAAGAGTAAAACGTAGAGTAGGCATGATATCTGATGTATATTGATTATCATCAGCATTTTGAATAAGTTCTAATACGAAATGACCTTGTTCCAAATAGAGATCATTAGATAACCTTTCTAAACTTCGTTCAACCATGCCTCGAAGATTAGTAATGATTGATTGGCTAGCAGCATCAAGGCCATTATCAACACCGAAACCTCGACGAATCGATTCAATATGTTGGGATGCAGCTTGAATCGAATCACTTGCATTATCGATATTAGCCGTCGTTGATAGAGTAGATAAGCTGGTCGTTTTTTTGGTAGTCGTGGCCGAAAGTGATTCATTTACAGTTGTTGTCGACGCAGCGGGATTGACTTCAAATAAATCGATAATAATAATAATTAGAAGATATTTACAACAATGGAAAATATTATTATTAAATGTTTTTAATTACCTCTAAGAAACTTTTCCTCGTGCATACTCTCCTTACACCTCTCGTACGATTTATGAAATTTTCAGCATAACTTACCTGTATCAATTATTTGCTGTCGTATCAATTCATGTGCTGATTGGATTATAGATCTTTCTTCTGATTCTTCACCACCTAACCATTTTTTCTCATTTTTCCATTCGGAAATATCAACTTTATGACCCCATACTTCTAATTTTATTCGTTGTTGAGCATTTGCCAAATTCCATAGTTTTGTTCGTGGATTTATTTGATTGTCTGAAACATCATCAAACACTTTATCTAGCGGTAGAAGAATCAGTTCTTCAATAAATCGGGATTGACCAATCAGTATTGGTAGACACATTAAAAATTCAAGTATATGTTGCATTGGATCGGTATGATCATTTTGTAATGTAGCCAAAGATTGCAAATGACGAAACCACGTTTCCATTGATGTTCGATAAACATTAATTGGAAATCTTGTAATCAACTCTTCTTGGATAATTAATGAACATAAATGTCCAACAGCAGAACGAATATGCATTGCATCAAGTTCACGTTCAAACGTAGCAAGACTGGGATCGATTGGTAAACGATAGAGTTCTCCAGTTGATGTTTCAAATAATTGAAGATCTTTGAACTCAATCTCATGCTTAGTAATAAATGATTGGAGTGCACCATATTTTGGTTGAAAGAAATTTATCCATTGAAGCCATGTATAAAGATTTGTCATTAATGGGCAGTGAAGTATTAATTGGCATAATTGCGTTTCATTAACATTTAATGACATTGAACAAACATCGAGCTGATTTAAACTATTTAAATCTAACACAGATTCTTCGAAGCTAGAATAGCAAAATTTTGTTTAATTTATGTTATAAAATAAGAAGAATTCACTACCGAATAATTGTATGTTTATTTTTATGAAATTTTCTTTTAGCTTTTCTAATTATTTGATTTCCTTTACGAAAATTGATAGATTCACCAAATTTATGTTTAATTGCTTTTTCAATTGCTGATCGCTTATCTGCACTGATATGAAGTTGCTCAGCGTTTACATGTCCATGCGTCAATGTTACATGTTGCGGTTGGCATTCTTCATTTATCCCATCATCGTTGATCATAGTCAGTTGCTGAACAAATGAATATAATGCACTTCGATCGTCCATTGATTTCGTCTGTTCATAAACAGATAATTCTCCATTTGGATCAATCGTGTCACGATATTTATTAAGAAATGATACAAAATTTTCCGGAATATCATCGTATTCATTATCACCATCAGCGAATGCAGAAAAACTAGTAACGCCATGTTGATTACAAATGTCCTCATCAATTTGGAGAAGATGTTGGATACTGGGTGGTGTATCAAAACAAACCAGATGTCTATAAATATCCGAGCAAAGCTGTTTTAGAGAGACTGCTGCTTTTGGTTGATGAGCTTGAGATGCGAAAAATGAGCTTGAGAAGGATGTACTGACAGGCACAGCATTTGCTGTTGTCTAAAATTGAATAATTATGAAAATTAATTATAATTTCATTTTTTTAATGAGATGATCTATCAGAAGTTAGTGTTTCATGAAATGACGTAAACCGACTAGTTACTGAGAGTATAAACGTGAGTTTGAGTTATTTTAGGAGTAGAACTCAAGTAGTATGGGTATGGGGTATACATGACATCTCACCATCCACATTCGCAATAGTAAGTAAGTGACCTTGTCAACAATTATATTAGACCTACTATTGATAGATGTTACTTTTGAGTACAGTCAAACTTACTATCTGCTCATTGTCGCTGACATGTGAATGTTGTAATTGTTGCTGTTCTAAAATAGCTTTTAATTTTTTACGATCTTTTTTGCTCATTTTGTTCATTGTAATAGGCGTTTCTGGCACCGTCATTAATTCTTCCATAGGCAAAATTTTGTCTTGATAACCAATAAGCCTTTTAAGTTCTGCAATAAATACTTCTGGTTTTTCAATAGTGCCTAGATATATGCTTAGATTCAATAGACATCGTAACATCTCATCGTCACGAAGTTGAATTAGTATCGTATAAAGTGCCGGTTGTTGAGGTATGAAATTTAAATACTTCTGAACAATTGATGTGAGGTAATTGAATACAGCAGTCGGTGTTTTTTTCTTATTGAATGATGAAAGTTCTAATTCGTCATGCATTTTTTCTTTAAACTCTTCTAGATGTTTACGAACATCCTCAATGAATTCTTGTTGTACCAGTAGCTGTTCTTGTTGTATATGTGAATCTAGATCTCGTCGTACATTATTGGTCACCTATGAAAAAGAATCACTCATGATAATGCAACACAGAATATCGATTATGTCTAGATTACCTGTATTAAATAAGGATAACTTTTGCAAAATAGACCCAGCTCCTCGCGCGATTGAAGCATGAAATCTTGAACAAGAAAATCAAGAAAAGTATCCAGTGTAGTTCGCTGCTGCCGACGCACTTTCTGAAAATCCATGAACTTTTTTATAACTTGTCCAGTGGTTATCGTAGGAATAGGTTGATCAGGGCTGGTTGGCTGATACCCAAATATTCGTTGTACTTCTGGATTTTTATCGAGTGGACCTAATCGAAGATCATCATATTTGTCCACTTTCATAAATCTAGCAATAAGAAATCCAAGATCGTTAAGCGTACATAAATTGAATGTTTGTTCGAAAACGTGCAAATAAAATATCACGCTCTTTTGTCGATCAGTAAGATTCATGAATGCATCAAATCTTGATGGTTGAACTCGTAATTCATACCAGGAATTTATACGATAAAAACGAAATAGCTCTTGTTGAACGTGTTCACGAGAAACGAATTCTTTGCTTTTATGAATTGTTAAAATAATCTCACATAACTTTTCATAAATTTGCTTTTCATACAATGTTAAAGGTTGAGGTGGTGGTGGTGGTACTGCTGCTGCTGCTGTGACCAATGTTGATGAACTGTTCCCTAAAAACATTAAAAAGATTCATAATTAGTTTTTCTAACTCAAGTAAACTTGATCAGATACGAAGATATATACCTGCTACAGCATTCGGGTTCATAGTGTCTGATTGTATCAAATGAGTATTTGTAATGACGTTCGAATTCGATACTCTACGTGTTGTACTAGATATAAAATGTTTTGACTGAACTCCTGGAGTTTTTTGTTTTCCACTGGGTTTTCGTACAGCTGCTGTTGACGATGGTATTTGAATAGATGGCATTAGTGGTTGCAAGTTATTATTGATTCTGCTATTCTCAAATTGCAAAATATTTGCTAAAATAGAGAAAAACACACTGGGAAAAAATTATAATTTAAACTTACTATTTTGTTCCAAGAGTTGCGGTTGGTGAGCGCCTGATGCAGCTGTTTGTTCCTAATAAAAATATTGATACGTCAATTAATTTAAAAAATATTAATAATACGCCATATACATGATATAGAGATGATGAAGCGGAAGAAGTAGTTTGCTGGGTTGTTGTTAGTGCACCAAGCGGCGGGAAATCTGCACTTGAAAAAACCTTGTTTATTGCGGCTTCTTCGTCGTTAGTCCAGATTGCTGGAGATCGATTTTTCTTGAACGTTCTAATTTTTATGGGATATTTATTATTTCGTTGGTTATCTGGTGAAGTTGCACCGTTCATGTTGCAAATTTATGTAAGAAAAACTTGAAAACAACAATAATCAAAAAACAAAGTTGTGTGGTTGTTTCGCCATCTTATGTGTTCTTATGAGTTACACGAGTGGGGAAAAATAGTGCTCGATGACTCACCTTGCACAGATTGTCGAAAGCTCACATCGGCACTAGTACACATCGTCGCACGACACTTCGTCGCAGAAAAATTCTTTCCGTTCTGTTCGCCCCTATCTATTTGTCGCATATCTCTTAATGAATTCTTTGTTTTCTGTATAACCAATGGAAATAATATAAAATAAATGAAAAATTGTAAGAGATGTGCACAATAGTGATAGATAATTAATTGTGCTAAGAGTATAATTGTAATTGGGTAAAAGGGTCAATATTATTTTAATGTACAGTGCTAAAGCCAATGAAGACTAATTAAATTTGTCGCTTGCTTCATGAATTTCAGTGTAATCTAAACTAAAAAGCTGTTAGCGCAATTCCAGTGGGATTAAAATGTGAAACACGAAAAGCTCCTTTCTGGAATCCGTCTACCACGGCATGTGGAGCGCCTGTCATGGTCTGTGTTATGATGTATGAAGTCTCTAGAGGCCATCGCAGACCGGTACACAGACTTCAGAAGTCATCACATACTGTGACAGAGAGGTTTCACATGACATCACAGACCGTTATAGAGTTTAGAAATCATCACAGACCGTTACAGAGAATTTAGACACCATCAGAGACCGTAACAGAGAAGCTTCACAGACCATCATAAACCGTTAAAGAGCCTTCAAAACCATCACTGACCGTGACAGAGAAATTAATTAATTAACCAGCTAACTAATTAATTAATTTCTCTGTCCCAGTCTGTAGGGGGGTCTAAATTTATATCATATATACTTCAGCACTCCTTTCAGATCGTGTTTCACAAAATAACACTGATCCGACATTCTTCATTATGGGACGAACTAAAATAAAAAAATACATTTCACTTTTCAATTTCAGCTTTCACTGCGCACTACTTTTCACGCAAAATGTCTGAAATAAAGAACTGTTTTCTATAAAAGAAAAAGCAATGATACTCCAAGAAGGTTATATCTATACTGAAAAACGTACAATAACGACGAAATTTATTCTCGGATCTCAGAATCGAGATGGTAAAGCTAAGAGCGTTTTGAACATCAATCAATTAATTAAAATAAAAATCATTTATCAATGAAGCTCGTTGTTATGCCAATATATCCCAAAACATATTTGTCTCAGCACCAACATCACACTCTCATGTTCAAAAACCCGATCGTTTTCCAATTATCTAATTAAAAATTGATATTAAAATTCAACCGGTTAACTCCCTCGGCTCACCTCAACTAGATCAATTCTTAAAAAATATAGCAGGCAACATTACTCTTTAGGCATTTTTTCTCTTTAGTTATCTTTATTCTTTAGAGTATTTTCTCTTTCAATCTGTTTACTCATTATGTTGTGTATATTATGCACAAATACATAGGAATTGGCTCATAAATTTTCCATTTGTTATACACAAACAAAAAGAATTCATTAAGAGAGATGCGACAAATAGTTAGGGACGAACAGAACGAAAATAATTTTTCTGCAACGAAGTGTCGTGCGACGAAGTGAACGGTCATCGGCCACATCATACCAAAATATGTTTACTTGTTATGCTAGCAGTTTATGTGAGTTTGAGGTCGTTCTCTTCTCACTACGACGTACATAGTTACAGCAAGTTTTCTTCTATGATATTGATTAGTTGCTCCGCGGTTACTTTGTTCAGTATCGTTTATTAATTATATTTAAAACTAGTTTAAATCTTTATGAAACTTCAAAGTGGATGTTGAAATTTATTCCAATATAGTGAAAAACACGTCTTGCTAAGATATTATGAATTTTTCGAAAAATTTGAAAAGCAAAAAAAAAGAACAGAATATTATAAGATTTGCTTCTGGAATATACATATTTCTTAGTAATGTCACTAACTATAAAACGAAATATATATTATTTTCTAATATTCGTCTTTGACTTGATGATAGATCGATATGCTGGCTGTTTTGCAAATATTTGTAAATTTCTTGAATCAAATAACGCCTATAGTCGTTTTGATTAACAAATACATAAGTATAATGAAACCGAATTGAACTTCATCTTGAAGGTGAAGTTGAAGTGCAGAATCGTCTATTGTTTTCGCTTTTGAATAATCGACAAGATACTAAGGCGAATATGTGCGTTTCGAATGATGAGAAAAAAACGAACAATTCCATTTGCACAGAGATGCGAAAACCGAATAAAATATTCTCAGCATAATTCCTGATTGTAATCACTGAAAAAATCATATGAAATTCGACGTATGCACTTCTAAGCATATTTTATTTTCCAATCATATTCCTTTAATTCCTCGTCTGTTATTGTTTTGATTCAAATGATAATACCTAAATATCATTAATAGACAAATTCATAATCTTTTAGCATTTTCTTGTAAACAATAGTACTATACCTACGTAGATGGTTTTCAAAGTATCAAAATGGAAAATGAAGTTAATATATCATTACCAAAGCATAGTTTGTTCAACTCTGAGTCCGAAAGTGAGTTACTAATTGTTGCTTCAATCTAGATATTTAAAATTTTCGCATATTCAATCAGAAATTCCTATCGACGACTTTTAACACCATACAACATATGATCACAACCGCTGCTCGATTCTTTGAAAGATGAACAACGAACATCATACTATACAAACCAATGATTGCACTATTTAGGCTAAAGGACCTTTTTTTCACGAAGTCATATAAAAGTATCATTTTTGATTTATTAGCCGTTAGCTTTTTAAAATTAACTAGTGGACGTGGAATTCGTGTAGTTGTAGATGGAAAACGAAATGATGTAGCTTGAAAGATTATATTGAGAATAATAACATGACCAAGTTTTATTTTGGAAATGGACATTTAGCAAAAGATGGCACAGTTTCATCTAATAGAAAATAAAATCATATTTAGAATATTGAACGTAAAAAAGATTGAATGTTAACGATTTTGTTGTAAAATATTATTTACTCGTGCAAAATGAAATCGTGCTTAACAAAATATTTCTTTTTACGAAATATTACGACTTTAATGGTGTAAAAGTGTTTCTAATGAGTAAAAAAAGAGCTGGATTTTGTTGAAAACAACTATATATAACGAGTGCTCGAGATGAAAAATAAAAATCGTTTTTTTTTGTTGAAATGGTAACTTTCGTAGAATTCTACATAAGATAAGAAGATGAAACAGGATACTTTACTTGCGACGACTGCTTGATAAGTTTTGTTAAGGTTATCAGACAAAAAAAGGTGAATTCAGTATCAAAATAAGCCAGTGGGCGAACGGTATACGCCCCGATAATTCTATATTCAAATCGTTCACTTTGTAGTATTTACGCTTTGATTGAGTAAAAACGATGTGACTAGGTGGGCGACAAGTTATTTTTCCACTTAAGCTTCAGTTTTTCTCGCCCAAGGGAGATCATAATATCTGTGATTTGATCTTAAATGTGATTAAATACGAGAGTCTTTTAGATCGACTAAATAATCAATAAGATGTACAGAATCATAAAAATAACCTAGAAGAAAAAATTTTAAAATAAATAAATGGCAGAGAATAAAAATAAAACTCACCGCTAATTTTACATCCACAACAACCGATTGCAGAAATTGACTCATGGCATATACTTTGTAATAATGCTTGTGCTGGTTTGTCTATACATGTAACAAGATTGAAAATACTTTTAAACGTATAGTTTTACATAGTTAATATCCGAGTGAAATTCAAAATAGGGCGGTTTCTCCAGCTTTTTTGATTTGTACGAAACTTAATTTCATTAGAAAGTCGACATCTTAAACCATTTTGGGTTTTGATGGTCGAGGCCATAAACATCGAATTATTAATCATGATAACAGAATATATTCTTAGTTAATTTCATTAATCACAAATATCACGGGTTAAAACCATACTTTGTAGATACTCAAAAGAACTGATATCATAATGATTCAGTAGCTTTGTGTTTTTGTTTTTAATTCATTCAATTCTTAGTGTTTTGGAATTTTCGATCAGTATTCGATCATCTTCAGCTTACCAATATACATTGACAGATTTTACAGTCTCATGAATATACTTATAAAGAACTGATTTTACAACAAAATGATGAATTCAATATGCTACTATACTAATTAAGATATTGATTCTTTTGAGTATTTACGTAGAATTCATGAAACTTTGAACATACTTTGTAACTACGAAATGACTCTACTCTGTCGTTACTAATGGCCAGGATCAACATATTGTCAGATTCTTGACGAAATACCTTGCTATAACTAGATAGAACTATCAGCAATATACTAGTGCAATTTAATTTGAATGTGAGCTCCTTTTTTCTATAGCTATGCCGTCGAGTTAAGTTGTTCAAAAACATGAAAAGTATGAATATAAGTTGGCAGGAATATTGGAGGCGCAAAACAGCAATCACAATTAATATTTGAGTAGATCAATTTATATTTTCCTTCATTTTCGCAAATTGGATATATAAACCAAATTTTTTAATCAGATACATTTGAAACAGAATAATAACCAAAAATATTTGATCTTTGCATGTGGCTTGTAATCAATCTGTAACAGTATTTTAACTAATTTATTTATTGAGTTCGATAAATGTAACTTGTCAAACTCTAAAAATTCAATGAAATACATACGGTGCATCGTTTTCTACCACGAAAACACATTAAATATTTGTGTGCATAACGTAATCCTACGAGCTATTTGCATGTTTTTATGAGACAGGACATCATTAAATTTAGGATTGCTTTGACAAATCGACAAATAAAAATACGAACTGCTTCTATTTTTTCCTAAAAATAAAAGCAGTTCGTATTTTCAACAACGAAAATAATATGATTTTTACAGCTGATGATCATCCATTAGAAATGTTCATTTCTTTTTCATTCTTTAGAAAAACACTTCCTCACCTGATAGGTTAATAATTCATTTCTTTTATTCTATTAGAATTTTTTTTATAGCATGTAAATTATGAACACGATATTCTCTAACTTTGTGCTTTACTATTTTCTGCATACCGTTCATACTAAGTGTTCGAATTTTTCTTGCAATCATATTACATTATAATGTACCCAGGTCGTGGACGTACGGCAGGAAACGGCCGGAAAGCACAGGAAAGCGCTGGAAACTGGAAGCAGTATTCTAGTTGGAAGTTACCGGATTTTCTTCCTGTAGATTCCGATCAACTTCCAGATGTAAAACACAGAAAACTGACCGGAAAACACAGGAAACTGACCGGAATCCACAGGAAAAAAATCTGGTAACTTCCAACTGGAATACTGCTTCCAGTTTCCAGTGCTTTCCCATGCTTTCCGGCCAGATACGGTGATTTTTCCGCATCTTTCCGGCCGGTTCCTACAGTATCCGTCCTCCGGAATCATTGACCTGGGTAAAGGAGAGTGCTTTTTATTTGCTACATTATTCTAACACATGGTGATGCAATGGATCATCAGCTATCTCTTTTCTATACAATTGGGAATATAGTGATTAAAAACAAAAAAAATTGTTGTGAAAAACGCAAGAAATATTCTTTCTATAGATTTTGATAAAATTCCATGTAGCTACAAATGAATTTTAACAATGATTACTAAAATCTATATGAGATTTTTTTCTAAAAATCTATTATAACTTACGTGTTCAAATCTTATAACTGCGTTTTTGTCTTAGACTTTTAGAAATCTTTTACAACGTTGTACATATGGTTCTGTAGGGTAATTGTTTTTTTGTTACGTCAATCACGGATCTCTAAATCTAAAAGGTTAGTGTAATAATTAATATTAAATGCAAACTAAACAAAGATACCCGGACGTAAGATGAACACGAAGTGTATGAAAATTTTAAATTAAACGATCTCTTACGGCTTCTTAACATATATTTTCGCTCGTTCTTTTTCTTTTCTCTTCTGCTTATTTGCACGTCTATCGCTATCATTTGTTATGAATCTGATTTCTCTTTAGTATACTTTCAGAGAGAGATCAGTTATATCTGATATAATATTTTAATCATCAATTGATTAATCATAACAAGCTTTTTGTAATTCTGATTTCTAGTATTTTTCTTTACAAATATACATTGATTGTCATGTAGAATTTCAGCCTACCATAACTGTATAATGGAAAACTATGTTTTAGGAGCACCTGAATAGCCCATTTTCAAAATCTATGGTGATAAAATTTGGATTTAAAACTAATCCATATTCAATCGTGACGGTTCTTAGGATGCTAAATTATTATGTACCAATGTTCTTTATTTTACTTGGTAATAAAAAATACATGTTCCAAAGAAACATCGTTGGACGTCATCAGAAGTTCAATGGGTTCCGACGTCAATTCCTCGACCCGGAATCCTATAAGATTCTGTCGGATGGTAGGATACTATCAAGTTCCTATCGGGTTCGGTGTGCGATATCTCTATCTGGGCGCAGTAGCATTCCGTATAAAAATGAATGAAAAGTGGCGGCAATGGCTCATGAATGTATCGTGGAAAAACATATAGAGGGATATAAATTTTCTAATAATTGTGATGTAACGCAAGTTACACATCAAGTATTATAATGACCGATAAAAATGAAATATTTTTCATCTTATAACGTACGCCATTTAGCTAAGATAATTCTGTACGTTTATGAGTATATAGTGTTTTAGAAGTTTCTTGTGTGATAGAATAGAAGCTATTCTATTGTCTGATGATATTAACTAATATAATATAGAAACACTATCTTGATTAGGTGTACACTTCTTGACCAATGCAACACGATTGATCTGTGTTTTGTTTTTGAGTAATCTGACGTTGATATCTCGATGTTCACTCTATGGGCATTGTGACATCTATGGCAGAATGACTTAGTTAGTTTCCTTGTCTTCAGCAAAATTTCTTTAGCAGAATTCTGAAATCGGTTGTTAAATATAGTTTTGATTAAACTGGATGATATCCTACAATATCTGTTCGTCTAGTTGATAAGCTAGCACCATGCATTACAATGATACGAAGTGTAGAATATCTTCCAATGTCAGGTAGATATATGATTAAGATCGATTGTTGAATGAAAGACTCAACATATATATATATATATATATATTCAAAAAGATAGTTACTCTATGATATCCCGATGAAAATACGATATCTAATTATCTATATGATTGAAATTCAATCTTCATATAGCCTGTATAGTTCCGAAAATTACAGCATGAAGGAATAAAATATCTTCATCGTTTTTTTAAAGATAAGGAATACGGTGTAGAAATACAAATTAGAGAATGAAAAATTGACTCAGTCTGAATTGAAACAAGTAATTTGATAGATACTATGAATAAAAATCAAATGATTATCATAAAATTTTGTTTGATCGTATTTCTTGAATGCAAGATGCAAGTCTATAGAATTTATTATCAAGCGAGTCTCAATATGTTGAAACATCTATAACTGACTTATCAATTACCATAAAACTGATCAAAGACGAACACATTCTGAGAAAAAATATTCTATTTTGTTTTGATGGATTTATTTCGATGTAACATATATAAGTAAAATCTTATTCTTAACGAAATATTTAACACAATTTTGCGGTTATATAATCATTTTAGATCGGTTTTGTCTTCGTGAAAATATTTTCGAGAATAAGAAATAGTAGATATGCATTTATTTATATTTAGTTAAAGTTCTATTGTCAGTAATTTATTAAAAAACACCGTTTTTACAATGCACAAATTTCTTTCTTCTGTTCGACTATTATAAATATTATCTATGTACATGCGGATAGATATACATGTCTGTATTTTGCATATGGCTACCACATCGGCAAGTACTGGTGGTAGGTACGAAAAGTGTTTCATTATTAGAGTAGCGCATAATGTTATTTTCAGTTGTTATTGATGTTTGATCTTGTTGTTTTGAAAGTAAACATTGTTGTAATTGTTGTAACTCAGATGAACACGAAGGCGATGTACAATCTCGACGATGATGTGTATTTTCAGTTGGATAGAGTAATCGATTAGCCCATACGAGAACAGGACCACATTGATGTTGTTGTGAATTTGGTGTCGAATAACCTGTTGTTGTTGTCGCAGCATATTGATATTCATGTCCGCTAGTTGTTGGCGTATGAATTAACTGACCTGTTGGATGACAACAAAAATGATGGCGAAATGTTGTTGGATGGGGTGGTAGAGTTGGAACTTTTGTTGCATTGGATTTTTTCTCATTGTATAAAAATGGTTGTTCACTATCTGATGATAGTGAAGGTAATTGTTCATAGAGACTATCATTTGCTGCTGCCATAGCTTGGCTATCAGTAGTTTTAATTGATGGTTGATGTAGTCGAGTGTGATGATAACAATAATGATGAGAACGCTGTCGTTGAAGTTCAGCCGTATAACGACGATGAAGTTTTCGTCGGCAAACAGTCAATGTTATTAGTAATATGAGAAAAAGTAAAAGAAATAGTAAAAGAAAAAATACAACGATAATAAGATTTTGTTTATGTTGAATAAATGGTATATGTCGAATGACACTTCGATCAGTAGAAGATATAAATGTAGTACATTCTCGCTGATATGTAGGTTGAACAGTAATAAAGTGAAATTTTGAATTACGTGTCGGTCGATTAGTGGCAGACACAAGAATAGATAAAAGTGTTGTACTTGATGTTGTTACTAAAAGATAAATCAGATAAAAATTAAATTGAAGTAAATCAAATTTCTAACAAACCTGTAATTTTTGGTATAATACGTGTAAGACGAACTAGATTATCATTACTATTGGAAAAAAACATCCATCCATTATTTATTGGTTCTTTATTATTAATTTGATCTTTGGAAAGAATGATATGTTGAAGATTTTGTAGACATCCAACTAGATCGTTCATATTTTGAAATATTTTTATTAGATCTGGATTTTGACTAAGATTTAATTCCCGTAAATTAGATGCTGCACAAAACGTATCATTAGTTAAATTTTGTAGATTGTTGTTCGCTAAATTTAATTTTTTTAATGAAGTTTTACCAACGAATACAAATGGTTTGATATGTTCAATATTATTTTCTTCATAATCAAGTTCCGTGATTGTTTGTGGTAAAAGAATATGAATATTTGATAGATTCGCTTGAGGACATTTAACAATATGACGTGACCATTGAGCATCATGTGAACATGAACAATCCGAAGGACATACAGAATGACAATCGCATGCCTCAAAATCACAACATGAGCAATCGGATGCACAATGACGTGAGTATGAACATAAGAGCTCGTTATGAGGAATATCCAGAACCGGACGTGAATGGCATTGAAGCAAATGCAAATCACTAACGATTATCGTTGATGGAGATAAGTCAAGTATTGCGCCAAGCCAACAATCACATTTCAATGGATTACCATATAGAAAGAGTTGAAGGGTGTGCTCGGCTATTACCTAGTGAGAAAAAAATTCCATTGATTAAATCAGATAATTCTAGTTGATCTGAAATCATAGATAAATTTCGTAGGATTCAAGTGCCTTGTTTTATTACAGGATATTGTTATTCTCTTTTTTTTTGATCGATCAAAATAGGAAAAACTATTCATTGTTATGTTTTTTTTTGCATTATTAATAATGACAAACCTTCAATAATAATCAATGATGATGAAATACCTTTTTCTGCCCACTTACCCTTAGGACATCTGTATTTTCTTAATGTAAAATTTATATATATATATACATGTATTGTATTTCCTTATAGAATTACATAATTTTGATTATTCTCTCGGATAGTTATGAATCATATTAGAATTTTTGAAACAATTAAAACAAAAAAAGAGATTTCTTAGATAATTTTTCACCTACTTGATCATGATAATCATCGGTTGATGAGTGATTTATATAAGATGTCATATTTAATTTATCTTTAAAAAATTCTAATGATTGTATTTGATTAAATGTAAGATCGAGTGTACGCAACTGTCGATGTAACCATCGATCTTCAATATATGTCAAATGATTGTTTGATACATTGAGATATTCAAGTCGCACACTTTCATCTAGAGAAGGTAATCTTTCAAGTTGATTGTTGACTAGTGATAAATGAGTCAATTTTGTTAATGATATCAACAATGGTAATATTGAAGATTGTTGCAGGTTACAATCGGTTAAATCAAGTTGACTTAAATGAGGCGGTAAAGACAAAAGTTTCATTTTTTTATTATGACGAAGACTAAGGCCGATAAGTCGTTGTTGTACACGATTGCTACCAAAATTAATATCAATTAAATCTGGATTAGAATCAAGATAAAGATATTTTAGATTTGACGGTAATGGAAATGAAAGAATAAACGTTGACAATGAATTATAACTTAAATCAAGTATTTCAACAGATGAAGGCAATGAAAAAGGTAATTGTCCAAGTGTAGACAATTGACATGAATTTATTTTAAATGTTTGCATTGTATGATTGGAAGATAATGATAATGGTGGTAGACTTGTTATTGTTAATGTATGTGTAATACATACAAGTTTTTCATTTTGACGATTTAAATATTCAACTGTAATTGTACACTGTTCAGAAAATTGATCATTCGAAAAAAGAAGATTTTGTTTTTGGCCAATGAAATCATTAATCATCGTACAATTCCAATCTGATGATACACAATTGTTAATAAACATCAACACCAATAAAATTATTTCGCGTACCATCATAGTTCTTTCTATTATCTGAAATGTAATAAATATTCTGTTTGACGGAAGTTATGCTTACACTTGAATAAAAAGAATGAAAGAGCAGAAGAGAAAAAAAAATTTGGCGATTCCTATTAAAAGTCTTTCTATGTGTTTGAACAATGCAAGCACGATGCGTTCGCTTACAACACAGTAATTACATGCGCTGCATGCTTGCACGTCGATCCACATACTACATAGTATACACAATAGCAATATAGATTAATTCAAATAGCCTTACGCAATAGTAGGAAGGATGATGATAGCGATGATGATGGTGAAAACATTTTTATTAATATGGCCTGAATAGTCCTGTTATTGTTTGTAGTTATGCTACGTCGTCAATTATTAGAACCGGAAGAAAGCACCTTGTCGATAGTGTTGCATTACATCATGGAGCAAACATATGAAAGTCGATGATACTAATCGATAGAAAAAGAGAAAGGAAAAAGCTTCAATTGACCTTGATCAGCGCTCTCTTGTTCTCTCTTTCTTTCTCTTATCTATCTAATCCAATCAATGTTGACGGTGTGTGTCGGATGTTCAAAGATTGATCATCCTATCTTTGCGCATTGTGGGTACTAATGGTAGTCGAAGTTAGTGAGTCTAATTTATGAAAAACTGAATTTCTGTTATTCTAATAAACTATAAACGATGCCTATGATTGTGTTCGGCTGTATTGATATGAACGAATGGTATTTTACTAGACCACATGATTAAAGAAGCAAACTTGCTGTTTATAAATGTTTGTATATGTGTGTGTGGATATATGTCGATGATCAACATATAGCCATCAAAAACTAATCAATACATCACGCAGAGCGAGAGAGCAAACACAACAATATGAATTAAAGAATAAATGAGCAATTGGAGAAATGAACTGAAAAGACAATGATTCCCTATTGAATAGCTGCAGAAGCAGACTTTTCAGCGCGAGACAGAAGAAAATTGAAAGAAAACGTGCGTATTATTCTTGTATGTATTATATTCATGGTTCGAATTCGGATGAGAGCGTGAAGCGTGACTGCGACTGTATTGATGATTAATCTCAAGAGAACAACTCATTCGTTTGATGTCGTATCATTATTAGATTGCGCTTTTTGACATCTACTTCTCATTCTACATTTGAATTGACCATTAAGATCCCGATTGTTCTTCGAAGAATGACGACGACGACTTCCGTCTTCAACATCTGCTTGACCTCACTTTCTCTTCATTCTGATACACTATGTATTTTTGCCTCTAATGCCAACGACCAATCCTTCATTCGTGCAGACGATGCCATTAAATGACTATTCACTCACACTTTCTCTATGTGAAAGGCTCATTGAAAACAATTGAGAGAAATAAATTAAATCTAAACTTTTCGATTATAAGTGGGCAAAGCGCATGGCGCGATTGTGCCTTGCTTTTATAGGGCTACATATATAAGCGACGTGCGCAAATGTGTAAACAAAGACTGTATGACACATATCTAACATTAAAAAAAATGAAGATGAAGGAACAACAGACAAAATATGTGGACTGGCTGTCTTGTCCTGAGCTACTTTTTGCGTGACAACAGCTGCGTCTGCATATGCTCGGGCAAACCGATGTTTAAATGACTCAATTGACACTATGTATCGAACTGAATGACAGAAAACATGGTCATAAATACCCTAGAGTGAATGCTATTCTAGTTTTGACTGACACGAACAATATGAATTCAATGTATTTTATTGAATCTATTATATCTCAATTTTCTTTTATTATACTTAATAGAAATAATAATAAGTAACCTTGTAAAGGAGAAGTTTTAATAGATGAAACAATGAATACAAGTATGATTGACAGTTTAACATATGAAACAAGACTAAAACCCTACATTCAAGAACAAATGATTGCTCTTTTGATCAATTTCAATCGATTGGTCTTATTCGAATACGTATAAGTATAAGCGGTGATGTGCATCTAACTACTTACATGTACATATACCGTATATATATATATATATTGATAGAATAATCGCACCTACTTTTCTTCTTTGTTACGTGGACATTGCACACGGTCTTGAATATTAGTGTACAAGAAAGCATATGCACTGTGGGAGGGAGATCATTTCATATTAGATGATCACTCCATCGACGATAACTTTAGCGAACAAAGCATATAGCTATATATATATACGTATGTAGGTAAACGATTCAAGAGTCCACCCGCCTACCCACCTGTTCGAACCTTGTTGCTGACAGCAGTCAGTCAAATAAGCGATCATACTTCATCTGACCTCTTTTTTTCGTTAGTAATTCGATCCGCTGGAAAAAAAAGAAAATGAAGACAGACAAAGGGAGAAAGCAACAATGTATATGTATAATGATTATTGCAATACCTCTCTTTTTTTTCGTTCCATTTGACACTAATGATGAATTGTGTTAGACACAAAAAAAGAAAATGAATTGAAACAGACAAGTAAAAGAAAAAATGAAGAAGAAGAAGAAGAAGAAGAAAAACAGCATGTCCAAGAACTATGGACGAACAAACTTACTATGTAGTCACATCATCAAATCAATCGTGCAAAAAAGATTGCGTGCACATTCACTATTAAAATGTAAATATGTCCACATCATACACTCGCTTGCTTTATAATGTATGTATATTCGTATTACTACTGTGTCGTTGTAGAATGACTGACACACAAAGGAAGATGATTTTTTTAACATGGTCTCCTTCTCCTCCTTCTTCCGTTCGATCATCGTCTCCCTTCTTTCTCTCTTTCTCTCGCACTCTCCCCTTCTCCCTCTGTCTTTTGCCTGCTGTTCAATCATCGCGAGGAGTATGTCAATCATTGGCGTTCGAGTGCCAAATATACATACACACACACACACTCTTCTCAAATATCTGAAGAGTGCATGTGACACACAGTAACATTGCCGAGCCTACTTGGAGACCAATAGCATCGGCAATATAGCGTGCTATTAGATCATTAAAAGTTCATGATCACCTGTGTTTCTAACTATCTAATTGACGCGACATTGCATGCCATGTCTACAATGATGGATTAATTTCAAAATTTATTCCTAATGAGAAACGGCGATTGATGAGCTTTTCTACTTGAAATATACCTTTAAAGTGGCATACAGCTGTCAACGGTCCCATGCACACACATACACATAATACTGCATTTTCTTTGAACTTCGAGTTTATTTTTCTCAAAATGTATAGCGAAATAAAAAGAGTGTTTCTATTGAAAGTGAAAGCACACTATATATTTGTCTTTACAAAAATATGTGAACATAGTGCACTTGTTATACGAATGTTTATTCAGCTTGTAATTCTCAAATATAATCTAGTTCTCAATCAAAATATAATAATTTCCTCTTTTCTTATTCAAACTTCAATCATCTTTGAAGTTTTCAAATCTATTACGTGTCAATAGATTTCTTTCATCTTATATAATAAAAAAATAAAATAAAATAAGTGTGATGTCTAAAGAGAAAAAAATAATTTTTTTTACTCAAATAAAATATCTTTTATTTATGTGATTATATTGGTGTAATTAATTCGATTAGATATTCTGATTTCTATTCATCGCTCACCTTGACAATTTTACGCAAAGACCTTCTCTCTCTCTCTTCTACTCAGTCAATCCGAAAGTCGATATTACTTTTTATACTTGAATCTACTATTTCAAGGCAAATTTCGATAGTAAATGTTCATTTTTAATGTTTTCATCATTAGATTCGTTTCGACAAATGTTCAATAGAAACGATGTCTTTTTAATCGATATGTACATATATGTCAATGATGATCGTTATAATTATTTATAATACCATTTTCTTTTTAACACAGACATATGTAATATACTAACATTTGAGACATAGAAAGCTTCTGGTATTGATGATGGCGGGTGGTAACTTCTGATGATACACACATACATATATATATATATTGATTGCAGTGAAGCGTAGAATGCCTCAAGTCGTGCAACTTATCATGAGCGACCCAGACGAAATGTCACTGAAAGACAATGATGACGATTAAATGGGTAGACTTTTCTTTTTTGAATGCCGACTATTGCTTGTGTCTCGTGAACAATTTCACGTCTGTGACTTTGAGTTGCCTTTTACATTAGTTGATTCGAACGAATAACCAGATGTGTTCGGATATATGTACACAGCACATGTGGCTATAGCCGGCAATATTTACTCGACTAATTTGTTCATCGATATTTTTCTTGCCTATTACTTTTATAAGTATAAATATATAAAAGAGAAAAAAGAAAAAACTAAATTACATTTTGACTTCCTATATATTGCATATATTTTTTCGATTACCATGATGGACATACAGTATATGTTCAATTTCAATTTAGCAAATATATAAATGAAATGAAAAACGAAAAAGATAAATGGGGTATGATTCTTTTGGATATGAATGTGTACGCATCATCGCTAGTTGCTGTGCACGCCTATACATGTATGTATAACACACGACATTTATAAATGTAAATCGTATATGAATATATGTTAGCGCAGCTATGATGATGATGATGATGATGAGGATGAAGACATGCATGATGAACAATGGATACTGACAGCAAACGAGAGAAAGAACAATCACCGTTCAAGGTTAAATTATTAACGGGTTGATAGAAAAACAAAATGATGCTTTACACAAGACGGATAATGGTCAACACGAAGGATAAGAGCTAAACAAGTGTTGTGTCCATCCAATTTGTATATGGGTGCCTGATTTTGATAAGTAAAAGATTAAATCAGATGTTTAGTTTGAAAGCTAACGAGAGATGATAGGTATTTCGAATGCTAACAGTAGATTTATTTGATAGATATAATGTTATTAGAAAGTGTTATCTTATGACAATTATCAATTATATCTCTAGTTTGACCCTCAAGATTTTGTATTAGAATCAATCAGTAGCATTGAAATTTGCCTAATACCGACACAAAATCCGATGAATGTAAAATTAATGATGATTAGTTGTTCTTTTTTCTATCATCAGCGGAAGAAAAGCTCTAAATTGAAGATTTCTATATTATATATATGTCTTTGAATTCATCAGTGAATTGCTTATGTCAAGGGCCCAGAAAAAATCAATGACTGATTTCAATAAAGACACTCTATAGTATCTCGAACATCACAGATACTTGTGAATCATATTTAATAAAAAAAATTTTCTCTTTTAATATTTCTCTTAAAATAATTAAATTAACACACTTGAAAATTAATTTTCATCACGATTATTTTTTTTCTAAGTATTCAATAGTTAAGTAACCATTCAGTGAAATGCACACAAGAAATGTCAATAGTATGTGAAGAGAATTTTTTCTTCAAGCGAAAAGAGAGCGACATGTTCCCATGCACATTTAGGCAATCAAACGTCTTGAATACTTCTTGAGTATATTGTTTACAATAACATCTAGTGAAAAAAAAAATATAACCATTGCTATAAGAGTAATATTGAAGTATGACTTGAAGCATAGTGTATTATATCTTTTCTGTTCTTACTGATTTAAACTAGAGTATAATCAAAACAAACAATATCAGTTTATGCGTTTGTAAGCTTTATTTGTATCGATCTTATTCTAAAGATCGATTAGAGCAGTTTACGTTTTAATATGAAATCAAAGCTAAAGAATCTAGTTGACGTTAAACATTTAACAACGGCGCACATATTGACAAGCTATTTGATTGCATGTCAAAATAAACTCTATAATGGATAAATGATATTTGGATAAAAAAAATGATGGTTGAGTGAATGAGATGAGAAAGAACGAGTGAGCGAACATGATTAGACAACAAGTGTTATTATATAACTTGACGTGTGTGGATCTTTGCACTCTCGTATTGATTGATAATATGTCAAAAGATTGCAAAAAAAAAATAAGTTCGTCTGTTTAACAATGAAATTAACATCATTTAAAAACAATTTTTGTATGATAATTATTATTCCTGATTCACAGTAATCATGCAAATGAATACTTTAATTATCCGGTTATTATGTAGAACTTCCAACTTTCATTATGAAGATCTGTGTGCACTGATACTAATGTAATAATATATTCTTGAAGATGTTTTATTGAAATAAAAAAAAAATTGAAGCTGAGGATGGGAATGGGAACATCGAAACACTTATTTATATTATGCATTTTTTTATATAGAGGAAACGAACAATGTGAATGATTTTCATATTTGGGAATACATATAGATCGAAGATGGGCCCGTTTGACGAAATAAGGAATGTCTGTATGAGTCATTTGAAATACAGTAAGTAAAACAAAAGGAAAACAACAGAGTTTTAGACGAGTACATATATATATAAGAGAGAAAAGGATTTTGTCTGTCTCATTAAATCTACTCGTTATCTATATTTCATTCAAAAAGAAAAGAAGAAGGTTCGATTCTCACACACAAAGGAGATTCTCTTACAAATACACACACATATATATAAAGCTTATTGGTTGTGATACAATCAGTGAAACAGCAAGTTTTAGTTTTGTTTTTGAAACATGAGAAAGAAGAAAAAAAAAGATTTAGTGTTTTTTTTTTGATTGAACAACAACGATTTAGATGAAATAAATCACTTCTGATCATCATCAACATCTTGAACTTCATTATGAGCGTTATCCCCATCAGCTGGCATATCGGTTGTCCATAAAGTTAGATTATCCCGTAGGAGTTGCATAATTAATGTTGAATCTAAATAAGAAAGATATATGAACGTAAGTTTTATACTAGCGAATCTATGAATCTATACCTTTGTATGTGTCTTCATTGAGTGTATCTAATTCAGCAATTGCATCATCGAAAGCCTTTAAGAAAAAAAATAACATTAACAAAAAAATTTATATTTTTTAAATTACTTGTTTAGCCAATCGGCATGCTCGTTCCGGCGTGTTAAGAATTTCATAATAGAATACCGAAAAATTTAATGCTAAACCAAGACGTATTGGATGTGTTGGTGGCAATTCATTTTGTGCAATATCATTGGCTTTGGTATATGCAATAAGAGAACTTTCAGCGGCTTCTTTGCGGTCATCTTGGGTTGCAAATTCAGCTTTATAACGATGATAATCGCCTTTCATTTTCAAATAGAAAACTTTACTTTCGCCTGATGCGGCATTTGGTAAAAGATTTTTATCGAGTAAATCGAGAATATCTTGACAAATATCACGCAATTCTTTTTCAACCTAAACATAATCGAGAAGGTATAGAAAAAAAGAAAACTATTTCAAAACCAACCTGAGAACGGTATTTTTTTATTAAAGCCATTTTACTATTTTCCGATTTGGTTTCTTCTTTGCTTTCAATATTAGTAATTATGCGCCATGATGCTCGTCGCGCACCGATTAAATTTTTGTAAGCAACAGAAAGTAAATTACGTTCTTCAACTGTTAATTCTTGATCAATTTTTGCGACCTTTTTCATGGATTCAACCATTTCTATAAATTATCAATTTTTTTGTAAAATAGTGCGACAAAAAGCATTGCGTATATTACCTTCATATCGTTCGGCTTGTTCAGCCAATTTAGCTTGATAAACATCATCGTCACGTGAGCTAGGCATGGTTATGAATGACTATCGATAGATAACAGATTACAGAAAAAATGATCGGACGATTGTTAAATAGACAGTGATCTGCTAGACAATGAACAGTGTCTGTTGACTAGTAACCATATTGTTTCGTTGAACGATTCACTCACAATGAATTTGTTAATGAGACAGAGGAAATAAAAGTAACATCATTTTTTAGTTGATTTGAAATTTCTACAAAGAAATAAAATAATTAAGGAGAATAGTTCATTTTTTAGCTATAATATCTCTCGGTGGGATATGTATAGATGGCAGTAGATGATGAGTTTTTTTAAATATTTTTATCGAACATCGTAATAGAATATTCTTATCACTTAGGATTCCGTTTATAGTCACGTGTCCTTTGTTAAATTTTCTATATAAATAAAATAAAATAGTTAAGTCGTATTAATAGATATGTTTAATAAAGATGTATTTCAATAGCAATATACTATTTTTCATAATCATGTTTTATTAGGTTGTTGATTTTGAAAAACCAAATTAACGCAAATAAATTTTATTTAAATCATCAAGAAATACGTGCGAATAACATGCAAAGGTTTTTGTGACATGAAAAAAAAAGAATATATTTATACATGGAAGTTCGAGAATGAACAACGTTAGTTTACTTCATCAATCAACATTCATAATTATGATTTACTGTTGCTTATTTTTATTTGACTGCTTTTTCTCATACTTTGTTTTCATATACTCACGGGGTTTCATTCGATATAGTACGATGAAAACGCTCAGCACTGATATGCTGATGTTGTTGTGAATATTATGACTATAGCTTGCGGATCATTGAAAAGACTTTTAATCTTGAATATCACCAAAGTAGAATTCGATTCAAATCACCATATGGTACATGAAAATTTTTATAAAGTTGAATATCGGTTAGATCTAGAACAATAGAAATAAGTTTCGATTTTATATATATTATAGTGCCGGATCGCTTGCACTGAAATTATGAGAGACATGCGAATGCATAACGATTCAATTTTTCCTTTCACGAGAGTAGATATTTACGTATATATAATTTTTATTATATAAATTAATCGAGTGATTGATAGTTTTTGACAATGAAATTATCAAGAGTTGCGGCGATAAAATTTTATTATTTTTTTTTCCTATCGGAATTTAGTTTGGATGTATCAACGATGAAATTTTATTCTTCTAAAACATGAATGAATGATAATATAACCCACAGAGAAATAGAATTATTATCTGACTGAATAGTTTAACAGAAAATGCTGATTAAAAAAGTTCATAGAAAATGATTTTATTTAAAAGGCAAGTTGTTGAGCCATTGGATTAAACATTGGTGGTTGACTTGGAAACTGACCTGCTTGTGGAACAAATGTATTACCAGTAGTCATCATAGACATACCATTCGGAATCATTCTACCTTGTTGCATCATCGGACGATAACCTAATGACATTCCTTGATGTGCTGGATACATCATATTTTGAGGGAAATAATTCGATCCTAATTGTGGCATTGATGGATGTTGCATGGACGATTGCATTTGAACTGGTCGATACATAACTTGTTGTTGCATAGGTTGTTGATGCATTGGATGTTGATGCATTACACCAATGGGTTGCATTTGTTGTTGTTGCATGACGCCTATTGGTTGCATTTGCATTTGCTGCTGTTGCTGCTGTTGTTGTTGATGGTGCATTACACCCATCGGTTGTACTTGTGGCATCATCATCATTGTTGTTTGAGGAGCTGCTGGTGCCATTTGTGGTGGTGGAGCATATTCATAACTTGATGCCGATGAAAAACTCGGATTAGGTTCAAATCCATCATTAAATGCAGCAGGTCGCCCTACAGAACCTAGAATTGAATGCGTTCGATAATGATTACTACTGCCTAAAACACCATTCGAGCATGAAGGTAATCCAGTATATTGATGAGTATAGGGTGAACCTGGTTGGCTATAGCCACTACGATGTGGACGATCGACTTTGATAACTCTAGATAAAAAATAAAATCTTCTTAATGTGCACCTAAAACTATGATAAGAAAAAATATACCGCGTTCGAACAATTGGTGGTGGAGCTTCTTCTTGCATTTCTTTTTGAATGATACGTGGTGGTGGTGTACGTGGTTGTTCAATGACACGTTCAACAATTTCCTGAGCTTGTGGTCGAATAATAACCTTTATAGATTGGAAATGTAAAGCAATAGTTTTTTATTTTTGTTTTTAAATCTATGAATATAATATGTACTCGTTCCATGATAGGTGCTTCAGGTGTTGGAGCTCGTTCAACAACTCGTTTAATAATAGGAGGCGGAGTTGGTGCACGAACTATATCACGTGGACATCGCGATTCACGTGTGATCATTCGTCCACGATATTCATAATCATCACTACTTTCACTATCAGACGAGAAAGACCCTGGTGAATATGATCTAGTAGTAATAATAATAATAGTAATAAAAAAGACCTAAAAAATAAAATCAATTAATTACCGTCGTCTACGATCGTCGTACATATTTGTAGAAGTACCATTTGGGTAACCAGCAGACATTAATGCTGAATCAACATTATAACCAGACATTGGAGCTGCACCTACGGCTGGTGCTCCATTTGGATAGACATAACGGTAAGACATTTCTTTTCGATATGCAAATGAACACTGTTATACGTATATATTGATGTGAGAAAAAGTGTTGTCGAGTACATCGTTATTTCTATTTGTCGACTGTCTCGTTCCAGTTCAATTCACCGCATACAAACGGATAATGATCGTTGATATCAAAAGGACACATTCAAATAAAAAGATAGATAGATTTATCTAGAAGGCGAGACGATGACCTGCACGAATTTTTATATCATTCTTCTCATATGAACGTGACACATGATGATGATCAAAAGATTGAAATTATTCATGGATAAATCAAAAGTAAAAATATTGAACTTATGAACTGTCTCTTTCTCTAACGATCAATTTAAAATGCTTTTTAATATCTTTTTTTTTCCATACTAGCCATGGTTTCTTTCAAAGTCGATTCTGATATTCAACATTATCATATTTTTCTTAAAAGATATTAAATATTTTGTTTTCTTTATTTTGGTGATTGATATTTTTTATGTAAAATTGACCGTGTCCTCTGATAAAATACTACGAAAGTGCGGTGTGAACTAAAACATAGTCCTGTCAATCTCGAATATCAATAATATTCAAGAATTATTCATTTTGGGCTTTGTTTTTTATTTGTAGAGAAACAAAACTGGAGAAATGTTTCATCTGATGGTTCACGACGTTCCTTATGGATCATGTTAATTACGCACTGGATAAGAATCCTATACACACACAGGTTAATATAATGAAAAATGAAAAATAAAAGTGTGTGTGTATATATATATATATATATATATGTTGATACTTAATGTATATATATTTTCTTTTTCTTTATTTTATTGGACACTTCATTTGCCCAAGCCAGATGCAAATTTAGCTGATGCAAGTCGTTTGCCCAAACCCGAAGCAAATTTAGCCGATGATAGACGTTTTCCAAGACCCGAAGCAAATTTAGCTGAGGATAATCGTTTGCCAAGTCCACTTGCGAATTTTGCTGAGGCAAGACGTTTTTCAAAATCATAGTCTTCAGAGCTTATGCCATTCCATTGTTCATCACTGTTTGCGACCGATGTTGATTCAACAACAGTGTTGAAATGAAAAAGAAACAGGACGGCTAGAAGACCAGCAAAAATAAAGAATTTTGTCTGCATAGTATTTCGATAATGAGTGTTAGAATAATGATGGCGAAATCTAGATGATAATTATGACGATGATGATAATACTAATGACTAATTAGTAGGAACTGAAATAAATTTGAAAAAGAAATCTTGATAAAAACATTTATTCAGAAAAATCACCATAGTCAATCACCACATATGGCAAGAAATGAGCAAAGTCATTAATATACTAAGTCAAAGCAAAAAATGCGCAAAGAACTCCCTAAGGATAAGACAGCAATTGCACAGTGCTAGGCTTACTCGATAGATTTTTGAATGCGTATGTATCAACGATAACAGTATATGAGTGAAGTGTGTTCGACATCATTTCTTCTTTTTTTATATGAAGGTTCTATATGTCGGCACCCGGAAAGATAAACAGTTCTACACGGTTCTCTTTGTCTTCTCGTTCTCTCGCTCTCTACTTTACTCATTTATTCCTTTTTAACATTCGTATTGTAATGAAATGCAATAATAATAGTAGCAACTAAGTGATACCGTATGAATTGAGCATGAACTTCTCAACAAGCGACACACGTTTTACTTTGTTTGCGCTCGTCCGTTCGTTTGTTTCCTGGAATCTTTTCATGTTCATCAAATCATTCTAATAAATATTCAGGCAAGCGCTACCAGTAAACGAGGAAAAAAATACTTCTAGAAAAGACGCCACTCTAGATAAATAAACGAGTGAAATACGAACATACGAAGGAAAAAGATGGGAAAACAGTGAACAAAGTGGAGGATTGAATGAATTCAATAGAATAAGAAAAATGTAGAAGCATTTTTTCATGAAAAGGTTGGAGTGCAAAGAACGTATTGAATTGAAGTTTATTATGCATGAGAAAGAATGAAACTGAGAATATATTGTTCGAGGCCAAAGTAATTTCAAGAAAAATAAGCAAGACCCTATTTAGACACTATCCTTTGGAATACGTTGATTACGTTTAAAAATATCGCCATAGAATGTTTTACTATCTGTTAGATAAGACAGACTCATGAGCGAGATCTCACGAGATTTCGATGCATAAATTTTGCAACAATTGTGCAGAAGAAACATTGCGCTGCAAACATTCACTCTAATACTATTTCAAATATATAATGAACTTCTTCTTGCATTTGAGTAATCGGCAAAAATCGTACTACTTGATTGATCACCTTTTCTCTAAGCGGCAGAAAGCATAACAAAAAAGAAAAAGAAAAGAAACTTCAACTACACTTTAGATGTTTCGGTTTTGCTTTTTTTGGCTATTATACCTTAACTTGATTGGAACTAAATATATGAAAGCAACAATAAATAATAATGTATAGAACATTGTTCTTTATTGATGCATATGAAAATATATGTAAAAACTATTGGCGTCATCTCTTTTTTTTGCCTCTGAGACTATGAGAAGAGAATTAGAATGTGTAATGCACATGTCAAAGGACATCTACTCTGACTATGTTCGCCTGATCCGTTTCAGACTATATCGATCATATAAATAGTTGCAGAAAAAGGAAATTAAAGAAAACAATTATGTTCTTCTACTCTGTTTTTTCTTCTCAATCTGTTTTTTCACGAGTAATGCTAGTCGGTTAATTATAGACACTAGATTACATTTTTCAACATATGTCAAATTCAATTATCTAAATAAGATAAATGTTTATTAAATGGAATCTTTTGTTTTTATAGAACAGCTTCATTGGATTGCATTATGAATAATAGAAATAATTGATAAACTGTCATTTTATCAGTTGAAAAACGATAATCCTTACATATTTTCCTATTATTTTTTTCGTACTGTCATTTTTCTTTCTTTCTCATGTTTCGCTCTTTATGTAAAAAGACAACAACTGATAGACTGCAGTGGTGCATTGTTTTATTCAATTGATCTAATATTTACTCAAGATCTTTAACAGATGAAAAAGTTTGTTCACTTCAAAAATTGACTAGAAATTTAATTATCTTGATAACAATAAGTTGAGTTCGATTGAAAATGTTGGCGATCTAAATTTCTCATCATATTGTTTAATGTTAATACTTTTAAGTTGCAATCAATCTTACTTGTACGAAATATTATAAGTGCGACTTTAGGCACTCGCCGTTCATCGTACTTCGAGTTCTATTTAAAGGAACAACATTCAGTAAACTCATCTTTTGAATTTTTAACAAAGTTGTTTTTTTAGTGTCGTCGATAAACTTTACAGATGCCGATCTTATGCATGATGCGGTCATAATAGCCAAGCAGTACAATGTAACAATAGATGAAAAAAAGAAAACTGATTATGATTCACTTTACGAACTTAAGATCGTCAATCATTTTTAGCATAAAATCGAGTAACTCTACAATGAATGTTGATTATAAAAGCATTTTGAAAAACACAAGACAACCTGTTCAATATTAATGATTGTATATGATCAGGGATATGCAGCTCTAAAGAGCGATCCAAAGAATGCACCAATGCTTCAACGGGAGCTACCAACGAGCAGTTCTTTGAAAGTATATACATTCCTACCTATGATGGTCTGATTAAAAACAAAAGAAAAATAAGAAGTATCCTTGATCTACAGTTTTGTTGAGTTGTGATTTCTAATTATCTCTTATCATGTCGTTTTAAAGTGGTGCTCATAATTGTATTCAGGAGTTTTTGTTTTAGGAAATAAATCGATGATTATATGACTCAGCGAATAGAATCAATGAAATTATAGGAAAACCACATATTGCAGAATATTGTTTTCTAGGCCAACGAGATAATATTTTGTGTGGCTTGTTTGGGTTCTTATCGATAGTACGAAAGCTCGTTGAAGTGACTTATGAGCTTCAGTTGGTTTAGTTATTTCTTCCATAAATACAACTAAATATACACTTGATTTATGATGTTACTAGAGGTGGCAGTTTAACTTTACTTTAACCGTAAAGTTTAAAGTTGTTTAAAGTCGCCTTTAAACGCTTATTTTTAATACTTTTTACTGTACTGATGTATTTAGCCATGCTTATGAGACTCTCTGCAACAGATAAAACGCCAAAAAGCAGCATTTAAGTGTGACTTTAAACAGCTTTAAACTCTGCACTTTACGGTCAATTTAAAGTTAAAGTGCCACCCCTAGATGTTACATAGGAAACATGAGCGGATATCTTTTCTCCGTATAGGAAAGGTACTTGAATCAATCTATAAATAAGCTTTTATTTTAACTTAGATAAGTAAATTTCTCTCAATGAAGAACTCTCATTGAATTATTATTCGGTGGCGAAAATTGGTATCAAAATTTCATTATTAAGAAATAATTCTATCATATTATGATAGTCTAGCAAGTATAGAATATATCACAAAAAAAATAGGAACAAAAGTACAATTGAAATAATCACGCTTGCTCTCAGTTCTATTAATATCATAACGAGACAAATAATTTTTTGATACAATTAAACCACCTGCGTGAAAATGAACATATATGTTGTGGTGTTCGATCAGAATGTTTCCAAGGCTGCCCTCTCGTAGCCGATATTAGGGAGATTGAGCACGCCCGCCGACCAATTGACAGATTCTTGCTGAATGTGCCGAAATTTTGAGGGAATAACCAATAGAGTTTCACCATATTTTTTTGCAGAAACTCATATTAAACGGTCATATACTGTTTAAAAATTGAGTTTCTTCATATGCATATGCGTCTTAGTCGATGTTTATTCCTGCATGCATTTAGTCCGATTAAATATGCTTAAAATCTCAATGGCATCGCTTTGTTAGTATAATTGAGCGTGGGTTAAGTCAACACGAACTCTTTCTTCTTATAAAAGACATACATTTTTAATGCAAGTTAGCTGAGAATGAACATTTTTAATCAAGTAGGAAACAAGATTTAACGGCTTTTGTCTTGCTACACTGTAATTTCAATTGTAGACTGCCCACCATCGGTCTTCTATGACTCGATGAAAATGTGTTACGCTCAAATAAAAAAAGAGCGAAATGAATTTTTTATTTGCATTTGATTTCCTTTTTTCAAAATCAATATAGTGATCATTAAAAATAACAAAGTAAACATATCGATAAATTTATTGAGTTATTCGTTTTTCTTTTTGATCAAGGTTATTTCCAATACGAAATGAATACCTCTGACAATATACGTCGTATTAATATTGATTGTGACAACGAAATTGTCTCGGAAATACAACGACAATTTTACTCATCACCACGTTTCCTATTTTTACATTCTGAACTTACACTTTGGGAATCTTGAAATTTTTATTCTTTCTATTTTTACTGTAATAAACACATCAGGAGTATCTGAATCATATATTTCGTCATAAGACAAACCTATAACAATAGTAATGTTGCATAATCTAGTAAAAACAATAATTGTATTTGACTTTAGTCATGCGTATTTTATTACCTACTCAATTCTCAGAATTTATATATATATATATATTTACGAGCGATTCTATAGGATGTCGATAATCATATTAAGAAAAGAAAAAGAAATCTTTTGACACACGCCAATAGAAGTACAAATTAAAACGAAAAATTCGAACAAATCTCATAACTTATTTTTCTTTTCTCATACGAAATAAGATGTGTAGGAGAGTAGGATTGATTTCTTTTTCAATGAAATAAAAACAAAAAAGAAAACGAATGAAATAGAGCTCATTTGACAAGTGCGTAGGAAAACTGAATTCATTTTCTTTTCTCTTTTTATTCATATTATAGAGAGTATGAATTCTACGGAATTCGACTGGAACACAAAACTGAAACAATCTTTCGATCGTTTTTATCCATCGGTTGCATCGTCCTTCTCTTATATTCATATACGCGAAATACTTGTTACGATTGGTTTGATCGCAATATTTTTACTTTTATTGATATTATTAATACAGTTTCTCAGTAAAGTGCGCGAAGCATATAAAACAAGTACACCACGAAGACGATTCAAAAAATCTTATGAAAATCCACCAAAATATTCACTCTATCAAACATTACTAAATGCAGATAAAAGCCGGTGTAAATGCGTTCAATCTTCATGTTTACCTAAATTGCAATGTACTAAACCAAATTCTCAAGTATACAATCGTTCTGTTTATTACGAGCAACTAGATGAACGACAAACAAACGACACTAGATGCCGAGTATTTACTCCTAGTAACCGATCGCCTGTTCCTATTCATTTTGTAAAATAATTTTGTGTATTTAATCTTGTTTTAATCATCTTGAAATAGAACTCAATCAAGATTAATCCATTGTTAGGATTCTTTTTCTTGGTGTGATATATTGTATGAAAATAAATCGCTTTTTTTACTGTTCATTACACGCATGAATGAAAAAAGAAAATGAATTATTATCGATACTTGCTAATATCGATTCTTGCATTATCCTCGAGCACAATTGAAGAATAATGATCTCAAGTTATAAATGCGTTAGGTCTCTGTGGATTACATTCCATTCTGGATAGCTAATCGCGTAATACGAGAAACGAGCTTCTTACTTTTATTTTTTTTTCTATTTAATTATGTTTTCTCCGTTTTTTATTATTATTATTTAAGATTTGATATTCTCAAGGATGCACAGGCTAATTTCTTCGTCTTGTTAGTCGACGGAGTATCACACCAGTGAGTTCATTGAAATAAAAGAAAACATTATGAGAAAAAAAAGAAAAGGTCTTTTCATATTTTTGTGCTGCTCTCGAATGACTTAATGTTTTTCTTGTTGTTGATCTTGACCATATTGAAATTCAGTCATATCGTCATTGTTCATGGCCAATTCAGATAAGGATCGTTTCCAAAATTTACGATGAGGCGAACGTTTCCAAAATCGTGATTTAGCAGCGCGAGCTTTAAGAAGATGATATGGATAATAAGCATCGAAGTAATTCCAATCAGCTGGTGCTGTACTTTCATCGTTATCGGTGGGTGAACTTGATGAAACAGCAATACCAATCAAGACAATTAATAGACATAGAATAAAGTTGACCGATATCATACGCATGATTACTAAAGAAATAGTATTAATACAAGACAATAATGAACGGAATGCATAATACAACATATACCTGATTTTTCAAAGAAGAAAATATTGATGTATGAAAAGCTGAGATAATCGATTGCTGAAAGAAACTGCGAATGATAAGTGAAAGAGAAAAAAGAAGAGTTCTATGCGAATGTTAGTTAGCTTTATTTATTCTCCGTAACTAATGGATTTAGCAATTTCTTTCTTTTTCTCTTATTTCTCTCTTGTTCTTTGTTCGGTGGTTTCTTCTTATTTGCTTCTCCGATCACGTATTTTGAAAAAGATCCTCCTGGCTTTCATATTTAGTCAATAGGAAACATATTGGCCTATATAGCAGTGTGTTACTTGATTCTGTTCTCATCGATCAATGCAATTATTATTCAATCACGCTAATAATATGATTGAATCCTTTTTTTTTTAAACCTGAAGGTTGGCATTTAGTATGTGATAACTAAAGAATTTCTATTTGCCAGTAGACGATTTTTTCCCTACATTTTGTTTTAATTCATTTCCTGTTTGATAATATTAATCATATGTTGATTGTGTGTAAAGATATGTATAGAACCGGTATGCATGGCACGTACATTTCACATATGATTTTGATGTGTTCGTTAATGGCTATCATTGAGATAAGTTAAAAAGTAGGAAAAAGCACCCCAAAACTAATGAAAATGCATCGAGAACTGGTAAGAATTACCTATTCAACATCAAACGATGCGAAAATCGGCAAGCTTTATTTTCCGATCTCATCAATAAAAAGAGAACCAGATGAAAAAAGTAATTGAAATAATATCTTAACAGCCGTGTCGGTATATTAGAATATTGAAAGAAAAAATGCAGAAGTACTTTACACCTTACAGTAATTAATTGATGCATGAATTTTGTTTTCGTCTCTTTTAGATACGTGAGTCAACAGAACCTATCAATTTATCCTTTTCAATGGTTATTTTTATCTTGAAACATTCAGCACTTTTTGCAAATGGTCTGTATCGAATCTGTATTCACAGCGTTGATCAGTCATAGGAAAACGTATTAATAGAAACAGGAACCGATTTTGATTCATAACGATATTGTATAATCATATTCTTGTTGGTGTTCATTATTTAGATAAACGCTAAAAGCTATTTAGCATAGTCATTTAACGGGAAACGCAAATCAAAACAGAAACAAAAGGCAAACAATAAAAGTTTTCGCGTCACCGTATAACTTCGATCCGTGACTGGAAAAATGCTTCTCGGAGACTTTATTTGTTCAATGTCAAAACTAATTTTAAGTTTTAAATATGAGCTGAGTTGAGAAAAAGAAACATTAGAAGTAGAGTTTAACAAAACATTTTTTCATATTTCTTCAACATATAGTTTAAAAAACAGCAATCCTTTTATATATTGACACTTCCGACTCCATGTCTGCTCTCTATGAATTTCCATTACTGGGTGCATATGATCGAGACCATATACATAGTATTATTTTCACATGATTTAATTTGAATAAGATTAACAATGTTTTAGTATGATTTTTACTCTACTTATTTTTTAGGCGACGGTAGAATTTTTCTCTGATTTGATTAATAAAATTTAAAAAATAGAAGTTCTAATCAAAGGCTTTCTTTATCATCATCAGCTGTTCTCTCAGACAAGTTCGCTTTTTTAATCTAAGTACAGCGTTGTTGAAGTAAAAAAGCCTAGTTAAAGCGTGATGTAAATGTCATGAGCAATTATATATAAAAATTGTATTCGTTCTATTGTTTATAAATAGTCTTGGTAAATAATTAACAGAAACAGGGTCTTGCCATAAAATCCGTGTTGTCAGATTAACTAAAAGTTGTTTATGTTTGTTAGTGATTAGAACTTGTTAAAAATTTCGCACGCATTGAATGATCATGTTCCTCATGGTCTCAATCACTTGAACACATTTGACATGGATTACATTTCTGTCCAGCCTTCTTCTGGCTTTTGTACACAAATCGACGGACTTCGGTAAATAATTTAGTCAAATATTGCCGTAGAAAATATACAAATGGAACTTGTTATTCTACAATTCGCTCTTCACAATTGGGTGATATCGAGAAAAGGGGAAATAAGAATTTGAAGATATATATCTCATTTTACTATGCTTATGATCTTGATTTGATTGTTGATCGCGCACATGTAATATTGCCTGAAAAACATCGTGTCGCAAGGTTAACTTTGATAGAGTTATATAATAGGTACAAAAAATGTCCTCAGAGTTTCATCGTATGAAGAATAAACATTAAAGCATAGTTCATCTGAGGATAAGGAACATTAACAGAACGAATGAGAAAATAACTCGAATCGAGATGTTTAACGACTATCAATATTATTCCATAATGGGTGAAAATGATCATACATTTACAGATTCGATGCAACAGTTGCTGGAATTTCTACTGTGTTACTAGTTCTGTTTTCAAGCTGATAATCTTTTTTAAAACTGACAATCACGCGCACAATTGATCTTAAACTAAACATAAAAGGGCCTAAGATGAGTTGTCATATAGATTCACAGTTTATTTTAATTTTTTATGACTATCGTAGTGATTATTTTAATTTGCTTATGTATCTATCGATGAAATCAACGGTTTTTATTATTATTCATTTTAGACGATAAAATTAGACATTAATCTATTTTGACGAAACAAGAGCAATGGTTTTAAAAAGAAACTCGAATCGGATGTAATGAGCCAATGTTACTTTTATCATGGATTGATCTAAGAGAATTAATTAGAAACAAAGATTCATTATAGATTCCATATTGATTTTCAGCAATATCCGTTAGAAAACAATCAATGTTAACCTATAGGTCAAAAACTAATAAAACTATCATATATGCATATGAAAAATATGCTAATTGTAATACCTCGATTGATTTGTTTTTTTCTGAAAAGTATTTTGTTTATCAATATTTGATGTTTTCATTCGTTAAACTTCAATAGTAGTGACATTCGAATGTAACATACGAAGATTTTCATTACCTATTTTTACACAATTAAAAAATGTACACGATTCAATTAATTTTTAATGTCATTAAATTCTATTTGATTCAAAAATGTGCCTTGCATTTCAACAGTTTGTTGGAGCAAATTGTCTTCGTTCGATTAGAAAGTAATTTAGAAATTCATACCAGGACTCGAAATAGAACGCTCATATGCATTTTTCTTTCAAGCCGATCGAGTCACGTGAATGTGAATTTAACGGGCTTTCTTCAAGGACCATGTCACAAGTCAGAGAATAGATAGCATTAGATTTTAATCGATTCTATAAATCACTGCAAGCTTCTTCGTTATGCGAATATTTTTCAGAGATATGTTTATTGTTGAATGGGAGCAATTTAACTGATAATGGCGATTGGAGAAAACCTAAATTAATAAGTAGAGGTGCTTTTGGACTTAGGATATATATCCATGTTCGTATCTTATCTTTTCGGTTCAATGGATAATTCGGCTGATCGCATATGCTGCTTTTTCAAGCATTTATTTTCTTCAATCTTACTTAATTCTTAATCACTTTAATAATAAGCTTTTGGTGGTATCATTCTGAGCTGGGCCGAGTCAGACAAGCATGAGTCATCCTTGACGACGAGCCGCGGTATTGAGTTTGCCTCTATCTTCTACATATAACCGTTTTTGACAATGAATCATCTTCATTGGTCACTTATCTATAGCAGATGATTCAGAACCTTTTAACACCAGGTAAAAATCATGCAAATGAATTAATCATCATCTAGCATTCTTCAGTGAAAACGTAAAACCAATTAAATTAAAAATACTAAGCATGAAATCTATGACATGTTTCATTAGTGTTGAAACATAAATTCCAATAATTATTGAAGTTTTCTAGCGATCTGATTGGGGATAATCAAAGTAAATATAAACTAATCTCCTTAGGAAACGTCATTAAAAAGTTCTAAAAGTTTCATGACCAAGCTAGATATGATACAATACAAAAATTTTATATCATAAAATGATACGTTCAACAAAATTAGTTCTTTTACGTAAGGAATGACTCTTAGATGCGAGATGATACCCAACGCTATAATTTGTCTAACGTAAGATTCGAAAACAAGGGATTAGGAAAATTCGACGATGTGCGGACTCCGATAGAAAAAAGTCTTCCGAATAAAATAAAATGTCCTCCAAAACCATCCTTCAGCCAAATTAAATAGTTACTAGTAGTTTCGATTTTCAATGTCATTCATTCCGAAGTCTCAAGATGTTAAGGACTGGTCAACTCGAATGGGTCCAATCGCATTTAAACCATGCTGACTTGTTCTAGTTATCGATTTTCCCTATTATGAATTAGCATTAAACACATTGTGTTTGCGCTTTTCTTCAGAAGTAATTTTCCTATTTCGATACATTGATTGATTTAGAACAGTAAGTTATATTATCTTTACTTTTTTTAATCAAGAAAAGAAAAATTTATTTCGATCTCTTTAGAAGTTTCATCGATCATGCATGTAAAAATGTCGAAATATTGATATCCTATCGTTTTTCTACTGTATCCATCACTATCAATTTCCATTATATTAATGAGTTTTATAAGTCGCTATTGTTCGAGTACTTAAAATAAGAAAACGTTTTTATTAAAACTCATATCTGCTTATGAAATAACATATTGTAAAGGTTCTTTTGATGACCAATTGTTTGTATTTTAAAACGCCTGGAAGAAAAAATTTTTAACAATACGCGATATAATTATTCAATCATATCAAATTTGCAATCAGATGTTAATTTAAAAATGAAGAGAAAGTGCTTGAATAAATGATTGAAAGTCTCACTATAAAAATAAGCTGAGTGCTCTCATCTAAAATGTGGCACTTTTCATGTTAGAACTTTAAAGTGTGCCTATTTGAAACTTTTCTGCGAAAATTATTCTTTAGTTTTAAATTCAGCTTTGTATTTCTTTAGTCATAAAAATAAAGCAATAAGTTGAGATCGTATGGATTCAAAATGTTGATTACTCATGTTTATTTTCTTTATTTAAATCAAAGGTTTTTTTTTCATGCACTTGAAACGATCAAATATTCTCAACTTCACTCTAAGTGAAAGTCAAGTTTTTAGCAAAACTAAATAAGTTTTTTTTCTTCAACAAGCAAAACAAAAACTCATTGCCACAAATCAAATAATGTATTTTAACCAAGAAAAAAAACGATCAAAGAAATAAAAATATTCTAGAAGATTTACTTCATTAATAATTCTATTGCATGTCAAAGAGGAAAGAGTTATTTTAAATTAATGACAATGCATTATTGAGTATAGAAGTTAGTTAAATTGCTAGTTTTTTTTAATACCCATTTTAATTTGCTATAATAATTAAAGTTAATTTTAATTTTGATCTTATTATTATTATTTCTCCATCTGTCTTTGTCTTCAAAAACTGAACAGTACTCCAGTAGTAATGAGCGCAGAAAGCAAAATGCAAAAGAAACAGAAAAAAAAAACGAGACAATGACAGTGACGAAAAAAAAATGAGAAGAAAAGAATGAATAGCAAATAAAAATGAAAAGAAGCAAAAAAAAGTCTCACATTCACTCACAAATACACAATTTTTTTTATTTATGATGATAGAACAATAAAAACACCTTAGCTTGTTTGAAGATTCGATCAGTTTTTTTCCTATTGACTTTTTCATTGCCAAGAGAAAAAAGAAAATCTGTTTCTTTCTCTCTCTCTCTCTCTTTCTCTTGTTTTTGCTATGCCTCATGCACATACACCGGGGTATCTGCTCGTAGCCTGTTTTTTTTTCAGATTGAGAAAAAGAAAATCATTGATGGAATTTCAAGAAAAGAAAAACTTAAGGAATGAATGCTATATATCACAAGAAAGAGAATGAGGGAGAGAGATAGATGGGAAAAAATCA